AAAGGCAAGAAGAAGTGTCCTAAGCCAGCTATATCTCAAAAGAAGCAAGATATTACTATTCCAGAGCCTAAGATTGATGGGGAGGGCTGTTTATCTATAAATTGTCGTGGAAGGCAAATACGCCTCCCACAACGATTCCGGGATTGAAAAAAAGCTCTATATAGCTTTAGTAGCATCATATCTCTGCTTCATCAGAAAAACCAAGTATAATTTATTTAGTATGTTGCTTTAAAGCTTCATTTTTAATGTTGGTTGCCATACAGAAATTCGTGCGGCAGGTGGGGACGTGCGTCAGGTGATCAAGTACGGTAGTGGTTCATAAAAGCGGTGAGTCCAGACGACCCAAACACGGTTGCCTGGCTCTCCGACAATTGCCCCTTTGGCCTGCGGCTTCTTGTGAAACAGTGTCTGGGTCACGAACTCCTCGTTGCTATGATGCCAAAGCATGTGCGCGTGGTCCGGAACGATCATAAACTTGGTCTTGCTACTCTCAGGGGTCCGCGTAGCCAGAGCTTGTCGAGTCAGTGCCTCATCCTCCTTGCAGAGCTGCTCCAAGTCCCCTGCTAGAAGTGGCCTAGCTGTCCCAGCAGCCGACAGACTGTCCACTGCTGCTTTTGCCGGCTCAAACTCAATATGATAACTAGGAAACGGATGCCATCCGAGTCTCCTGTAATATCCTCTTCCGATATCCGAGAATAGAACACTAGCTACACACTTCACTTGCTCGCTTTGATCGATCTGCCAGGTCGGTAGAACGCGCGCCAACTCGTTCATCAAACGAGACGCGTAGCCACGTCCACGATACCTCGAGTCGGTATACACACTTGCGATACCATGAGTAATGACGCTAGCTACATTACCGTTGCGGTCACAAATCCAGGAACGCTTGTAGAACGTTTCGCAAGACGATAGCAGAAGTCTTTTGCCCGGGGCCGCTGCCTTCTCCACTAGGACCCATTGGGTCATCCCTCCGTCTCTGGCGAGTGGGACAGTCATGAGGTATGCAGACTGAGTGACATAAGCATCGACAGGAAGGGCGTCCTTCTAAGCGTTTGCGGTGAGTGTCCATATTGTATTATTTTCTTGGTCTGTGGGATGATCCAGGCTGAGGGACGGCGATTGTGCATCGGGCAGCGAGCCCATTATATTTAACAACCGATATGGTTCAGAATCAGCAACCTTGGTGTTAAAGCCCCGATGAGGAATGTTGTAATTACTGAATTTACCCTGTAGGTTAGGAGGAAACTGCAATCAGGCCTTTCCTGCGTCTCGTGGAGCTATGGATATCATAGCACCAGGGATAATGAGGCCCCCGCAATCTCCACCAATCACGGCCCCATCCCTATGCCGGTAAAGCGTTCATCTCAGTTCGGAAAAAAAAAAAAAAAGGTAGAACACCCCTCCATAACTAACTGTTCTGGGCCATACTATCCTCCTATGGCTTGTTTGCTCGGTCTTCTCCCTTCTTCCTCCTTATCTGACCCAACTCCTTTTCTCAAAGATGTTTCGATGCCATCAGATTTGCGCTGGTGTGGGTATGCGCCGTCAGCTTTGTCAGAGTGGGCACGGTCCACTTTTGGGGCGCGGGTTAGATTACTTAAGGAGGGACTAGGGCTATGAATATGTTCGGAGGTGAAAGGTGTACTGTCGCAACGCATATTTGCACAATGACCCGGGCACTCGGGCGGCCCCTAGTCAAGTTTTAGAGTGTGGGCTGGATATCTCAACATGTTCTTGACCCACAAAGCGCTTCAGGAGTCTACGGTGCCCGACAGATTTCATCTTATGTTCATAACTAACTACCGGTATCCAATAATCACACAAAGAACGGCTAGGGCAAAGAAAAGGATGTGGACCTTTACAAGCCTTGGAGAAGGATAGTTACTCTGAACGCTTCAGTGTAAGGTATATAAAGACCTTGCCCCTTTCGTGTAATATTTTCCTTTCTACTAGCGAGAAGAGGGACTTTCATATTGTTATTCTATTCTCTGAAACCTGTAGGCTCTTGTGCACGCAGCATGCAGACGACCATACTCTCTGTCATTCCTCTTGCCTTGCTCCTCTTCAGCTTTGGGGTTGCAGTGGAGCCCACCTATCCCGACAGGGAACTGCCATTATTGAAAGGCGATCCTTATGGTAGTAATAAAGTCAATGACGTGGTCCAGGCAGGGGTTAGTCAGCCACCTAGAATGACACACTTCAGACCATTTTGAATTCGGCTAACTATCTCAAGCAATGCAAAATGGGTCGGGATGCCAACCAATGCATCTTGAAGCGACGGGACGCGAACAAAAATGGCTGGGAAGTCTGTGATAGGGACAAGCCGGTAAGAGGATCACTGAGGACTACGATATCATGTTATTGATATTCAGCCTGTTATCTAGTGTACAAAGGATGGAAATCCATGCAGTGTCCGATATAGATTAGGGCTTGATGGCAAGGCCCGTGTGATCAATGTGAATTGTCACTTATACTAGCGCAGGCCAGGTACCTAACCGGACAGGAGGGCCAAGTTTCCATCGTTCATGTTTGGATTTGAGATGACTGTGGGAGATAAGCCCTTGTCAGGGCATTTTCGTGATGGTGATAGAATACTAAGATTACACCTCCACACACATCGTTGGCATGTCATACTCATTTGCGCATAACTGCATACATATAGATCTGAAAAGTATTACGCCGTTGTATTTTAATTAATGTGCATCAGTAGTACTGAAGACATTGATATTAGAAAACATGGCCTTTTCTATGGAATAAAGAGGTGAGTCAGGTGACCGGACTACTTACACGATCGGTGTCCAGATGCCACTCACTTACATGACCTGCCATAATGCCTCATGTAGGATATTGTTCTGCTAACACAAACCGCTCCATAGAACTACTAGTACTACCTAGTCGAGAAGCAGTAGCGTCGTGTGGCTCATTGGTGGATGGTGATGGCGGTGAGGAAGGTCGGAGATAAGGTTATGTGGAACTGAAAAAGGCACCCACACACCCACTCACATTGATAGCCATGTCACCCCCGCATGACTCTTTTCCTGATGGAACAGACCAGGAACGAAGCTAGGATTTTATCGAAGAAAATCCCGTGCGACCCATGCCGCCAAAGACGAGTTCGGTGCGACGGGTTGCTGCCTTGCAGCTCCTGCCAGCGGACCCGGCTTGTCTGCAGCCGCGAATACGTTCGAAAACGACGCGGCCCGAAACATGGCCATGGAAAGAAGATAGAGGCACTGAGATATATTCAATCGCATGGCAATCAAGATGATCAGAATGCTTGCGAACGAGGGGCAGATATCCTAGCTCCGGAAAATCTGCGACTACTAATGCGACGCTGCGTGGACATCTTTCTACAGCAGATGTACCCGATCATGCCTCTTTTCAGGCCATCGACGCTAGTAGAATGGCTTGGCCGACCGATGGAGCCGAATGAACAAACGATGTTATTTGCTCTTTGCGCGTTAGTCACCTCCTTTCTGTGCGGTCACAGCGAATCCATCCTGGGGTGCGGAGAATGGGAATCAGTCACGCGGATGTTCATCAAAAAGAGCCTTGCGGTGCGGTCGGAATATGATTTTGTCGAGGACAGCACTCTTCTCTCTCTCCTTGCGTCTTTCTTTGTCGCAGTGACTTACTTTGAATTACACAATGCTCGACAAAGTTGGTTCTATCTCCGCGAGGCTATAACCTTAGCGCAGGCGCTTGGTTTGCATACAGACGAATTCTACCGTGACATGGACTATGTGAGCGCCTTATACTGTCGTCGGACTTACAACATTCTATTCGTCACGGAAAGATCTTTAGCTGTGGCAAGACATAAATCGGTCCTTCTACCGCGCCCGTTGCTTCTTCCTACCCGCGAGCCGAACGATCACCTAGAGGGCCTGGAAGAGCCGCCAGAAATTGACCACGGGTTCCGCCAGCTTGTACACGTGTATTCACAGATTGATGTCACCTTTCTGTCTTTTTGGAGTGAAAGGGGGACAATTAGCTCCGCCCATTCGACGTGGCAACCTTTTTGCTCGAAACTACTTCCGGGCTATGATGTGATGTCCGACGCCCAGAAAGCTGATATATTTGTGACGCAGCGCTGGCTTGAGCTGGTCCTATGGCGGGCGGCCCTTCAGCAGGGCCTACTTTCTTCCACGGCCGAATCCCAGTCGAGGACGTTTTCATATCCAGAAGATATTTCGCTATCCCTACTCCAGACATTGTCATCGCTGTCTAAAGAGTCAGTGGAGGTTCATGGGTTGGGGATCGTGAGTTCCTCGTTTATTCCTACATGCGCTGGAGCTAACCAGATGGACCAGTTCGAGAAGATATACGACGTAGGCAACGCCCTGGCTGACTTCATCCATTGCTCAATAAATCTGGAAGGCTGGACAGCGACAATGACACAAAACCTGGATCGACTAGGTTCAATTCAAAGATACCTCTTCTTAAGTCCAAACTCTCATGATAAATTCGCTTTGTCTCTGGGAGGACGACTGGCCGAGTACTCGGTTTGCTTCGGTAGTCCCTTGACCATGCTGTACAAATTCGCCGTTGCAGACGAAGATGAGGAGGACCAAAGGGACGCATGTACTTTGGAAGGGAACTTTGTTATCACAGGAAATTAATGTGAAGCCTACGGACGTCCTGATTATGTACATAGTGTCCCGGGCCACCCTAACATCGTCGACTGCTTCCCACCGTTCAAATGGCCCTTGAGTATTCTCCCTCAGAGATCCACAATAATCATATCACCACTGGAAGAGGTGGCGAACCAGTCGTTCTCAACGTCTCACTTGGGAACAATGGTTGACTGAAAGATATCCACCTCGGTCGATGCAAATTTCCGAGCGGACACGCCTGTTTCAAAAAGAACGTCGAGTTCTGCATATGTTCTCCCTTTCGGCTCTGGTAGACGAAAGAATACCCAAACAACGCAGCAAAAGCAAACCCCAGCCCAGAAAAAGGCGGACTTGGCTCCCCAATTCCATGCTGTCGAGGTAAGCTGATAATTTATCAACACATTAACCACTATATTTCCAACGTTGTAAAGGTTTCGAGCTAAAACCACAGACTTTGCGCGCAGTCGTGTCGATGAGAGCTCTGATACAAGTGAATAACAGACAGGTCCCACCATCAGGTCATACGTGAATGTGAACACGGACAGGAGTGCCCCAATGGCCCAGTTCACGTTCGCACTATGGGGCGCCAGTGAAACAAACCCGATGACTAGAAGAAGCCAAAACAGGGCAATATTCCCGTACAGATAAAGAGTTCGTCGGCCCACGTGTGTCATGAGAAACCAAGAGAGTATCGTTCCGAGGACCCCGAGCCCATACTGGATCAGCGACATATTGAATGAAGAGCTCGAAGGGAGTCCTGCTGCAATATAAAACACAGTCGAATAGCCCATAAGTTGTGATCCGCAGATTACCTGGATCAGCCACACCAAGCACACAATTTCTGTGCGCCGCAGATTCGATCGCTTGAAGCATTCCCGGTATGAAGTGCCCGCTGAGGTTTCTTTTTCGAGATGATCGGTGTGCTGGATCATGGCCAAGGTATCATCGACAGTATTGTTCGATCGACTCATTAAGCGCACCAGGCTTTGGCGTGCTTCCTTTTGCCGACCATGGCGGACAAGCCACCATGGAGACTCCGGAGCCAACAGACACATGATCATCAAAGGGATGGGCCAGGCCCATTGCACAGCGAATGGGATCCGGTACGCCCATTGGTCTGCTCTATCGAGCACCCCTCTCAGCACACCCGACACAATGAATTGGCCAATGACCCAGCAAAGATTGACATAGGTGGTCAAGTATCCCCGAAGTGCGACAGGACAGACCTCGGAGGCGTACGCCACAGTGATGGTTTGAAAGGCCCCCCAAGGGATGCCGCACAGAATTTCCCCAGCCAGGAGCATTTCGATGTTTTGCGCAAAGAATAAAATGAAGATAAATCCAGTGACCAGGGACAGTGCTCCAAAGATTGTCAGACGGTAGCCGAAGTGGTCTTGAACGATGCCCGTGAAGAAAAGGCCAATGATTTCGCCAACAACGGCGCCGTTGGAAAGAGCCGATTTCCAAGGGGCAGCGATCACGTAGGTGCCATCCGGCTGGAGCTGACCATATTTGCGATTGAACTGGGGAAGTGCGTAGAAGCTGGATAGTAACATGACCGCATATCCTTCCATGACCACCGCCATCGAGAGCCCTATTGACCAGACGACTGCCATGGGATAGAGGCGGATGGCCTCCCGGAAGCCCATATCACGTTCGGATTGGACAGCATGAGCGGCGTTGTCCATGTTCTGATTCCGCTTCGATTCTATATGGACGGTTTCCGAATCCTTCTCCATCTTCGATGATCTCCCCACAGGTGACGTGGGAGGTTCGATAGAGGGTATGGGTAGTATAGAGATGAGACCAAAGCGATCTGGGGGTAAGAATCGACTATATAGCCATAGTCCGGATGGCCCACACCGGACCCCAGTCCCCGTGGAGACTACCCCAGAAATACACTTTGACTCTACTCCGTCGAAAGAGAGAGAGAGAGAGAGAGAGTCAACAGAGCTGGGGAAAGGAAAAAATAATGTTTGTGACTAGAACTAAATGGGCCGGAAGATCTTCGCTAAATATCGGAGAAATGCCTGAGGCAAACCAGCCGATGCCAGCGAGCCAATCGCTGAATTACTCGCCGAATTACTCGCCGAAACACATCGCGGAAATCGCTCGCTGAATTACTCGCTGAATTACTCGCTGAATTACTCGCTGAATTACCCACTAGGTTATCCGTCCCTCGCAAATGTAGATCAAGAAGATGTGGAAATTATAAGTATCAGCCCAGAGAGTTCCAGAAGTCGCATGTCGAATGTCTCTTCAAAAGCCGTTGAATAATGGCATTCACGACTAATCCTGTCCCAAACCCGCAGGCCGTGGTTTGCGGCTCGACATATCGGTTTACCATTCTAGCCGATCGCTTGGTTCGGTACGAGTGGGCTTCTGATGGTTGTTTCGAGGACCGAGCGTCTACATTCGCCATTAACCGGTACTTCCCGGCGCCCCAATTCCGCGTTGTTGACAACGATGATAATCTCGAGATCATTACCGACCATTTCCATTTATGTTACGATAAGAAACGATTTTCTCCTGCGGGGCTGAACGTCCATTTCAACTTCAAACACACCGAGTGGGGAGCTCCCTGGCAGTATGGACTGGACGAGAAGTTCCAGTTGGGTGGCTCGCTCAACTTGGGCGGCACAGCTCGGACCCTTGATCTTTGCGACGGCTGTTGTGATATGGGAGAAGGGGTGATTTCCAAAGCAGGATACGCCGCCCTTGATGATTCAAAATCCATGCTCTTTGATGGAGACTTCGTTGCGGGTCGGAAACCTGGCGATCGTATCGATGGATACTTATTTTGCTACGGTCATGACTACAAAGCTGCGATCAAAGCTTTCTATTCGATATCCGGCAACCAGCCCATCCTGCCCCGATATGCTCTAGGCAACTGGTGGAGCCGGTACTATGCCTATCACCAGGACGAGTATGTCCAACTGATGGACGACTTCCGTGCACACAACATCCCAATATCAGTGTCGGTGGTGGATATGGACTGGCATCTTGTTTCAGACCCTTGTGTACCTCATTCCGGATGGACTGGCTATACCTGGAATAAGAATCTCTTCCCAAATCCGGAGAAGTTCCGGAGTGACCTGCATAAGAGACGCCTGAAGATTACTCTGAACGATCACCCTCATAATGGCATTCACTCACATGAAGATGTGTACGAGGAAATGGCTAAAGCGCTAGGCTATAATGCTGAGGAAAAAAGACCTATTATCTTTGACCCCTCGAACCCCAAGTTTATGAAAGCGTATCTCGAGATGCATCATACTCTAGAGAAAACAGCATGTGATTTCTGGTGGATCGATTGGCAGCAGGGCCCTTACTCTAAAGTTTCTGGCCTCGATCCGCTGTGGCTTTTGAACCATTTCCACTACATTGACCATGGTCGAGATGAAAACATCACTCCCCTTATCTTTTCTCGATACGCTGGGCCTGGAAGCCAACGATACCCTGTAGGATTTTCAGGGGACACGGTGGTCAGCTGGGATTCTTTGGCCTTCCAACCGGAATTCACCGCAACCGCGTCAAATATAGGTTATGGATGGTGGAGCCATGATATTGGCGGTCATATATTTGGGGACAGAGACGATGAGCTTGTTACTCGTTGGGTCCAGCTGGGTGTCTTTTCGCCTATTTTCCGACTACATTCGTCTGATTCAAAGTGGAATTCGAAAGAGCCGTGGATGTATCGCTCAGAGTACGAGAAGGTCATGTCTAACTTTATGACGTTACGACATCGACTGGTACCATTCTTGTACACATGCAACGTGATTGGCTCTGTTGAGGGTGAGCCTTTGGTGCAGCCGATGTACTGGTGGTACCCGGACGCTGAACTGGCGTACGCGTTTCCCAATCAATATATCTTTGGATCGCAACTTTTGGTTGCTCCCATTGTCGAACCTCGGAATAAAACAACGAACTTGGGGGCTGTTAAAGCATGGCTGCCACCCGGTCCCCGGTTTGTTGATATATTTACTGGTCAGCTGTATGACGCAGATCGTGAGATCACATTTTACCGGGGATTAGAAGAATACCCTGTTCTGGCCCGTGAAGGAACCATCATTCCAATGGATGCCAGCCGGGTTCCTGAAAACGGTTGCTTAAATGTGGACGAATTAGAGTTTCTCGTTGTAATCGGCAACGATGCGGAAGCCATTGTTCTGGAGGATACTCGAGATGATGCGCCTGATGCGACGAGAGGCAAGGGCCAACGAAAATCCGTTGCACACTTCAAACAGACAGAAGGAAAGCTTACCGTGGAACCAATGCAACGCGCCTCAAAATTCCGATTTCTGTCGTTGAAGTCCGTGCCAAACGACTTGAAAGTTTTCTGTGACGGCATCGACAGGACGAAAGAGGTTAACGTGACCGTCGAAGAGGCATGTCATGCGCCTGGCCTCGTTATTGAATGCTCTTTCTCTGCGGTTGGTCAGTACATCGTAATTGAACTCGGTTCCGATCCTCAAATTGGCGTGATGAATCCGACGAGCCGCCTTGAACGTCTAATACTGGACTATCAATGTGCATTCGAGATGAAGGACCAGTTGTGGAAAATTGTGACAGACCACAGGAAATCTTTCAATGCTATGATGAGTTCATTGTTATCGCTTGGTTATGATGCCCCTCTCGTTGGTCCTGTGTTGGAGCAGCTGTTGGCAGACAGCCGGCTATATTCGCCATCTGGAATGCGGACGACAACCAATAAATAGGTCATCTACAGTTCGAAGGGTTCTTGACCGTGGAGTTGTGGCCCTCTAGAATAATAATATGGTACATGACTCGTCCACATAATATTATACTCGAGACAGTTTTTGACAAATTAGAATCTCATGGAGGGAAGTGCGCAGCTGTCGTCGGTCCCTATGTCTTCCGAAATGCCGAAGGAGCTAAGTTAAAATTCAATAGTAATGACATCTTATTGGATTGTAGAAGACTTGAGAAAAGAATCCCGTCCTTGGAATACGCAGGTTGTATCTCATATTGCTAGTCACGAAGCAACTATGATGCCTGCGATGGTGCCATGCCATATGGTGACCATCTGAGATGTTCGCCTGGATTCAAACCTTTTGTCACATCCATACCAGGAAAATGGCATCCAAGTACAAGCCATGCTAAAACAAACATTAAAGGACAGCTCCATCTTTTACACAGTCGACATCAAGCCGACGCTCATCTAGCCCTACCCGCGTGAAGGCTCAACTAGCAACAGCATCGCCGAGGGTGGCTTTTGTGGACGGTAGCGCCGATTCAGGACGCATCGGACGACAGCACACCATGGTAAGTGAACACAGACGTCGTTAAGAAGACATCATCGGCGTCGTCTCGTGGTGCTACCGAGCTTCGGAGCCAATGGTCTTGGGTGATGGATGTCGTTCGACCATGGCTGGAAGCAGCAATCAGCGGCCTTCCTTTGAAGTCTTCGAGTTTGTATGCTGTCATTCACCCCAAGACTACTCTACGAAGTAGACAGCCTCGGCACCGATAGTCTCTATAGGTAAACGGAATCAGTCTATTCCAAATACCTACCTTGATATATTGTAGGGCTACCAACAGAAGCAAGGAAAGAAGAATACGAGCGCGCGGAAATCGACATCTTCAGTCGGAATCTGAGCCATACAGACCACCCACATACCGGGAAAAGACTACTTGGGCTAGGTGTGGAAGTTTAAACCACTGGATGGAAATTTGATCGAGGCCCAGGTACAGTTGGCGGTCTGACTGAATGGACGACTTGATGTCTTGGGCATATTCCAGTCAACATCACCGTGCTTTCAACCTATCTCCTCCGCCGAGCGTCGGTTGCACCGTCATTGGAGAAGACTGGAAGTTTTATATCCTCTACGGCGTTGTGAGCGCATCGCGTCAGGTCTATGGAGTGGTATGCGGCCAAGATGTCCATGTTTTCTATCTGTTTTAAAGCTGACCCTTCTTAGTGGGTTTGGGGTCCCTTTTCGTTCCTTTAAGGCCAAACCATGGATGAATGTGGTGTCACTGCTCTGGCCTAAAGGCTCCGTCGAGTTATGCAATATATCTGCACCTCATATACAGAACAGAACAGCTCATCTCCGCAATTGCCAGTAGCTATGTCCAATAGATATATTCCTGGGTGGTATGATGTATTCTCTCTGAAGTTTCTTGTAGGCTTTCTGGGGAATTTTAAAAATTAGAATAATTGATATGGAATCAGTGAATTGTACTCTTGATCCAATTCCAGATAAAGAAAAAAAGTCCTAAATGGACTATGCAGACAACGTGATGTCAGTGACCCATTCTTTCATTCACTTCCCTTCCCTGCACTGCCGCCTCCTCCAACTTCACTTTTGTTCACCCACTTTCTGTTCTTTCTTCTTTCAACCTCGTCCTCAACCACACTCACTAGAGGGACTCGCGCCATGGCCACTACTCCTTCTTCCTGCAGCCTCATGAAGCTGGCGAACCTTATCTCCCAATCAATCCCAATGCTGCAGGATGAGTCCTCCAAGCACGCACACAACGCCCGTGGAAACGTGATTGAGGCCTGTCGCAGGATCCTGGTTCTCGTAACAAGTCCTGGTGAGATGCTCAAAGAGATGGCATTGATTGTAAGAAGCCCTGTTCTCACACTGCCACTGGCTGTTGGCTAACCAATTGTGCAAAGGATAGACAGAATCTTGCATCCTTGCAGGTTATCAACCACTACCAGATCGCGTCCATCGTTCCTCTCGATGGAAGCATCCGCATATCTGAACTCGCCAATAAGTGTGGGCTGCCCGGGGACATTCTACAGCGGATCTTGCGACAGGCCATGACCTACGGTGCCTTCAGCGAACCGGAGCCTGGCTGTGTTGCGCAGACAGACGTCTCCAAGGAGATACCCCGGCTGTCGCCGCTGCTTACTTACCAGCTTGATGTTTGCTTGCCATCCATGGTCCGGCTTCTGGACTGGTTGAAGGGCGTCGACGGAGAACACACGTGCGCATATCAGATAGCTCATGATACCAAAGATACCTGGTGGTCGTCTGCTTCCAAGAAACCCGAACTGATCGAAAATTACGGAAAGTATATGGCATTGATTACAAGTGGCGGGGCCCATGATGTGAGTTACCTTCTGAAGGGCTTCGACTGGGAGAGGCTGGGAGACGCCGTTGTCGTAGATGTGAGTGTCGATGTATCCACTCCAACTCTCTTATATTTCTAATGAGCATAGGTTGGCGGCGCGGATGGATTCGTCGGAATTACCCTCGCAGAGGAGTATCCTAACTTAGTCGTCATCGTGGAGGACAATGTTGGGCTGAAGGATAGTGCCGATGGCAAAATCCCCCATCATTTGAAGTCAAGAGTGGTCTTCTTGCCTCACTCCTTTTTCAAGCCTCAGTCGGCATTAAGCCGCGGTGCGGACGTATTCCTTTTGCGACACATTCTGCACGATTGGAATGAGAAGGATTGCCGGGCCATTCTGCAGGTTCTTGTTGATAGCATGAAGCCGGGAGCCTCCATCCTCGTGGCAGAGCAAATTCTTCAAAGCCCTGGGGCCGCGACTTGGCAGCGTGAGCGAGTCATGAGAGCATTAGATATGCAGATGATGATCCAGTTCGGGAGCAAGGAGAGAGCCTTCGATGACTGGAATGCATTGTTTCTGTCCATCGATCCACCCTTGGACATTGTGAATTGCGTACACCCAGACGGCAGTGCGGACTCCTTCATGGAGCTGAAGAAGAGAGCATGATTGCGGCGGCTTTCACTTCAGAGCAAACGTCGCCACATGTGAGCCATGCCTGGGTGTCCTGTGATGGGGTGTATCATCGGTATTGAGGGCAGGTATTGAAAGGCCTTTTCAACAAGCTTGGACGAAGGCCTCACGGTAGGTCGATATGCTATTCTGTTATTACTTAACCAAGTCATAAGCCAATATGCAAGATGTTTGACCGAATGAGATTATTTCAGTTGATTTCGTTTGCCAAACACAGGCCATAATTTAAATATGTAAGACTTCAAACAGCGTCTCATATTTGATTAGATTAGTATCCAAGTAATATATCTCTAATATTAGTAGCTATGTACTCCATCCATCGGGCGATATACCCCAGGGAGGTCAGGTGATCTGCCACACTACCGTCTTCAACCGGCTTGGGTGTAAACCGTGGTGTTACTGACAGACTCAGCTGGCAGCCACTGTCCGGCAACGGTGTTGTTGTACGTGAGTTGGGCGAGGGTAAATGTGTTGAGCTCGGACACCAAAACCGTGGCATCCAGGGGCAAGACGCGGTGCACCTTGGCATTCTGAGTGGGCATCGAGATGTACTCTTCGCCGGAAATGGATGTGATGGCGGCGTCAAAGTTCACACGGATCAGGGCATCGGGCGAGTTGGTGCTGAGCAGCGACGTCGACAAGAGCCACAAGGCTGGGCCGCCTGCTTCGGTTGACGCGTCCGCGATATGCAGTAAACCAGAATTAGTGCCGAGCAACGGGTGCTGGAGCTGGAAGAACTCCATCTCGCCAGAAGATCCGATATGGCCAAAGGTTCCGGTGCCGCCAGTGGCATTCCCCGCGAGCGTGAACCACACTCCACTCATGGCACCGTAGGCGGTGGTCATTCCAACGGCGTTGTTGCCGGCGCTGGGCGGAATGGGCAGCTGCGTCGTCTCGCCACTGGTGACATTGATGCGCATGATGGACGAGTCATTATCCTGCGTGACGTAGATCAAACCCGTGGTCGGCTCCTCCTTAATAAACACGGGGCTGTTGAGGCACTGGTACAGCTTCTGGTCCGTGGAGTTAGAGACATCAGCGGAAAACACATAGTACTGGCCAGTTTGCTCGGATGCCACCTTGAGGCCGGCCCAGACGCGGTTGCCGATCTCAAACACACAATGCGGGCCATTTCCGGGTGCTGGGATATCAATCGTCTGTACGATGGAGGGCGGAGTCGAGAGGTCCTGGCCGGGATCCACAAGCAGCAGCTTATTGTCGGCCTGCAGCGACAGCCACATCATGCCCGGGTGTACTGTCGATGGCCACACGCCATCTAGCTGGGAACTACTGTTCTTTCCCATGGGGAAGGAGTGATAGGCAATGGGCTCCTCAGTGGTTGGATCCAGCTCGATCTTGATAAGCTCGCTATCGGACATCTGTGTCAGCAGCACGAAGTTCGTGTTCGGCACGCGCGCAAACTCGTGTGTCTCAGTGGTGGCCGGCATCAGATACTCAGTGACGCGACGGCTCACGAGTGAAGTGACGGAGTTCTGTGCTGATGCGGCGGTGGCGCCAAACGCCAGCGCGATCACGAGCGACTTGACAGTCTGGTACAACATCTTTGATGGTTCCCTGCTTGATGTTGTTGTTTTTTTTGTTTTGTTTTCGCTGGGATATCTCTGCACATGGTCGGACTAATCCCCCCTATTTAAGTGCTCAGCAAATTTGTAATTGCTCAACGCCACGTCTCGCACTAGTAACTTTGATATACCAGCCCTGCTACCCAGGCAGGAAGGATCATCTACAGAAACCTATCCATTCCCGAGGAACCCAACAACTAGGGACCAAAGCCGTTAGCGTCAAAAGTGGGTTTCAGCCATTTTTCCGATCATTTCCCAGATCTGGTAGATCGTGTATCTTTGGATGTACATCGTTTCCGAAAGTGAACAGTAGGAGAACTGAAGGGGGCGGCTAAAACCTAAGTCTGGGTTCGTGGACATGCTCGGAGTGATCTGTGCATCCTAGCCTTGCAAGATAGTCGCTTTTCATTGCGTTATTCAGTTAGTACTGTCGGCAGATTGTAAGACACTGTGGGCATCCAGGCCGTAACTAAATTAGTTAAGCACTTTGTCTCGTATTCGAGCTACCCAGGAGAGTCAGGGATTGACCAAAAATCTCTACAGTTTCGCTCGCCAGAAATCTTAGTCAATTCTCGGTCTTTAGTTATATACTGTATATACTGGAGATTACTACGGCTTTTTATAAACCTGTTTACTAGGCAAGTGGTCAAGATATTATTATAACTTGGGATGTAGAAGAGCTTTGAACGAAGAAAAAAATGATTAAAAACAAAAAAAGGAAGGTTACTGTAGAATTATACAGCGGCGTTTACTATTCCCTGCTCCATAGACAAGGGATTATTTACGCTGTCATTATAGAGCCCGGAAGCCAGGGAAACATCGGGAGTCAGTTTTAAAATATCCAGTATTATGAAGAAGGGCTATGAACTTATATCAAAGGTCCTTGGCCATCAATAAGGAAAGAACATTTCTCTCCTTTCCTTTTTATTCCCACTGCCCAATATAATGGCTGCCAATACTTAAAAGCTAAGAATCTTTAATTTTGGTTTTATACAGAATGATAGCTAAAGCAAATATAGATCTAATAAGGCATCTTGAAACCAGTCCCCGTTTTACAAACTCTAGCTTATTACATCTCAACCTGGGTTCTCTCTTTTTACCCACCAGAATCAAGGGAGCTGCACGGTTTGGTAACAGTCATGTGTCTTTGCTCAGCCTGCCTTTCTGCGCGCTTTGTGCTACATCTTGGTTGCTCCCAGATCACACAAGAGCACTATAGAAGCAAACTTAATAGAGCTTGTTTTTAATCCTTGGCTAACCCGGGTAACGGCCGTCGTAAGCGTTTGCAGTAGTATACATTGGCCTGAGAATCAATATCTTGAAACCTCTCCTTGTGCAATGCATGCTTGGCAGTCTTTGGATTCATAATTCGCACTGCAAAGACCGCTGCAAATTCCCGAGGTGAGCGGGCGTAGGATGTAACCCCAGGGATCACCATCCCTTTTGGTTTCTATTAGCAAAAAGATTCAATTTCACCTTTGCCACCAGGCGGTTCACTTACTTGTTGGTCCATCCCGGGCTCTTACATGAGCCTGCCCGACATTCTAGCGCAGCACGACACTTATTCTTCGCGCCACAGGGTGAGTTCAGGCTCCCATCGGCTGGGTAGCATTGTTTGCGCTCTGGGAATAGGATGCTCTTGTAACAGTAGAGGCCGGAGCCGCAGTCCGAATGGCGCTCACACGCGGCGTTTTCCATGCCGGGGCAGCTGTCGCATTTGCCTCGAACACAGCAATGACCTTTCAAACATTGTTCCGTCGCCGAACATTTGTCGCCGTAGAAATGAGTATGCCCACACTTCCCGGCGGATGAACAGTAGGTCGGACCACGGCCTGGACAATCACCCTCTGTCTTACAAGACTGGCCGATTGATATAGCACATTTGCTATTCTTGCAGTAGCCGGTTTCGCATTCGCTGTCCTTGTTACAGCGGTCGTTGTAGTTCAACCTCTTGTTCGCACATTTCCCGTGAATGCACTTGTAACTCGCACACTCTCCATCGTCCCGACAGCTTCCACTATCGCTGACGCCCTTCTTCCCGCACGTGCCCTGTAGACAGAGTCTGGATTTGCACTGCATCCCCGCGTGACACCGGCCGCCATCTTCCACGTCCATGGGCCGACACTCACCCGGGCAGTACCCCGACGCGCACTGCTCGGGGATATGGCACTGCTCATAATCGCTGAGATCCCCTGGGACGCAACGATTATTGTGGCAGGCGTTGGATGCACATACCCAGTGAGTGTCGCACTCATCTCCTTCCTCTAAATCATCGGGACGGCATATGCCCCCTAAGCAAAATCTCGAATCACACTGCTTGCTGTGCTCGCAAGCACCCCCGAGTTCTCTCCCCTTGCAGACCCCATCGACACAGAAGGCCTCACACTCGTTGCCCTTAGTGCAGGTCGCTCCGTCGGGTTGTGGAGGCTTGCATAACCCATCTGAGAGGGAGCAGAATTCAAAATCGGGACATCGTGGGCTACAACTCCGATGGCAGGTACCGCTTTTGCATACCCCAGGGGCGTAAGAACTAAGCTTGCCATCTCTAGAGTCCTCAGCGTCGCGATAGCGGGAGTAGTAATGACGTTCTTGCAAATGAAACATGAAACGCTCGATATACTTGCCACTATACTCTGCCTCCTCCTTGCTTAACCATATACAGTTGTGATCATGGCATAGGGAGACACAGTCATCGTTGGCGCTGCATTCTTGTTCGAACCTTCCCTTAAACCAGCCTACTCGATCAAGCAAGATCCGAGGCTCACGGTGATAATGGTAACTGCTGCGGCATGTTGCCACAGGGGCAATTCCCAATAAGAATAAGGTTACCCAACTGCCACGCATGATGCTCTCTGCAGATAAGTGGAAACCGTAATGTCACCATGATTATTTCTGGGGAAAGAGTAAGGGGGTTTATAAAGATCGAGCACGGCATGCCCATGGGAGCTGAAGAAGCAGAGCTTCTCCACCAGGTGGAACCTCTAGCCGGATGAAGCGGAGATCAGCATCGATGAGTTCGTCTACAGTCTCCTACATGAACTCTCCCCACTTTCAGGATTTTCCTGCATACTGGCCAGCTGAACTCTTTTTTTGGGTCTCCCGCAAGGTTTCGGCTCTCTCTGTATTCATCAAACATGACAGAGTGGTTCACACAGGTTGTCATACGCAGAAGCAGCTTAAATAACACATTCTTATACAGCGTAGCCCAGAACCTCCCTTAACTTCACTAAGAAAGCTTCTAAGACATATAGGCAGCTGGAATGATATCGTCTCTCAAGACCGTGTCATTCCTAGCCTCATTGGTTTGTCTGAAGAGGGTAGTGTTGGGCAGCAGCGCAGCTAGTCGCGGTGTGAGCGAACTCCTAGGAGTGGAAAAGGATGTACTGAACAAGCCGGGGAAGACTCTTATTAAATCTTAGAAGGCCAAGGAGCGGGACTAGCTCAGGCTACTCTGTGAGCGCTCACCGCTTCCTCAACGATCGTCCTGACGCTTTTGGATAGTGATCTCCTGGTAGAAGGGTAAGAAGCCGATCGCTTCCAAGGTGGGTCTTAGATTATCACTACTATGGCGTTCTATCGACTGCAGAATAAAAACAGAAAAGAAAACAAGAATTCAGTGATTACGCCAAGAGCTCTCTGCCATCACTCTCCAGCCGACCGACGGTAAAGGGCTTCTATCGCAGCTCGATCGACTTCCATACCCGGTGAGCACCAACCCTACCCAGCATATTCGAACAGTACTAAACATAGATCCAACGCCGTGATCAGCATGGAGAAACGAGTCGATCCCCTTGGGTGGCTCATGAGCCCATTAAGAAATGGGTTATCTCACCAAACGTGAGCGTCCTCCTTTCCATAGTGGTAACTCTCACTTCCACCCCGAGCACTGGACCGGCGCCAAAGCGAAAACACCAGCATCGACCAGTACTGAGTTTCATTCGGCAAAGGCAGTCGACAGTGCGTAGGCATCAAATGCGTGTCCACGAATCTGAAACTCGAGGCCACCCCCCTACGCCACAAGAACAAGGTAAAAAGCAAAAGGCGAGCTGCCAACTAATCATACATCACAGCCTTGCATATGCAAAGCTATACCTAACTCTCGCGACCGTCTTGCAATGCTTCTAGATCACGACTGTCAACTTAACAGTAGCCGTAAACATGGCAAGGGATCACTTCGTTGAAGTTCGCGAAACTGGTGGGAAAAGTTGCCAGGGCCAACTGTGACGAATGCAGTGATGTGTTATCTCGTAAGTATAACGATAGAATGGATACGGTGGGAGCGAGACAACGGTTATGGCTACTTCAGTGACCTTGTATGCAGGCCTACGTAGACACTCTTTGCGGGGTTGCGTATCGCTGTAAGGGAGTCGCTAGTTCTGTCCTATGACTCGTTATAGATAGGAATTAGTCATTTGAACGCCATTATCGTCCAGAGCATAATAAAGTTTATGTCTACTGTAGATTGCCTAAGCTTAGTTAAGGTTACCAAGTATAGTTGTGTGGGTGGAGATGAAGTAGGAAGTGATGTGAATCTAGAATTGCCATGTATCTATGGAGAGGTGTGGAAATGACGTGGTCCAATCATAATCCATATCATGTCACTTCGTTCTATGCAAGGGAGAATACAGTATTGTACATACATAACAGGTGCAGGATGGATAGTATGGAGACACTCAGAGTAGAGACCTCGTGTATAGGTGTGATATTGAGTACAAGTACCAGACTTGAAGTAATACATATGTTTTCATAGTAATCAAACAAACAATGCAAAGCTGTAGGTAGTATGTTGTGGTGGTCATGCAGTGTAAACATCATTCGTGCAATATAAGAGTAGAACAGGAGATCAACCGAGATGAAGGAAATATACAAAGGAAATTTAGATGGAGGGTCATCGCTCAAAACACAATCCCCAACGCCAGTCATGATAGTTCTAGAGACAAAAAGCCAATGCTATGGTCAATCTGTGTGGCTGGATCACAAAGAATGTTGATACATCTTAGACGAGCATCAATAGGACGAGAATAGAAAAGGAAAGCATAGAAACGGTCAAGTCAGAGTACCGATCATCTGCTGTGTCAAACGGGAAATCGAACACCGCCACGTTCCGTGCACCGTGGCTGAGAGAGGATCCGAGGAAGAGTCCTAGCCTTAGGATCCTGGTTAAAACGAAGGCGATCGCGCTTCAGGTTAAACAATTTGATCATACAGGCCATCGCCTGCTCGTCGGTCAGACGGACCTCGGGAAGGGTCGTGCCGTCCAGCGGCAGATCCTTGACAGCAACCGAAACCATCCACCGAGCAAGAAGACCAATATCCCGGGCGTTACCCCAGCAGGGGAACATGGAGAGGATCTGAATGGCTCGGGTGAACTCCCGGTGGGTTACCTCGCGAGGATCGGTCAAGTACAGGCGAGGGCCCTGGACACCTTCCTCCTCAAGTCGTCGGTCCAGCAGGCGGAGGCATTCACGAGGAGTTGGGTTGCGGAAGGGAATCTCCTCCTGGAAGAGGCTTGCCAGGCGAGGCCGATTGGCGAGCAGGTGGTCTAATTCCTGGGAAGGTCCTGCGAGAACGACAACCATATCTTGGGAGAGCTTCGGCAGCAGGTAGATGAGCTCGTCCATCGCCTGCGTGGTGTATTCGTTGTCTCCCAATCGATGGGCATCCTCGACATACAGCAGCTTGCCGCGTCCGCGCTCCAGCTGCGACCGAGTCCGGATCGATGTGTGACTGACGCTCGTAGTAACGAGATCAGACACTGAGCATTCAACCATGGCAGCAGTCTTCAAGACCCCCATCTTATAATACAAGGCGCTTAGATGACGGGCGACGGTCTTCTTCCCAGTTCCTGTGGCGGTCAGTTAATAATCGTCTTACACTCAAAGCAGTAGGAATAACTTACCACTGGCACCCTTGAAAACCAGTGTGCACGGGACTCGCGCTCTAGGGTCATGGTTCTGGAACCAGGCAATCTTCATCTCATTGTGGTACCGTTTCAGCACAGAGATGATGTCGTCGGGGACGATCGTGTGACGCAGTTCTTCCCGGAATGCCAGGGCGGCCTTGCCGCCCACCAGGTCGGCGTTGAAGTACTCGGGCTCGAGCACACGTTGTGACAAAGGTCCGTCGGGCGCCCGAGAGCGCCTCTGGTCGAAATTACGGTTGGCAGCCGTCAGAAGACGCTCAATTCCACGTGCGTTGTCGAAGTCTTTGCGCATCCGGGCGCTCTCGAGGATATCCATCGCCGCTTGGAAGGCTTCGGGAGTGGCATCCACATCTTGCTCTTGCAGTTTCGCCTGGAAGAGCTCCTCCATCTGCTCTCGAGTGAGCGGCTGGAATCGAACCACTTGGTGTTCGAGCATCCTTGACGCCTCCTTGAGTTCTGGGAGCAATGTGTCAACGGCATGGTCGGAGCCGACGAGGATGGTGCAACGATTCTCTCCGTTCGCAGACAGCTCCTTGATGAGCATGTCCAGCACACTATCGGAGACATGGAAGTCATTGTCGTCGGTCTCCGGGGTGTCCATGTCGATAATTAGAGCTTTTCCGACGGTCGAGGAGAGAATGCCGTCGGTATCAGAGAGGTTATTGAACGCCGAGAGTGGCTTGATAGTCACTGCCGCACAGTTAGATACTGGTAATGCCTAAGGGGGGATTCAATTTTACTTACCTTCGCCATTGCTGAGGAGACCGAGATCCGCAAGAATCTGCGCGTACAGCTTCGCTGCAGTGGTCTTGCCCGTACCCGGTGGACCGGCGAAGACACGGTTCACTCGCACCAACAACCGCTTCTGGTTCTTAACCTCCCGCCAGTAGTTCTCCTCCACCGTGCCGAAGACCTCGCGGACGGAGGCCTTAACGGGCTCCTGTCCCACGAAAGACTGGAGAGACGTCCATGCGGCGCTCTGAGACCGAATGTCGGACGGGTTGGGCCCCAGAATATCATCCTTGGAGAAGAAGAAGTAATCTACATCCTCCATTCCGATGTCCTGCTGCTCCATCAGGCACTCAGCTTGGCGGTGTGCGATGGTCTCCACAAGTTGCCGCACGGCATAAATATTGGTAAACCCTTCACCGCGACTGCGGGCAAGTCGGCGAGCCGCAGCCTGCATGTACTGGCCGTCGAGTCCCCCTTCGACCTGCATTTTTCCGCCGTATTCCTCGGTGATACGGCGACCCAAGAGTCGGAGAAGCTCTTGGCGGTCGAAGTCTGCAAAACTCACGGTGCTACACGTCCGGCGCTGCACTCGGGGGTTCTCGTGAAGAAAGGTCTCCATATCGGGGCCTTGGCCGATGAAGACGACGATGATCCGCCCGGTCTTCCGTTCCATCGCCTGAAGGAGGCAGTCAATGATCTCCTTATGCGATTCAAGCTTGGAGGGCATCAAGGTGTGAGGGTTGTCGACGATCAAGACACCGGCTGTCGGTGCGGAAGGAGACTCGGAGTTGACCATCTCTTTAATTAATTTCTGGGCGCCCTGAGGGCCCTTGATGGCAAGGTCTCGGCCAGATATTTCTTTGATGGTATTGGAGTCGGAGATGCCGATGGCGTAGAGCATCTTGGCGTAGATTCGGGCAATGGTAGACTTGCCTACGAAATCGACTCAATTAGTATCGGAACTCTCCGATTCTTACGAATGGAAACAAACTCACCTGTTCCTGGGTTCCCTTGGAACACAATATTGTACCATTCATTGCGGGGTTCTCGACCATGTCGACGGCAGATCTGCACCCAGTTCTGCACCCCAAGAAGCTGGCGCTTGACGTTCTCCAGCCCCACCAGATTCTCGATCTCGTCGACCAACTCTTTTTTGGCGGTCTCACGACTCACCCGATCTTGTTCGGCGGACCGTTTCTTCTGTAATGTGGATGCGATATCAATCTTGGGAGCCGGCGCCGGCGCCGGGGGTTGTGTCTGAGTTTGTGTCGATGTGGAAACGGAGAGGGACTGTTGCGACCGTCGAGGGCCCCATAAGCTCGATAAGAGCGAGGGGAAACGGGAGGTATTTTGCCTGCATTCCATCTTGCGGCACGGACACAACTGTGAAAGGAAGCCTCGTAACGTTGACAGCATAAAGTAGTATAAGGGAGGTACGGTAAAGGTAAAGATCTTGCGAACTGTCGCTCTCAACATCCAAGGTTCTTTATAGATAGGATAGGATAGAATAGTAGTAGTAAAGTTGAAGTTCTGATTCTCCCTCGCAGCCCATGGCTGCTGGCCCCCTTTTTATCAGACACATCTCTTCTGCCCATCGTCTTTGGGAAAGAAAAATCTCCGGTTGATCCACGATGAGTCGCCATGCGTGTGAATAGCAGACGCGGTAAGGCATGAGAGGCAGGCGAACACAATAGGCCTATGATGAGATGACAGATCAGAGATGAAGCGAATTCACCGCTCTTTGGCACACCACGCCTCACCCTAATGAGGAACTAAAGATCTCTGGAATAAATTAGTGGAGATCGACTCCCGAGTGGGTCTCCATTTCACATGAAATGCACCCAGTCCAGTTATCGTTCGCGTACGGCGTCAAAGCGTCTGAGTTGTCCGGGGTTCGGATCATGTCAGGTCCTTAGGGCAGGCATCATTGAAGAAACTAATCCCTGGGACCTGAAACAATGCTGAAACGATCCCCTGAAAGTATTATTCTAATTCCCCTGAGGCGTTAAACTGCTCAGATCAGGCGACCTATGACAGCATGAGCAAGGAACCAAATCATGGATAAGGTGCATAAACCTACCTTTCCTTTCACGTTCTTAGGCATCGTCAATCATCAGGCATGCTTTAGTTCCAATCCAGATCGAATGGAACAAGACGGTGACTGCTGCTCGCCCAGAATAGTATAGTCCGCTGTCAGGTGCTTTGTGGCCAATGAACGTGCACCACATCGTCCCGGGGCTTAATAATCCTTCTGCCTGTGACCACTCACGGAATTTCTAGAATTTTAGGAATATTTTTTCACCTGAAGGGCATTGGACGTCATCTTCTGACTAAACCTTTTGAACAACAAACAACCGACAACCATACCGAAAGGAAGTGGCTGGTTAGGTAGGGAAAAAAAAATTGATACCTACCTCTCCACCAATAAGAAATGCCAGATTCAACAGCAGTGACTCATTTGCTGAGGGACTTTTGGGTTGCTGTGGCAGAGGCTACGACCACGCAGACTGGCGCTATACTTTACAGACTATACTATGGAGTACTCCCGGAATATACCATGCAACCCACCAGAGCATGGTCCACTACAACCCCTCCTTCTCAGGGGTACCGGTGCAGTTTAGCTGGTCTGTGTTGGTGCCATCTGCAAAAAATATTTTCCTGGTTATGAACAGGCCCCGATTCAGGAAACAATGCGTGTGACTCACAGAAACCCACCATTCACCTGCAGCGTTGACCGGCATTTAGGCTCCACCATTATACGGAATTAACTTCTTTTTTTTCTTTTCTCCCTCGAGAGGAATTTCGAATCGGCCGGGGATGACTTTCCCGGCATCCGAAAGTTCTATGACGATGATGCCATCAGCATGATTCTCGGCCATGTTGGTCACCGCATCACTCCAGATGGACAGCCACGTTGCCTCATCCCCCCTCTTCCATCGTGCCTGACAATTGAACGAGGGGTATCCAACTTCTAAGGCGATAAATCGCCCCTCGGGCTGCTGGGAAAATTTCGGGCCGTTTGTTGGGTGACTCTGCCCATCGTTCACCAAAGTACATACCCAGTCGGTGTACGCTTTATGACACCAACGGATATTAGCCAACGACAAGGAGAATGCCATATTTCAGGCGACTACATCATAGATAAAATCGTCATAGATAGTCATTTTGCTACGGTTACTGTTTGCCGAAAACCTCCTGATGCCCCCGAGTTAACAGCGCATCATCATTTGCCCTTCGAAGCCATTTGGGCACCTTCGCGATAGCCGCGGTACGTCCCAAGGGCTTGATAGACAGCCGCTTCCCAACTATTACTGGCGTCAGCGTCTCTGGCGACCGCTCAACTTCTTCGCATCAATCTAAACTGCGGTAGTGTGCCAGTATGAACTCGTTTCCCGATAGTGATACGAGGCGACCTGTGACCGAGCTGGTCTTCTCATGGCTAATGTTCCAATGCTGTCGATCGATGTCGAAAACCAAATCGATCAGCAATTTTCTCCCCATAGTCCCCATTGAGTAATCACCCATGGATGTGTACGCTGCATCGGTCGTACCTCATAGATCTTGTTGTCAACTTTCAGATTCTCACGGCATATCCTAAAATAACATCGTTTTGTCCGCAATGATTGGCTGCACAATTTCGACCACTTGCACCAATCATTGCGTGTCGATCACGAGGCGACGGAGGAGCACAGCCTCACCTGCACTAAGCAACCAAATCGGATACGCTTATTCTCTCCCACTTCACATTCCAAATCGATTGACTCAACGACGGAGGCTATGCTATGTCCGGACTAGAAATCCTCGGTATTGCTGCCAGCATTCTCCAGGTCGTAGAACTTGGCACCCATCTCTCAATTAAGCTCTATACATTCTGCCGCAGGCTCAAAGAGACAGACCAACGCATCCAGAGCCTATCCAGTGATGTTGCCTTGACGTGTAATGTTCTACGACAATTAGGCGACAGCCTCCAACAGGATGAGGATGCTAAACTCTATTCTATGGAGGCATTTGCGACAGCCCAACAAGTACTGGGAGAGTGTAGAAAGGTGTTCCAACGAATCAGCGATGCGGTGGATTATCCCGACCAAAAAGCCACAAAAGGCCTTCTCCAGAAGGCGGCAAGAAAGGTCGGGTTCTTGTGTATCGAGGAAGACCTAGAGGTTCTCAGAGTCAACTTGGAGCGCCTGAAGTCAACCATGCTTCTGATGCTGAATGTAATCATGTATGCTGGACAGCTGCGTAGGTAAGGATTTCCTGGTCGAAATCCGACAAGCTTCGCATAATAATAAATCAATTGAGCTAGTCGAGCAGAATCGAGCGTCCTCGAGGAGCAGCGAGAGCTGATTCGCACACTTCTCGAAGAGAAGAAAACGAACGAAACTCAATTTAAACGTTTGACGAATGCCTTGGAGGCTGCCAGAATTACGGACAGCCGGCCAAATAAATTTCAGGCAGTGACCTGTCTTACCACGACATTTGCCTACAATGATGTTCCAGTTGCGAACGACTTACTTTCGTCGGAGCTGCGAGAATACTATGCCTTGATGAAGAAAGTCCTGTCCGAGATTGACGCATATCAGTCTAGACTGGAATATGATCAATATCGCCGAATGAGAGATGACATTTTACAAAGTTGTTACTCGGAAATTGGCTACTGCGAAGCTCGTCACGGTCAGCGAGCGGGACAGTGGTTCCGGGAACAATATTCTACACTCTGCAAGGAGTTTGTGGCATGTACCTCTTCCAAACTCGATCAGGAGGTAAAAATAAGCCGGCGTACGAATATGGATTACGTTGCTCCGGCTTTGGAAAGTGGCAATCGACGGGCCTCTTCTGGCGGAGTCACTTACGACGATTGGAGGAGCTCACGGTTCGAATCGTTCACGTTTGGAACAAAAAGGAACAAGCACAGTGCTCAGCCTGTGCCAGTCCAACGGTCACCCAACATATTGAGCCATATACAACAACCAGTCACATCTCATGAGATGATTGCAAGAACACCCTCATTAACACTCTGCGGTCCTCGACCCCCTTTCTCAGAGACATCCAACCCAATCATCCAGCCCCAGTATGGGAATCCTGCGGCTGAAGCCTACGCAAAACAGCCAGGTGGCTCTCACGGGAGAGCCTATGTAAAGACGGAAGATACACATGACGCGAAATCCTTTTTGATGAAGTGGACAACTTTGGATGAAAGTGAACTTGGTTCCTGTTGAAGAATCTCATGCATTGGTTGTTTACGCCGATAAACGAGCATTGTGAACTATTTTAGTCCCACTTTCGCGTTGCAGTCATGTGCACTATATTCCACCGCCTGCTCAATTCAAGTTAGTATTTGCCGGTCAAAACAAACGACCTTTGATAGGCGGTGATGTCACCTCGAGCATCACTGGGAATCCAAATGAGTGTCTACTGTAGGACGTTTCTCCATGTTTCATTACGATGGAAGGAACGTAGGATGGATAAGTTAATAATGGTTTGAGTGCGCTTAGAATTCCTCAGGTTTGTGGAATAACAAAGATCCTTACTAGTGAAACATTATCTACATACTATTATGCACCAATGCTTCCCCATAAATATATATCTGCCACAGGTGCAGTTCACACTGGCCTGAGAAAACAAATAACTGCGTCTATTAATATACTACATCAGTCCAACTATGATACTGTCTACAAGTGAAAAATTACAGCAAATTAAAGGGCTACACTTAATAAAGGAAATATTAAAAATATCACATCGTCAGTCATTGACTCATTGTAAAAGGGAGCAAAAAAGATGGAGACGCGGGGAATCGAACCCCGGACCACTCCCATGCTAAGGGAGTATTATACCACTAAACCACATCCCCAATTGTATACACGTGATAAAATTGTATTGTTAGATCATGCAAAGCCAAAGTATTTCTGAAACATTTCCGTTCCGTTATTAAGAGTAGTGCCGAGCAAATACCGAACTTCTGTCATTCACTGACGCGTTTCCTAATCGGTGTCGTTATGTGCATTGCACTTAGAACTTTGAATCGTTTCTTGAAATAGTATTCATCAAGAATATATATAATATTACCCGCCTCATCGACGCAAACACCGTCCAACCCGCAATAGATTTAATTGAACAAGAACCGAACCGCTTTGGAGACATGCCTCATCGCGCCCGTTTTGTCCTCCACGGACTCTTCATCACCAGTCTTGACATAGAATCGCCGGAGACCGTCGAGGTCGATCGTTCGGGCATCCACCCAGAAAGGACCACGATAGTAGATCTTGGCCCCGATGTAGATGACGATGATAGCAACAACACTGACATAGTTGGCAAAGAAGTTCTTCGCCGTGGTCTGTCCTTTCAGCGGCCACAGGCTCAGGTAGAACTCTGCGATGATGAGCAAGATACACCATACCAACCCCCAGATGGCCGCGTAGGGGAACGTCCAACTTTTCCACGGCAGGTCGCATACATCGCGACCCTGGATTTTCCAAGCGTAACGCATCCGCAGGTGCGATAGACAGATCATCGCCCAGCCGAACAGAGTGAACAGAGATGTGAGATTGGAGAACCAGGTGAAGACCTCCTCACCGCTGTTGCTCACATTGAGATAGGCCAGGCCACCTCCGATGAGAAGAGTAATGAAGAGTCCGGCTAGGGGACGTCCAACCCTATCGGCTTTGCCGAAAATCTACATAGTGCGAGGTGCATTCTGTATCAGCCATCTTCACCTGACTAGCGTTTCTAGGGTATACTTCACTTACCTTGGGCGCCATCTTTACATGTGCCAGCCCCATGAGCGCACGAGACCCGGCATATCCAGAGATGCTCCCCGTGGACACGACCGAAATGAAGACCACGGCGTTCATTATATGGGCCAACGGCTCGAGACCCGCGTTACGATAGGCAATGACAAATGGTGAGGCGTTGACTCCCGAAGCGCCGAAGAGATTGTTGTCCTTTGGGTCAACCGTGATGGTAATCATGAGGGAGCCTAGAATATAGAATAGAGAAAGGCGCAGCCAGATTGATCCCACCGCCTTGGGGACAGCTCTTTTAGGGTTGGAGGTTTCGGCTGCAACTAGAGCGCAGTTCTCGGATCCAGACATGGCAAAGATACAAGTGGGCATGACAGTGAGAAAGCCTTTGAATCCATTCGTGAAGGCGTATGAGTTCCAATACCGAAAGCCAATAGGGCCCTCAGCAGGGGCGCCTCCTGCAGATACGACTGTGACATGTTAGTCGAGTGGGGAAGGAAGATATTCGTGCCGTTTCTCTCACCAATCAGGGAGATGATGACAATGATAATCCAGCCAAATTTGATGGAAGACGAAACAACTTCTACTTCGCCAAAGAACTTGACAGCCCACACGTTGATAAGGATGATCACGACCCAGAAGATGGTAATCCAGGCTGCCGTGGGTACCCTGTCGGTCCAGAAACTGAGAACAGTCACGACACCCTATGGTGGTCAGGTTCTGGGCATTCGAGAGTCACCCATGGTTAACCTACTTGTAACTCGTTGGCGATGGTGATCCAGTAGGAGAACCAGTATGCCCATCCCAAGGCAAATGCCGCAGCCGGGTCAACAAAGATCGACGTCCACTGGATAAATGCTGAAGGCAGAGGATACATTACGGCCATTTCGCCGATGGAATGGCTGACCGACCAGATCATGGTACCACTCAAGAGGTAGCCGATAAAAATGGCCGCTGGACCGCCATTTGCTAGGGATGTCCCACTGCCCAGCCATAATCCCATGCCAATCGATGACCCCAGGGCAATCATGGTAATATGGCGGGTGGATAGAGTCCGCTGAAGATCTGTTTCGGCCCCATGATCGATGTCAAGCTCCCAAGCTGCAGCGGGCTGGGCGGTCTTTTCCATACTCCCTGACGAACTGCGCGGGGGGATGATGGATTCGGTCATATTGAAGGGAGAGAAAGAAAGTTAAACTGGGTCGCAAAGTATCGAGCCAGAAAGACAATGAGTCCGGGGTTAAGGGAGTATTAATATAACAACAACCAGCGGCGAATGCTACTATACCCTTTTGTGAACCAAAAATAGCGGTTTAGCAAGGGTAGATAAGACCTCAGTTTTATCTTTGCGTGGACCACTCGCAGATAACCTTTCCTGACCCAAGTACTACTGCGACCGCAGTGCAACCTGCATATGGGCGATATTCTAGGTTGGGAGGTTTCTTGAAATGCGTATCATCGCGTGGTCAGACCGTTAGGCTGAAGGTTGATAAGTACCCTTCGGCCAATTGCACATCTGCAAGAAGCCTTATCAGTAGCCCTTAATGCATCGACTGATATCGAATGTACCACCAAGCCATCATCCGTGATACACAGTGTAACCTGCGAAGTAATTCCAAGCAGCGACGATTATTGAACGACCGATGGGATGTGGCTTGGGTGGCGGTCGGGGCTTCGATCAAGGTTACATACATGCTCAGCGAATTCTTTGCGTATTTTCCTGGGCTAATTGCGAGTGATTAGAGGAGTAAGCCGCAAAGGGAGCAATGGCGTTCGGTGCAGCCATGGATTATAAGGCTCCTTCTGTATCCCTTGCATCAACTCGGCCACGTTGAGCCACCTCAGCCCACGAGAAGGGCACATCACCATGTGCGCACGTTAGAGTTCATAGCATCGCGGGGAATCCTGGACTTGGATCTGCAAACGGAACCTGAAAGCATACTCCGTACGCACAAGTAGGTCAAGCCTGGATGTAGGATGAAGGAACCATGGAAACCGAACAATTTGGTGGTAGACATCGGAACGGATCGAGAGCCAATGGTGACATCACGATATCACTGGAGTAGTAGGTTTAAATTTACCCCAGATAAGACTATCAAGACAAGTCTGCAAGATTCAACCCGAGCATTGTGGAAGTGGGTCAGGCTCCTTGAGAGCGCTTATCACATCGTCTTGACAGCCCTTTGTTATCATTGTCATTCAATCATGGTGTTGTCCTCCTTAGCGCCCATTTCGGGTATCAGCGGATGGGAAGGACGCGTTATCGCCTTCTCCTAATTCGGCGCTGATTGACATGTTGTGAGGGAAGAGCAGGGATTTCTTGCGTCTGAGTGGTTAATCGGGCTCAACCTGACTCGCAGGAGGTTGCCATTTTTTTGTATGTTCGATTGGACCGCGTTTCAGACTTCTACTTAGTTCCACAAAACATGCCCTATGTATACACCAAAGAAAGAAAACATCCCCTCAACACTATTCCAGAATTACCCTTTTTTTTTTTTTTTTTTTTTAATTTTTCCCCCCCATTCTGGAAAAGCGATAAAAGAAAAAAAAGGAACAAAATCTGTGGACCTGTGGATCGACTACAGGCGAGTGCTATATCAAAATGATCAAAAGAGCTCTATGGTTAACTCTCCTGGACTGACCTTTTCAATAGCGCTGACGGCTGTGGCCGCTCTGTGGGAGCCAGGCGGAAGTCCGCACCAAGCAACTGATGCCGTGGAAATCCATGGCGGGCTCGCCATTATTCAGTGGCTCTGGTTGTTGCACGAGCACTTCTACTAAACTGGTGATTGTGATCTCCGCTGGTGTTTCGCTGTTACAACCCACCATAATACATAATAGACACGCCTACCTAGCACTCACCAATCAGTTGGACGGGTCAAATTTTGTTCCTGCTGCTATCGATTGTCGGCCCTTCCTGAGTCATTACGCGGCAGTAGGATGCCATAAGGATTATAAAGATGCAATAATAGAGCGGCACATCTACCGGGCTCCTAACCTGTCCGGGTACCCAGATGATGCAAAGCTCGAAGGTGTAGTCGATGCCTTCCATGCCGACTTGTCCTGCCAAGTGCTGATGAACTCAACCAAACTTCCCAAAGTACCCCTTCATATCGTCAGGCATGTTCAAGCGAACAGTTTATGGCACGCCATTTTGGTGCTCCTAACAGTCATCATGACTACTAGGTCGATTGATGCCAAACGCACCTTTCCTAGGAATCCTTGCATCGGCGCAGTGATCATCTTCTGGAAGGCTGTCCAGAGCTATTGGGAGACAGTGTAATTCCGACTGGATCGAAGCGGTGTTATCGCCGGGTGGCTGTTTAGTTTGGGATGTGAGGAGTTTGGGATTGGGATTGGGTAGGCTGAAAAGCCGTCGATATTCCGTTCGAAAGCGGAGGAACAAACAACAGCCACACATATTAGTACCTGATTAAAGAGCTATATATAAGTATCTCCATGCGATGCGCACATGCAAGACACTTGAAGTGATTTAATAATATAGTTTGTACAGAAGGAATGGTCGGGATGGATTCAGGTCCTCGTTGGAGTGACTTGACCGGGCACCGAAATGGGGGAACAACTCTCCGCAATAGATCACCGGTTGTGCGCGAATGTAAACGATTGAAGGCTAAGTCACAGGGGACGTAGACAGGGGCTATCGCTCAGCTGGCGGATAGGTTACTTGGCGCAGGTGTACCTTCACAACATATGCCATGAAAAATTAACAGAGCCATATTGTGCGGCTGTTCAAGCCGCCTCGGATGTTAACCGGCGTAGCAGAGTAAGACCAACATGTTCAACAGTTCCGCCAGAAACTCTCTGACAGAGCTACCGAAGCTTTCGCTAGCTTGGGCGCTGAGGTCAGAAAAAGAGTATGCAGGCGAAGCCACCCGTCAACCGCGGGTGGAAGCTAGCCAGTAGTATGGGCGATTACTGGGAGGTATTTCCGATACCAAGTCGGAAGGATCGCATTGTCTAGTGGTTAATTTAATCTCGTGCGTATATTAAGCTTGTGGTGTCAATGCGCTTGAGGTCGGGCTCGAGCCCCCTTCCATCTGCCAATCGTTGCTATGCTAGGGCTCCTCGTGACTGGCATGATTGTTTTTTTATGAGCAACCGTTGTAGTTGGGTGTTGGTGATGTTGGTGATGTTGACCATGGGCCCATTATTGCAGGTGACAAGAGAGCGAGAGGGAGTGTCGTGACCAAGCCTACACGTGCGGGCCGAGAAGTTAGACCAAATGTGGAGAGGAAAAAATGATTGCCGACTTTGACTCCGGACTGTCTGGTTCAATACCCCGGATTCTTTACACCGCATCGGTTGAATCACGCCAGATAAGATTGCTGTTATATTATTCCGAACACACTCCTACTGCTCATGTGAAATATTGACAACCGTTTCAAAATTCTCCTTCGCGCATGAATCCTGAGCACGATGTTAGCCGAGTGGCGTTTTTCCCGGTTAACCGAGTCCAGTCTATCGGAGTCTATTCAGCATCATGACCAATAGATCGATTGACCAGAGGGACTCGGTTCATCCCCCCGGTAGCGTTGGGCGCTCAGCCAAGATTCCGAACGGGATACGAATTGTGACGTCGTACTCGGTAGGCCTACGAAAAGGTCCCTGAGACGGTGACGCAGGAAGAAGAATGAGCCCCCTAAGAAAACCGGTCAAATTAATTCCAAGTCTCGTCATGCCATCCATTCGCGATTCAAGATGCATCGTGAGTCTCGGTTAAATAACCATTCATCCGAAAGCGCAGCTCACCAAGAGGGAAAATCTCCGTTTGGAATCAACCGAGTGGATAAGTCCCTGGAAGGCTCTCCACACCATGACGCCGTTGATTTGTCGAATCTCCATGTTCTCCATAGTACTCCGTGGTCGTCCCCCGGACCTCCACATTCTCTCGACGGCCGATCCCTTCTTTTTACGGGTCGCCCGCCGGTCCATTGTCTCGCCCGTTCAAGCCATATCAGCCTATGCAGTCGCTATTATATAAAGCTTCTCCAGGGTTTCGCGGGTCAAGCTCTTTCGGACGAACCCAACGTGGCCGCTAATTCTAGGGCTTAGTTACTGGCTAAGATGTATCGGATTACAAACATATATGGTATGCCAGGAGACCCAAAGTGACTGACCAACGCGAGATAACTGACGCGATCATAGTGCTCGCCGCTTTTGGCACCATTGGCGGTGCCCTTTTCGGTTTCGATGTTAGGTAAAGAAGCACCGCGATGTTACTTTCTCTTCGAGCTGATTCTGACTCGGGAAAACAGTTCTATGAGTGCCTGGATTGGCACGAAGCAGTATCTCGACTATTTCAACAGCCCTGACTCCAACTTACAAGGTGGTGTATGTATAATCTCCTCTCACGCCGGTCGTCCAGATGGCGAATATTGACTCGCTGTCGTTTAGATCACCGCTTCCATGTCCGCGGGTTCCTTTGCTGGCGCCATCGCTGCTGGTTGGATCTCTGATATCGTCGGTCGTCGGATGTCCCTCATGATCGCGAGTGTGATCTGGATTATTGGTGCCGTCCTTCAGCTTAGCGCACAGAATGTCGCGCACCTGGTTGTTGGACGTGTCGTCAGCGGTCTCTCTGGTTCGTACCAACGATAGCCCCTCTAGCACCTTCTCAGACTAACCAACCTCGATAGTCGGTATCACTTCCTCCCAGGTCTGTGTGTATCTTGCAGAATTGGCTCCCGCTCGCATCCGTGGTCGCATCGTCGGTATCCAGCAATGGGCCATCGAATGGGGTATCCTGATTATGTATTTGATTTCCTACGGTTGTGGAAAGGGTATCGCTGGCCCAGCCTCGTTCCGCGTCGCTTGGGGGATCCAAGCCGTCCCCGGTCTCATTTTGCTGTTGGCCCTTCCATTTTTCCCTGAGTCGCCCCGTTGGCTGGCTAGTAAGGAAAGGTGGGAAGAGAGTCTGGACACGCTAGCGATGCTACACGGTGACGGCGATCGCAACGACCCCGTCGTGCAGGTCGAATGGGAGGAAGTGCAGGAGGCTGTGCGTATCGCCCATGAAGCCAAGGACGTGACTTTTCTCGCTCTATTTGGACCTAAGGTCTGGGTGCGCACCATGTGCGGCGTCAGTGTGCAGGTGTGGCAGCAGCTGCTTGGTGGTAATGTTGCGATGTACTATGTCGTCTACATCTTCAGTATGGCCGGCATGGTGAGTCCGATGTCTTTCCTCGACCCAGCAAATGTTGCTGGCTAACGCAACCTTCCAGGACAACAACGCCACTTTATATTCCTCTGCGATTCAGTACGTGATTTTCCTTGTGACAACCGGTGTTGTTCTCCCATATATCGACCGCATTGGCCGCCGCTTTCTATTGCTATCGGGTGCCGTCGCCTGCATGATACTTCATTACGCTATTGCTGGTGTCATGGCCAGCTATGGTAATCCGGTCGACCAAATCGATGGTAACGCGAACCTGCGATGGGAAATCAAGGGAGCACCAGGCAAGGCCGTTATTGCCCTCTCGTACATTTTCGTCGGTGTTTATGGCCTCACTTGGGTATGTTCCCCCTTTGAAACAAATGGTATCTGAGTCTTTGCTAACGAGACTACAGGCCCCTGCTGCCTGGATTTATGCCTCCGAAGTGTTCCCCCTCAAGTACCGTGCTAAGGGTGTCGGCCTTTCTGCTGCGGGCAACTGGATCTTCAACTTCGCCCTGGCCTACTTCGTCGCTCCCGCCTTCACCAACATCAAGTGGAAGACATACATCATCTTCGGCGTGTTCTGTACGGTGATGACCTTCCATGTGTTCTTCCTGTACCCGGAGACGGCGCGTCGCTCACTTGAAGAAATCGATATCATGTTCGAGTCGAACGTGAAGCCGTGGCAGTCGAGCAAAGTCCAGGATAAATTTGGAGAGGAGATCGCGCGGCGCCAGCATAGTGTTTCGGAGGAGAAGGCCGCAGATGCATCGCACCAGGAGGTTGCCTAGAGCAGGATTATCTATAGAATCAGAATGTAGTTACTGATGAACTTCCAATCTATTAATTGTTTCTTGCCAAATGGTCGAGCCTAAAGGACAACGTTATGCCGTCTCACGCCCTATGATGCCATCCAATGTAATGTAAGTGATATGATCGCAACGAAGCGGCCCAAGGGGCTGTTTCATCTTCCAAATTAGGGCATATAGTCTTGAACCAATCAATATCATGAGTAATTCATACATGAGAAAGAGGTAAACAAACCCTAGTGATGTCCCAAGTAATGCTGGCTACACTCCGCACAGGTTGCGATTCGCATATATGCGTAGATGAGGCAATTGGGTGTGAACTGGGAGATAAGGAACTAGCTGATTCCCAACCACGATTATCATCGTATATCAGAATGCGCCACCTTGCCCTAGCCGTGTATATTAAATTTTAACCGGACGGCCCTTGTTTAGCCCCGGCCTTTTGGTCCGAAAGCTTAATCTAACATTTTCCCTACTGAAAGATCAGCATGATACGCTCCTGGACCACTACTCATCCCATCTTCCCAACTTGCCAGCCAGACTGTTGTTGCGAGCGAATACGAATTACGACCAAATTGTGCCTCTTTCTGGCTTAGGAGGTATTGCTGCATCACATAGAAGATGTCACTAGACATCCACTCGGATAGTACTTACTTGTATGGCAATATGTCATGGAATACTTAACTTCTAACCACTTCGGATCTGCACCGTATATGAGGATCCCTTAATGACGTTCTCGATGGTCATAGAGCGTTGATGTTCCTCACGGGTCAGACGCCAGTCGGACATCGCAAGGACAGCCTTGGATGGAACAATCAGCCATGGTCAGATGGCTGGGGTATGTGTGTATTGGGATATTCCCCAAAGAAGTGAACATACAAGCTTAAACCTGGTCTTTGTCAATGTATTGCTCATGGATGTGTTATTTCGCATCTAAATACACATGGAGTAATACTTAAGCTACCCTTGGTCGGTATGTCATTGTCTTGCAGGAATAGGCGGACAATTGAAACATGGAATCAAGGACAGTGGTGAAGACATGATTACTTGTACTTCATCTCTTCATGTCGTATTCTTATTCTCTCCATCCGTTGCTTGCATTACGATTCGACATCGCTCCTAAGAGGACGGTGATCCCGCTATTTGCGATCGTCCCACATGCCTGGAGCCCTCGTTTTTGAACTGTGTCCGGCTCGAAAGTCCCGGGAGCTTCAGCAATTTGTGCAATTGTTGTCACAGAAACCCACTCGCCCAGCAGTTCCGAAGCAATGAGAAGGCCAGCAGTACAGTGCCTGTTAACAGATTTATTGGAGACCTATCACCATGATCCAATAGCCTGATTTTGAAGTGGTTGATCTTCCAACTAGCTAGAATAGTCCTATAGTCTCTCTATCGTAAAACCCACCAATTCGCCTATAAAAGCCGGAATCATCCTATAAATAGCTTGGAACCTCGATGGAAAACCTTGCAATACCGAAGTTCAGTTGTTTGTTCAAGATGGCAACGGTTCTCCGGCTGCCCCCTTGCGTCGACACATATCGGACTTCTTTCCGATAGTTCCCACGAAGAAACCGGAAAACTAAGCTTCTGGAAGGATTGGATAACAGCATCTCACACGTGCCGAGAAGCCAGGATGATCCCCGATCCTCTCGGCCCGAGGAGGAGCAAGTGCAATACTTTTGACTAAATAGGAAATTCTCCAAAAAGGAAACATGCCACTTTTCTAATTAGGAAATATGGTCCGATAGATACTAGATTGACTACTCCAATTTTCCTGATCGAATCTCATTAATAATCTCTAGAGCCTGTTCAAGAAGAAGAAGAAGAAGAAGAAGCTAAAGTAGTTTGGTAAACTGCTTTAGAGCTTTTAAAATGAAATTTAAGGGATTAATCTACTCCGTAGAGTACTTTGAAGAATATATTGGAGCTATTCCCTACATAGAAAAGTTCTCATCAGAATGTTATAAAAATTACTTGATTGTATCCTAGCTATAGAGAAGAATAAAAACCTCCGATTCAGTATACAGCGGATACATTGAATCTTAAAATCAAGAATCTATGGACTGAAGGTTAATTGTTACAAGTTTATAATCCAGTTCAAGACGATAAGATATGAAAACAGGCCTCACATGCGGTATCCACACCAAGCATAAACCAGGCCCACCACCAATTAGCGGCGCTTATCGACGGGGAAAGCGTAACCCTAAGGCTGCCAATGTCATAGGGCGTAGGGTGTGCCTTCCTAGTGCCTCGGCTGTTCAAGGGATGGCGCTTTTCCTCCCCAACCGTTTGGTATTCAGTCCACAACAAGGGTACGGGATTCACCATGAATGCCCTTGCGTGGAAAGGTTGCTCTAAGAGAGTTCCATCGCTCGCAACAAGAAGCACTGCTCTATTCCGGCGAACCATGTCGCAGTTTCGGGTCGTCGAGCACACGGTCCGGGCCCAGCATATCCGAGACCGATTCGGCGCGACGGAACCAGGCCAAGCGAACAGGCTACGTCTGGCTGTGAAACAATACATCCCGAAGTCAAACGAAAAGCCATCTCCTGGAGATGTCACAATCATTGGTGCGCATGCGAACGGGTTTCCGAAGGTAACAGGCCTCGTATCTCGCAAAGGTAGAACTGTAGGTTGACCAAGATAGGAAATGTACGAGCCGTTATGGGATGATCTGGAACAGCGAATGAGCTCTCTGGGCAGGAGGATTCGGAGTATATGGATCGCAGATGTCGCTCACCAAGGCCAGAGTAGCGTCTTGAATGAGACAATCCTTGGCAATGATCGTGCGTGTCTTCCCTGCCCGGTCATAGTATAGGGCCACTCTGCTGATGCTTCTTAGCTAGCTGGAATGACCATGCGAGGGACCTCCTCTTTTTAATTAACCAGTACCAAGACGAGATGCCCCATCCTATCATCGGAGTAGGACATAGCATGGGTGGCATGCATTTGTATGTGTAGCCTTTCTATCCGTTCATGTGTCCAAAGCTCTAACCTGCCGGGATTCAAGAGCCAACTTAGCAGTATTGCACCCATCGCTCCTCCAGGCTCTTGTTTTGATTGATCCCGTCATTCAGACCGAGAACCCGAGCAAGGACTACGCTCCTGCCTCGAGCTACAGACGCGACATATGGCCCACAAAGCAAGATGCCATACAAAGATTTGAGAGCAACAAGGTATATCAGAAATGGGATCCTCGTGTATTAGAAAAGTATGTGGAATATGGACTTCGCGAGGTGCCGACCGAGATATACCCGGAGCCTGGTGAACTCGGCCCAGGACCAGTGACATTGACCACTCCTAAAGCCCAAGAAGTATTTACTTTTCTGCGACCTAGTTATGAAGGCGGAAGAGTGGATCTTGAGCAAGATGAATGGCAAAATGAGATGCACCAGGACGATTTAGAAGAAGGCTATCCGTTTTACCGACCAGAACCGGCACAGCTTTTCCGTCGTTTGGGCGAGATGAAACCGAGCGTTTTGTACATTTTCGGGGAAAGCTCTGAATTATCGTCGCCTGCCGCTCGTCAGGCCAAGATGGATGCTACAGGTACTGGTGTTGGTGGAAATGGTGGTGTTGGTCGGCAGCGAGTGAAGGAAGTGACGCTGCCGACAGGACATCTCGTTCCAATGGAACGAGTTATGGATTGCGCCAATGCGATTGCGACATTTAGCAATACCGAGCTGACCAGATGGGATGTCGAGCGCCAGAAGTACCTTCAGAGGTGGAATGCGATACCGCGTCGTGACAAGATCACGGTCGACGATAAATGGAAACAGCATATCGGCACAATATCGAGGAAGCCTAAACTATGAGATTATATTTCAGCTTGCTTACGGCGACAAAGGCTATAGAGAAGATGTCTTTATCTATTGGAGGCTGTTAGCAGTTCTTTATGCTTTTTTATTACGAAAGCCTCGGCTTAAAGGTCCCAACCATAGATTGTAGATAGATTGGCAGATTGACAAACAAATGATCTAGACTAAGTTCTGGCATGATTGAGATCACTGGGGAGAGTACCTAAGCCTCATTGCGTACGTGGTCATTCCCTGCATAAGGCTAGCCTCACAACTAGCAGTGCCGTGTATACGACAGGACCAATAGGAAACAATACAAGATGTGATGTCGATATGAGATTCTGATCCACTACACCATTTAACCCTCAACTAAAACCCCCCCCCGAGCTATGGCTCATTGGCTACTACCTTTGGGGGCTAAACTACTCGGTCATCGATATCTTCAAGAGAGAAGTATTTAAGCTCAGTTCTATTCGACAGCTCCCGCTCCCCTTTGCTGAACCCGTGCAAGCAGTAGCCCTAGGTATATCATTCAAAACCTCCGTATTCGGAACAAGTATCCAAGATGTCAAAACCAACGCTCATCTTCGCCCCAGGAGCCTGGTATCCATCTTCAGCCTTCGACCCACTCATCGCGAAATTGGCCCCACACGGCTACACTTGCCAAACAGTCTCTTTTCCCTCAATCCAACAAGCAACAGAAGTCAAAGACCTAACGGCCGATATCATCGCCGTACGCGCACTAGTCGAACCAGCCGTGAACGCCGGTGAAGATGTGATCATCATCTCGCACAGCTGGTCAGGCCTACCCGTAAACAGCGCGCTTGAGGGACTAAACCGAGCAGAGAGGCAAAAGGAGGGCAGAGAGGGAGGCGTGACGAAGCTGATTTTCATCTCAGCCTTCTTGCCGGAGATCGGTGAGAGCTTAATTGGGGCTTTTGGGGGTGTGCCGCCGGAGTGGTATGTTATGAATGTAAGTTTTGCTCGATGATCTGTCATGGTTTTTCTGTAGTAGGTGAGACTGAAGGGAATATTAAATAGGTTGAGAATGGTACCGTGACGGCAAATGATCCATTCACACTCTTCTTTCATGATGTCCCAGATGGACAGGACTGGGCGACAACACTGCGCCCGCATGCGTGGGCCACGAAGAACTCGCCCGCGACTGGGACTGCTTATGTGGATATTCCTTCCGCATATCTTCTGTGTGAAGATGATCGGGCGATTCCGTTGTTTGTGCAGGAATTGATGGTTGAGAAGGCAAGAGGGAAGGGAGCCAGCTTTGAGACGGAGAAGATTGCGACAGCTCATACTCCTTGGTTGGTTTTTCCTGATCGAGTTGCTGAGTATATTAGGAGGCATGCTGGGGAGGACGTGTAGTTTTGATTAATGACAATTACATATCTTACTGCTCATATCATAGATGTCCATGTACTTCCCATAAATGAGGCCTAGAATTGTTGAAGGTTCTTGAGGAAGACTGGTTACTGAGACTATGATATAAGAAAAGGCTGATGTATGCATTAATACTTTCGTGAATACGATAAAATCAATCAAATCGCTCAAAATCGCCATCGTAATGCATACATGATACAATACAGGAAATATTATACCAGCTCAGAGCACCTTCGCACTCCGGATGCCAACCTGCAACACCTCAAATCCCCACTGCTGCATCTTAAAGCCATCAAAAACGCCATGAGGATCCAAAAGTACCCTCGGACTCGCCATATGGCCAGCGATGCGTTGCCATCGCACCTGGTCCTGGCGGAACTGCTCCCAATCAGTATGGAGCACCAAGGCGCTGCATCCAAAACACGCCGTTTCAATAGACTCTGTCACCGTCACCATTTCTGGATGACAGTCGTAGAGTCGCAGCGTGCTTTCGCTGCGGTCGGCCTGGACGTGCGGATCATAGATGTTGACTCGTACCCCATTGCTCGTCAATGTTCGTATCAAGCCCAATGCCGTCGTGGTCCGCGTGTCCATCACGTTTCCCTTCGACACAAAACCGAGTACCGCCACTCGTTTCTCTTTGACGTCACCTAGTCGGGCAATCAGGCGTTTCACAACTCGATGCCGTTGGTATTCGTTCATTCGGAGGACCGCCATCCAGTAATCGACAACCTCCTGCAATCCCAATTCCCTCGCCAGATACACCAAGCAAAGCACGTCCGATTGCAGGTTCGATCCGCCGAATCCTAGTCCCGATCGCTGACTCAATCCGAGAGTCTCCGAAACATAGTTGATATTGGCGTTCGTTGACTCGCAGAGAACGCTAAGGGAATTGAGACTACTGATCTGTTGGGCGAGCAAAGCGTTGGCCGCTATTTTGCCCAGTTCCGACGACCATGCATCCATGGTCACGATGCGATCGTCCGGAACCCATGGAGAATATAGGCGTTTCAACGCCGTCAATGCCTCGGGTGACATATCTTCCGAGAAGATATGTCCGATGATCACACGGGGTGGATAAAGGAGGTCTCGAATTGCTGCGCCGGGTACGAGGAAGTCTGGGTTGGAAAGCACATCAAAGGATGCCGATGGCGAGGCCGTTTCTTTCAACTACAACAGTTAGAAGAAAAAAAAAAGACATGTTATACGATTCTATGAGACCTACGAGCTTCTTTAGCCGTGGTACAATACCACACGGCGCGGTGCTCTTCTGGACTATGATCTTGTGGCCTGTCGAAACCTGTGCGATCGCTTGGATGGCGACTTCCAAGCGGGATAGGTCTATGTCGCTTTTGTCTCCGTCCGTAATACTGGATGGCGCATCTACACACAGGAAGACCATGTCCGCCGCTGCCACGGCTTCGTGCATATTAGTCGAGAAGCTCACATTGGGGAGCTTCCGTCGTCGCGGTAACAAAGCGATGAGCTCCCCTTGGTTGGTACTATTACTTGAACTTTCTCGGCAATCTTCATCCTGTGAAGCTTCTGGCTTGGGTGATGGGGACGGTGTTGGTAATTGCGGTGGGTCATTGGGCTCAAATAATAAATCTTCCAGTCCTGGTTCAAAGACGGGAGGCTGATCCGAATTCCACGCGGCAATAAGACGAGCATCACTGTCCACGACAGAGAATTGAATATGTGGGTTTTGCGACGCAAGTACCAGTGCTGTTAATCCACCTACAGGAAATAAATTAGCGACGATACGAATTAATCGGCACGAGCCGTGATCCATACCCACATATCCCGCGCCTATCATACAAGCTTTCCGAACATTCTCGACCTTCTCGCTTCTCAACTGCGGTAATTCTATCTCTTCCACGCTATCTGAATAGGTATGTCCTTTCACGAATACCCGCGGACTGTCGTCCTGCTCGATGGCCTTGTATCGCCGTCGCCGAAACAAAAGAGTCAGCCCGGCGAGGACGAGCAAAATGGGTAGGAAGGGCATCATGGCCGGGAAAAGTGATGGAATCCCAAACGGCCTCCTGTTGTCATGAAGGACTTTGTATCATGTTGGGACCAAGAAGTGGGCACTTTTAGTGTCGTGTCGAAATGGGTCCATCGATATCAAGAAGTAGCGGTCAGTTCACCAGCCACCTCACCAGTTCCTTTAATTCTCCGATCGTCTTAGATTGTGCCACCATTTCCGACCGTGGTTAAGTCAGACTGAATTATCAGACTTAGGAGGAATCGTAACGCGATCCCACTGGTTCTGCGGGTTGTGGATGTTGTTGTTGTTATTGTGTCTGACTACGTGGCATGCGACTTGGCGCAAGCGGATGCAATGCGCGCGCGCCTTGGGTCTTAGCTATTGGGTACAAACGCGCGGATGTTCTTTATTTGGATCTGCGACTCAGTAAGGGTACGTGTCTATACCTTGTTAGTAGTAGTTTCGGTGGACCCCAAATGTCAAGGCTGTGTAGGAGCTCGTGTGATGTCTCCATATGCTATGATCGTCCCTTTTTGCGACCAAGAGAAGCTTGACCTGTTGGACTTGGGTATAGCCTCATATCTGGCAAGGATATATATAGCCATACGGGACTAATTAGGTGCACCCAATAATTGCAATTTCTTTTCTTTTTTTTTTTCTTCTCTTTGGCTTCGTCACTGGGACTAATACTAGCATCTGTCATATATTGACAGCTCTTTTAAGGTTTCAATCTATTATAGGTTAACTCTGGAGCCCAGACTTTAGGAACACTAAGCTGGTCACTTTCCCACTCATTTGCTTTGAAATAATGTAACCTGGTCAAAGTACCTATGGGATGAAGATAACCTAGCCATTCACCAGTGATCGGCAGTTTTACAAAAGCTTTCACCTGTTATATCACATTTACCATGGTCTTTGGGAGTGGTTCTCTCAGTGTAGGACCACGTTAACTTTCTCGTCTTCTATTTAAATCATCAGCCTGACCAGGTGAGCAGGGTATCAGATAAAGCCACAGCAAAAGTACCAAAGGCGAAACAAGGCTGAAAAAACAGGGAAGCCTTTTAAGTTTGGCATTGGGGTGGGATACGTGAAGAAAACCCCAAATATCGGGGACTTACACGATTTGGTCTCATTTCAACGACCCCGCCCCCACGCGGGGGAAATCAAAGTTAAGGAGTTGCTGCTCAGCAGCTTCATAAGCCCATACTAAGTCTCATTCATTAGGATCGTCTGTCTATTGCCATCTTTAGAAGGAAGGCAAGCCTTGCTAATGATTGTGCCAATTCTCTGTTCCGAGTGATTAGTTGCCTTCAAACATCAAGACTACGGATGAGGGCTCCGTATCGGACCAGTGTTCCGGCGTCGTGACATATAAATGTTTAAGAGGAGCAAAGGACGCTGCAGGGTTGAGCTCTTTATTTTACTCGATACGATTTAGTTGGTTCTCATTACCCAAGTTAAAGTTTGAGATATGCCTTCTTCACGAACCATCTCCATTGTTGGATGTCATGCCGAGGGTGAAGGAGGCGATGTTATCATTGGCGGGGTACTCGATGTCCCGGGAAAGACCATGTTCGAGAAGCGACAGCATTTCCTATACAAGCAAGATGAGATAAGGTCTCTTCTGCTCAACGAGCCTCGAGGAAGACCAGGCAGACACGTGAACCTTGTCCTCCCTCCGTGCGATCCCCGCGCTGATGTCGGGCTGTTGATTATGGAAAACGAAGAATATGCACCGATGTCGGGATCCAACTGTATATGCACGGTCACCGTACTCTTAGAAACTGGCATGATCCCCATGAAGGAACCCGTGACGGAGCTTACGCTTGACACTGCGGCTGGACTTGTCAAAGTGCGGGCTCAATGCCAGGGAGGCAAATGCAGGAGCGTCGCGTTTGATAACGTCCCGTCCTTCGTTTTCCAGCTCGATTACAAGATCGACATTCCTGACCTGGGCACCGTATCAGTCGATATTGCCTACGGAGGCATGATGTACATACTCGTTGATGCGGCATCCCTTGGTCTGAAAATCCGGAATGCCGATGGCCCACAGCTAGTTGAGGTCGGCGAGAAGATCAAGAAGGCACTTAACGCAACTTACACCCCGGCACATCCCGAGAATCCCGATATCTTTGGCTATAGTGTTCTGCAGTTCACTGAACCTCTCGAAGAGCTTCCGGATGGCAGCGGCAAGACGGCTGTCAATACAGTTGTTAGTTCGCCAGGCAGATTCGATAGAAGCCCTTGCGGCACGGGTAGCTCTGCCCGTCTAGCCGTCTTACATGCTCGAGGACAGATTACCGTCGGGGAGAAGTTCGTGCACCGGAGTATTCTGGGAACTGAGTTTATCACACATATCAATGGGACGACTAATGTTGCTGATTATCCGGCCGTTTTGCCAACTGTCCAGGGTCGGGCGTGGATTACGGGTTATCAGACGGTTGTGCTAGATTCGGAGGATCCTTTCCCCCAAGGTTACCGTGTGGGTGATCAATGGCATGGTATGATTTAAGTATGGTTACTCAGTAGCTGTTATTACATTTTTAAATCAGTGGTGTATTGACCTGATGAAGACAGGAATGTAACAAGGCCGTTCAACAGTGTCACCATGAAAGTCCTCGATTTCTATAGATAATTATAACCCGGACTAAATATAATTTTTTCATCGCGAACTATCCTAAACCGTGGTAACTTATTACATGATCCTACTCTTAAATAACAATTAAGCTGGCAATAACGCATTCCACAAGTGAGAGAGATACCCACAGCACCTAAAAAAGCGACACCAAGTCATTTTCACGGCGACAATGTCGTACACGATACGATGAGCGGGCCACGTCAAGGATGTCAACCTCAAACCAACACCTCCATCCCTTCTCAGCAGATGCGCCCTCGAACCATAACCCATACCAGTTATACTTGTGCCCCTACCTGAACGCTCGCAACTAGCATGGTCAGATCCTCAGCCCTAGCGACAGACATACTGGTATGTTCCTCTATTAATGATGATGGTGGTTGGGGAGGTGGTGGTTCTACTCGGTTTCAATGTGGTTCCTGGCTTGCATTACATACAATGGTTGTGAGTGACGAGTCAAGCCTGGTTCATAGATAGATCTAGGCCTGTCCAGTCTCCACTGTAGTCTTTATGATTATCAGTGGCGGTTCCGAACACCCACCGCCTTCCGCCGGTGGGTGTTCGGCAGCCTAAAGGAATTTTCAGTGTAAAGAAAGATAATTAATTTTCTATCTTTTTGAAGCTATACAAACCATAAAAAATACCTAAAATATCTAAAATTTTAGATTTATGTGTAGATAAAGCTATTAAAGCTATCTATTTTTAAAAAAAACCTAATATTACAAAAATTATACAAGAATTTGGGATTCTATATTATACACTCCATAACTGTATTTATAAAAGAAAGTTTTGTACAGCTCGAAATATATTAAATAAAGTACTAAATAAGTATTAAGAGACTGCCTTAAAGTAATAGATTACTAAAATATATAATATAATCTTATATAGAAAATGAAACTACAGCTTCAGATACAGAATTGGTAGAGGAATCGGGTGATCAGCTTTATTTTATTGATTCTACAGATATTTAGTAGTAATAATATAAATTGCTTCATTTTCTTCCTTTACACTGAAAATTCCTTTAGGCTGCCGAACACCCACCGGCGGAAGGCGGTGGGTGTTCGGAACCGCCACTGATAAGCATTAATTGTGCACATGGAGCCTGGAATCCAATGGGATGTCCGATTATAAATAAGTGTGCAATAAACTCAATTGTTCGACAATATCTTCTCCGGTGCGCCTTGATCACCCGTGGTACCTATTGTCCAGTCCAGCATTGAGCATGTAGAAATATCCAACGGTCGCAAGCCACAGATACGTCGAGGAGTGCCTGGGCTGGATTGAATGCAACTGCAACACTGCTCAGATAATCATGCATGAACCTGGAATTCCAACAATCTGATCTCACATGACCCCGCCAACCCCTTCACCGACTTAATTTATTCTGATCTTCCCCGCACCCCAAGCAAGATCATCGCTCCCTCTCAGAAAATCCACCCTTCCCTACGTCCTAGAAGTTATAGAAATAGCACTATAGCTATAATGACAAGGTCTCTACCGCGTATTGCCTGTTTCCACGGTGGCGGGTCAAAGGGCGCAATCTACGAGGTTCAATGCTCGCAGCTGGCCGGACTGCTCAAGAATGACTTTCAATTCGTCTTCTTCGACGGACCTTTCGAAAGCGGACCAGGACCAGGCATTCTGCCCGCTTTCCGTGATTACAAGCCTTTCCGGTCATGGTTCAAGAAGGACGGATCGGAAACTGAGCAAAATGATGGGAGTGGATACGACATCTCGGGGCGGGACGGTGTAGAGCGGGTTTGGAAATTGATCGAAGCGGCGGGGCCCGGTGGGGAATGGGTGGGCGTAATGGGATTCAGTCAGGGCACCCGCATTACCAGTGGACTATTGTTGGATCAACAGCGGAGAGCAGCATTGGGGGAGCTGGGAAGTACTCCGCAACTGAAGTTTGGGGTGCTGTGTATGGGTGGTGGTGCACCCATGGTGTCGGAAATTGGTCATCGTATGTTGCTCTTTTCCTTAGCCTTTTCGGTGCCTCTGGATATTCATATTGACTTCTTGATTGTTACAGAGATGGCCGATACGGGATCGACGGATTTAATCAAGATACCGACGCTACATGTTCATGGATTGAAGGATATGTTTTTAGCATTGGGAAAGCAACAACATGCGACGTATTATGAGTCGAGCACATCAAAGGTATATGAGGTTGATTATCATCATGCCATGCCTTGGTATAAGCATGAAGTCCAGCGATTGGCGGAATTGATCCGCGAGTTGTATAAAGAGTCCAATCGAAATTGAAGGATTGGTTCGGGTGTTAGTGGAAGGCTTCTAGGGTCAGTGCGAATGGGTAACATATGTTCCTTGTCTGGTTAATATTTTAACGGTCGATTATGTGGCACAGTCGGTCTGTAGAAGGCGTTATAGACGGACATTCGGTTGGACCCCAGATTTCCTCATATGGCAAGGTGGGCGTTCAAGGCAAACATACTTATCATAATGAAACGTATGTCAACAGACCACGATATTATCAAGGCTAAGAGACACATACCTCCACTTTTGCTACGCATTTTCTTTGGTCTGAGACAATGCGACTGAACTTGAACTGAGCACGGCGCGACCCAGGCACAGTTAGTACTAACAAGGAAAACAGTCATAGAAAATAAATCCGCAAGCAACTCCCAGCTTTTGGCTGTCTACCAGAATTCACGTCATGTTGAGATCCCAACGTGCGCTAGTTTTTTTCTCATGCACGGGAATATGTGATGGAGACAAGGTGTCCTGGATGCTATTGCAGGGCTGGTGGTCTCGTTTACTATGGCATTAACCAGAGCAAAAGTGTTAATCGCAGAACAGTCCAGGAGTCCTGTGATGCTAATTCCTCCATGAGTAGGCAGTTACCTCTTTTCCGGAAGGGGCAGCCTCAGAATACTGGAATCGTATACAGCCACCATCCTGTCCTTCCTGATTGATCTCTTGGGAAGAGTGTCCAATGCGGGCCTTAGCACCACTCACAGTATATCAACAGCATCGGTAGAGTTCTCACTGAAACTGGGTTAACAACATGCAAGTGTGGGTCAGGGCTTTCTCTGCTATTATACCATCGACAGCCCTGATCACATCTCTCATGACAGAGCCGAAAAGCCGATGTGGCACAGGGCGTTCTAGGAGTTGGGGGTCCAGACAGCAGCTTAAACTAAGAGGTGGAACCATTTAAGCGATGCTGGACTATAACGAGTAGGTCCACTGACGGTCGGAAGCGACGCATATGATTAGCTTTTCGTGCTTCAGACGTGGAAGATTCGTTGCGATGAAGTGGGCGACCTCTCCCTTTGGGCGGCACTTCTCCGGATTCAACATTCCATTCCCAATGGCTACCCGCAAAACGTGATTCCAGAATGGAAGCTCCATGGTAAGATTAGTCCCACTGGTAACGTTATCTGCCACCACTGTAGGCAAGATGGGAGTCATGAACTCTTCAGTCGCGGAAGACCTACCAAAAAGAGATTCTTCTGGAGCTTGGCAATTGGAAGATATGACGTGATGCGTTACCTATCGATCCACCATTCAACACACTACCCAATCTTATATCGTTCGGAATTGGTTAATAATGTATTCTTATTGGATGTTTGACTTTTTCGTCGTCCCTCTCAGAAATGGGCTGCCACACGAGGGGCTTTCGTTCAGACCTCCGCAGTATATCCGGCGCATCCGAGGTATCTCCTCCACCGGCTGTGGTGACCATCGCAACGCTGAGGTCAATACAAAGACCAGGTATCGGATAACTCAGAAACCATGTCCTCCATACGGCTCTATGATGATAAAGCTCCTTATCCATACTACGCTCTTGACATTTATAATAGCCCCCATCCATGTCCTCCCTGTCATGCATCCGATGGGGAGACACAGAGTTTCAACTAGCATGCAAAGACTTGGCCTATCGGGTAGATCGGCACAGACCGTATCAGAAGAATCCATAGTCGCTAGAGACTAGAATGGTTGTGTTCAAAGCTATACTTTCTACCGATATATGCATGCCCTAGATATGAACTATCAAAATCGCTGATAATGTTCTCACCTAATAAAATCCAGGCCTTCTTACAAACGAGTTCATTATCTTCCGCGGCAGGATCTCACTGGTATTCGCATACCTAATGATAAGAATTTTTCCGAGGGTCGTCGAGGTTACAGTGAGTGATGTTAAGCATCCGGGTATGCCGGATTGTGATCACGGGCCTAATGATGGGGAGTGGAGCGCAGTCGCTCATTGGCTCCGGGTTCAGCCCTGACTGGAGTTGCATCGTCGCTACTAAGTTCTGGTATTGACACCCAGGGTCGTTCCCTACGGGATTTGTTCATCAGTGGGGTCTTTGACCATATACAAACATACTTTTAGTCATTGCAGAGCTATTCAGTAGCTCAACATGAAAATTTGCACCTTGGTGAGCCGGGGTTGCCGGGGAAAGCAAACCTCTACATTATAAAGGGCAACTCACGTCTCTGGTAGCCCACAGTTGGTCTCCAACACATTTTATTACCACTTCAATTCCCTTTTCCAGAGTTTCTGTTCTGTCAGCTATCTCTAGACTGACGCTCACCATGCCTTCTTGGCTCCTCACGCTCGGCACCACCTTTGCCCTGGCGCAGACCATCTCGGGCGCCTACATCTACATTAAGACTACCCAACCACCAGCCAACAGTTACGTGAACCATTGTACCGTCATCATCGACCAGGAGCTCTTCGGCTGTGAGGGTAGCTCCAACCCGTTCAAGAAGAAGTGTGGCAAGAACACGGGTACCGAGACCAAGGAGATCTGTGAGACCGCTTCCGTCACCGTCAATTGGGACACTGGCGACCTGCAATTCAAGAATGATCATGGAGATCACGCCAATTGCACGCTGAGCACGACCAACGAGTGGGGTGAATGTGATACCAGCGATGCGAACAAGTACCCCAAGATCCAGGACAACCACGCCGAAAGCCTTTTTAGTGTCAGCAGTGCGTTATATGGGTTGGCACCCGTCGCTGCAGGCCTATTGATTTAAGGAGGTATCAGGGTCATCCTGGCTCATAGTCTCGCTTCCTCCACGCTCGATCTATGGAAAGGCTATGCGAGACCACCTCTTCCTCTCTGATCGCGTACCTCCAGTCGGGCTTCCATCATTGGCCTCTACGGATAAGAGCGTGAGGGACAATCAAGTGACGTCAACACTTAAATCAACGGGGATGTTTATTGTTTTTGAAGCCATGTTCGGGAACACATTAAGGTTTTATGGGAACACTTATACTTTATTTACAACTCTTATACTAGCCGAACTAGATGTTCGGCCAAACCCTAGCCTATGCAGAGACGCGAGGGGGGTACTAATAGAATTAATGACATTTAGTTATATGAGATTGTAGAGACTAGTCGAGAGCGATTCCCCTCAGCTTGGGGATGACCAGTTTTTCCTAACCCCACTTGACTTACATCATATGTGAAGATTGAGCTGGTTCCATGGTTCCGGAGGGTGTCATTCCTGAAGGTACGAAAGATATATTTTTTCGAAAAGTGAGGGTAGGATGAATACCGCCCAGCAATGAACCTAATTACCCAACTGTATTGTAGTCTAAATAATTTCCCTTTGTGGAACAAATCCTCCACAACAGAAAACAAACATTATTTATTCTGTCTGGCCTAGACTAGCTCTTCAATGCACCATACGATTCGTGGGTCCGAATGTACCGAGCTTGGCCCGAGTGTATACCGACCACGCTAAGCCAAAGACGGTATTACTACGAGTGGATTCAAGACTCGAGTTTAATCGTCATGATACCTTGGTTGGGAGAGACCTAGGCTTAATAGTCTTAAGTAATCCTCCACGTAGGATCCCACTTGCAATTCTAATTTTTCAATTTGTTACCCTCTCCAAGGTGGTTTAGTTTGCTAAAATCTCACGCTGAACTGGGCATTCTGTTGGTGCGTCTAGGAATTAGGGTACATCGTAAGCTTATCTATCAACATTTTACGTAGTGTGTGTATTTCGTTTCTGGTGCTACTAGAGGTAGCATAGCTGCATAAGCTAGAATGGACTCATGAAGTGTTGATTTTTAATTAATTATTTATTGCTTTTTTTTTTTTTTTTTCCTCGTCCTGTGGTTGAGTTAGCTGTAAAGACGGACGGAAGCACTGGTAAACAGAAACTGAGGGAAGAAGGAGAAGAGAAGAGAAGTTACAAAATGAGAGAAGGAGAAAAAGAAAGATAAAGATTATATTCAGCAGGTTTGCTGTTGATATTAAACAAGGAGATCTGAGAGACCTCACAGTTGCCATTGTGGACAGTTGATATATACCAGCTGTTGAGAACTTGGGGTAAACCTCTGTAAGACCCATTGTTCCTAGACAGAGTAGCCTGAGTATACCGAGTAGATAAAGTAGGTTGAGGAGACTAAGCAGACTATATGAACTAAGTAGACAAACGATGTAAATAGTTCAGTGTAAGCAGAAGCAATGCCAAGTAATTAAACGCAGCATTCGCTTGCCGTTGGAAACGTTGACAACCCCGCGTTTTAGGCCTAAGGCTAGATCTCTTTGTCCTCGATTCCTTTGTTTCCTAGGCATATTAGTAGGGACACACCTTCACCTACATAGGAATGGGAATCAAGACCTCTTTCTCTCTGATCTGATGCTTGGTCAAAAGATATCAGCTCGGGAGAATTGAATTGCAAGAAGCCGAGTGGATTATACTGTTTGTAGGGATTTATGAAAATCGGCGGGAATGTATCGAAAGATCTGTCTCGAAGACCATGTAGAATACCCTAACTCCCTTAAATATCACTTCGGCCATGACCGTAAGCCATCAGCACTAGAGCGATTCTTAGCATCCGAATCTCTTGAAAATGCGGCACACGTATTTGCTAAGGCCGCGATTGGAAAGCTCGCAAAATTGCTTGCTACGAGGCACGATGGTGCATCTGTTGACCGCAACAAGCCATTGCAGGCATATGAGGTTGGCTCTCTACTGGCCATCAAGCGTCGGAATTTGACATTCAATGAGTTTAATGCAGGTATGGCAGTCGAGACTCAAGGAACTTCGGTGTTTGGAACCAGCATGTTGGTTGCAGGAAAAAGCAGCATCAAACACGAAAAATGGTCAATGATAGAGTAGTGCCCAATTGTTTAAGAATTTCACTTCCAGGGAAGGGTGGAATTATCATGGTAATTTGCTGCTCATTCATAAAGGGTAACACTCTTTTGACACTGAAAACCCAGCCCCGGAACCTCTGCTATGAATTCAGTCATATTTTCGTATCTTTCCCTCTCTTTTCCCATTTTTGTGTCGCAGGTATGATCTGTGCAGCGTGTTGGCTTATGGCAATTAACTCCATGGTTTCGTCACACAAAAGAATTTCCATATCCATTCTTCCATCTATAATACGCTTGACCTCGCTGCGCAAGTAGAGCCATCGAACACCACCCGGTGGAAGACTTTTCTTCACCTCAGTCGACATAGATAATGCTACATTAACAGTCTCCGTGATAGGTTCTGTCGATCCATCCAGCTCTAGCTCCCTCCAGTTGGGCTTTCCTTGGATCCGGGCTTGCCTTTGGGCCTCCGCAAATTCGAGCGTAGCAGCAATGCTACCCGTGGGTAATCGCTCTGTTTGTGGGAAAAAGTTCTCCTGAACAGGGAGGCTCATATCTATAGCAAATTGTATCATTTCCGTTGTCCATCGTGCTTTATCCTCGTCTTTCTGCATCGTACAGGATCCTTGAGGCAAGCAGTCCCAGCCAGGTAGGATCCATTGCTCTGTGAATTTTATATCCGAGGGCCAAGACTTTGGGATGAAATTTCTCACATAGGAGTGACCACGTCTGAATCCATTCCGATGAAACGCCGTTTGGTAAGATGTCCATTCAGGGTCACAATCCATTTCGAGTTTCGGCAGATCAACTCGACGGGTAGTCAAATGCCAGCCAGTCTGGAGATTGATGCCCGGCAACTTAAAGTCAGAGAGCCTGGATTATGTTAGCATTTGAAATTGAAACTTTTGGAGTCCAAGTTTAGGAATAGGGTCTCTCACCATATATCTGCAGATGCAGCAATCTTCCCAAATTGAAAAGTCTCAATGCGTAATGTGGACCATGCTTTACCAAGACTCACTTCGCGCAGCTGCATTTGAACTGGCTTTGATGCAATAATGGGACGATAGAACTGAGCTAATGCTGTTCGAATATCCGTTTGCGTTCGTAGTTTCTCATGTTTCGAAGCATGAATGACGGCATATTTCGCCATCAAACTAGCTACATAGCCCCCACAACTGACTGAGACGTTCTTTTGTTAGTCTTGTAGCCTGGCTATTTCATCTTGAAAATGTGGAGGGCGTAGATAATGTTGGACCAACCTGCGCCAAATGCAATATCCGTTGGAAGCTCCAGAGAAAAGTGGTCTCCTAAAGGGGAGATATCCAACGCGGTAGACAGGCTAGTTGGTAGTGTATTTGCCATATTCTTTCGCTTACAAGGATTTCTTGTATATAAGGATGGAGAGAACTTTTATACTTCGTGCATAAAAGTCACAGCCACCGACGTGACTGGTGCAAATAAAATAGAAATGATTCAATAGTTAGGCTCTATCAGGTTAATAGAATCTTGATCGAAAATAGAAATTAGAAACAAGAATAAATCTCAGAGGGTAGGCTAGAGCATATTAATAGTACTTTAGAATAGCGCCCAATCAGCAAATCCCGACCAGTTCCGAGCACCACTGTCTCGCACCAAACTATTATATAAGAATATTATGCTCCAAACCTAAAAAGTCCATTGAATATTGAGATCTACTACCAATCAGCCTTCATGTTTGCATCTAAAGTTGGTAGGTAGAATCGATCTATAGTACAAACTTTAAGTGGACGGAATAGGCGGTGAAACAATGGGACTTTTAGGGCGCAAGAACAGTGTCACACAGCTATGGCGACCCTCTAGGCAGGTCTATAATTATATAATTTCAACTATAGGGCAACACCATGCAAGGATTACGGAGCATTTCGGGGCTACTAAGATTGATCTCGCAGGTGCTGAGCGGGGTAAGGAATACTGATACCTAAGCCCCTTCTGCCAGGATGATGAGACTCATTTGGTTAATGGGCTGGATGGCGCGCTAAGCAGATCATTGTTGACTAGCTTGAGCTATAGACAAGGGGCGGGAAGTCGGTGGTAACGGTGGCGTAGGGGGGCTGCTGGCCCACTTACTATCGGACCCGGACTTGATAACTGTCTGTGGTGTTCGGTCTGCTAATGCTTCTGTAAACCCTATTTTATTCAACACACATAACTCTCGCACTATAAGCATACTTGTTCATCGTGGTGGATAAGAAATCTAGTGATGAGGTGGCGAAATGCGGCCGGTCAACCCTATATGTTCGGTCGATCGGTTGATCCTCGATATACTTCTTGATGTAACTGTTTCGTATTCACTCTCGAGCTCGGACTCTGGACAGAATGCTGAAGAGAAGGCAAAAGAGGGGGTGTTATAGTAGGATAATGTGATGATTCTGGTTTAATCGTACGAGTCATACAAATATATTCAAGGAATAAGCCCAACTTTAGTCCCATTCCTCGAACAAAGCGTCAAAGACAGACCTTCCTCCCAAGGCCCCGGATCATGACTCTCCAGCCCACGAAACTCCTGTACCATCCGGACAAGAACGTAGCTTGCTTCGGTCAAGGCATAGCGCTGGCCAAGACAGATCCGTGGCCCACCATTGAACGGCAAATATCCCCAGCGTGGTTGCAGCTTACCATCCTCCCAGCGCTCTGGGCGAAATTCTGCTGCATCCGGTCCATAGAGGTCGGTTCGGCGATGCATGGCGTAGATATTATAGCCGACAAGGGTTCCTTTTGGGACAAAAGCGGGCGAGAGGCCATCTTTACCTCCGCCCAGTGGGAGGACGGTGTCTCGAATTGCTTCACGTTGATTGCTGGGCACGACGGGGTGAAGACGGAGGGCTGGAGGTTTGATATAAGTGAAAGCGAGGGCAAAAGGGGGAGGGGGGAGTCTTCCATACATTCATTCACACAGCACTGAACATACCGAAGCCCGCGGAGCTCTTCATACGTCGGTGGCCGATTCTGCAAGACATCAACTTCAGCACGTAGCTTCGCCCAAACCACTGGATTCTTCGCTAGCATGAAGAACAGATTCCCGAGCAGACTGGCTGTTGTATCCCGGCCAGCTAGGAGCACGCTTATCAACTCATCTAGCATACGCCGCTTATCGGACGTCCGCGAGGCCAGCTCATGCGAGAAAATATATCTTCGCTTTGTATCCGTTGTTCTGGTTTCCTTATCTTCTTGTCTCCCTTCGGCAGCATAGATAGCCTCATCAACAAATTGTTGTACAAACTCCCGACAGATGCGGTTACACTCGTTAGCCTTTCGATCACGGTAGACCGCATTTAACGGACCTAGCATGCCCCGTACAGTAATAGCCTTCTGGGCATACTGGAAGGCCTCTGCGAACGCGAGTTCTGACTGGCTCTTTTTTAACGTGCCAACAGACTGACCAAACAAGAACTCCGTCGCGGAATCAATTGTATACCGGAAGAACAGTTCCTGCAAGTCCACTGTTGTACCATCTCGAGGAAGCAACACCAACAAATCCTGCATCAACTTCTCCAACAATCGCAGATCGGCTACCTGCTCACGGGCAAAGCTCGGTCGGATGAGGGCGCGCGATGACGCCCAGTGTTCACCATCGGTATTGAAGATGCCTTCTCCCAGTAGCGGCTTAAATGGCTCGAGACGGTGTTTGAGACTATAGTGCTTGAAGTTCAGCGATAGGATCGTCTTGATGTTCTCAGGCTCAATAGTCACGATTGCACTTTGGTTCAGCTCCTTGACTCTGAACGTATTGCCGTATACATGAAAGATCTCACAAACTCTTTCGAGAATCCGATGCTGCCTGATCGCTCGGACTGTCCCAGGGATGGTATCAAGGCCTAGGAAAGGATCCTTGCTGAAAGATCGCGCGACTGGTTGACAGCCGTGACGGCGTGCGAACTGACGGCGGATGAGGAAGCGCCGGATGGATATGATTGCAGTTCCCAGTGCAGCAAGGAGGAGGATTGTGAGCTTTGAATGGAGCTCCATAGTCACTACGATGCCTCAAAGAATTATAAGAAAGAATAAGTAAATATCTAGCTTGCTGTGTGGCATTCCAGGCAGCACTTATATCGAGATCAATCACGTGGAAGCGCTAGACAAATATAGGCCAAGACATAGAAGTAAGCACTAGAGGCTGACATCTGAGAGTGGTTAAGATCATGTCAGCGGCGGATCTTACTCTCTACTATTGGTTTCTGTCTGCTGCTCTGGATATTGGTAGAAGTTCATATCGGCCAGGATAAAGTCCACTTCAACTTTGATAACCTCTTGCCTGACTTGGGATAGTTGGAAATAGTCAAGATTTACTAGTATAAAAAGTTAAGCCATATATTAACTTGCGAAATCTCCGCAATTTCCCTGGGTCTGCTGTAGTCCGCCGTAGCCCGGACAATTCTCCGAGAGGTTCTTAGATTTCATTAGTGTGGGTCTATGTATTCGGAAGACCCCTCCGAACAAACCTTGACATCTTCTCTATATGCTATGCCATGGTCGTTCATACATAGTCGGCTTGCATGTTGTTTCCCCCTTTTGCCTAACAGTACACCCTGCCTATTAACGGATTTACTGTGTCATTGGACAACAAGAAAGCTGATCCAGGATGGCTTCTAGAGTCCGGAGGAGGAGGCAATTGGACAAGGTGGCCAATGCGTAGCTCTACCTATATTTGCCAATCTTTCCTATTGGTACTGGAGGGATCTACTGACAGTTAAATTGACAGATGTGAACAGTGTAAGACGCGAAAGGTCAAATGCTCGGGACGCTACCCCTGTGAGCCATGCATCGGGCGCGATTCGCAATGCATCTTTAAACAAGCAGAAAAGAGGGTGGTCGTGTCTGAAAGGTAACAGTACAGTCCACAGCCCTACCTTCAGTCTACTTAGAGATGGCATTGTCAGTTATCTACGCAAGCTGCAAGAATCCTACACCAAGAAGCAAGAAAAGCAGGTCTCAACCCGTGCGGGCTCAGAGGATGTAACAATTCCGGAGCTCAATGCCGACTTGCCTACCGGGCATGGTTAGCAGCTAAACGACGATCCCTAGAGAGTACATGCTAAACAGGTGACAGCGAACATGCGTACTTCCGGAGGCAATGCGACCGACGGAGAAACTATTACGAACCCGTTAGTTTCTGCCACTTCGTTCTATCTTCAAGACACTCCTGGGCGATACCGTGAGTCGACCTATAATCCACTTGGAATACAATATTTCTGCCTGTACTAATGGCAAAAGGCTTTTGTGGGCCATCATCTACCTGGTCATTTTCTCAACGTGTTTTCCTTCTTTTGAAAACAGCCCTGCCCGAGTTTCCTGCTCCTGACTTGCCATTCCATGTTGATGGAACTACGTGGGAGTTGAACTGGACCCGAACAAGTCTGGATAGTGATAGAGCATTGGAAGGACTCCCGTCCCTCCATGATGCCCTATATCTCCTTGAAGTGGTCAAGTTCCATTCCTACCAGATGCTCTTTCTATTTGACGAAGAGAAGTTCTTACCGCACCTACACGAGTTTTACCAAAAAGGACTCGAGAAGGCAAGGAGCTCACCTCTCTGGTTCATTCAATATCTACTAATCATTGCCCTTGCAAAACGCACTACTGTTACGTCAAGGAGTTCCAGCTCACCACCAGGATACGCCTTCTTTGAGCGTGCCATGTCTCTTATGCCAGATTGGGTTGGGTTGCACCGACGTCGTCCCAATCTGGGGATGCAAATATTGTACCTGGCCGGGCTTTATCTGGTATCGGTAGACATGAAGGACGCTGCCTACGCTTATGTGGGTTTTCTTATGGCACATACTGAATAACATGCCAGGCTGACCCAAACAGGTCGGCCAATCGTTCCGCACTTGCATTATCGAGGGGCTCTCCAGAGAACCACCCGTTGATCTCTTCGGTGTAAAGTTTGCAAACGAATGTAGGGATATATGGTGGACCGCATACATACTAGATCGCCAGCTTTCGGTCATGGTGGGCGCACCGTGCTCGATACAAGACAGCGAGATCACCTGCTCGTTGCCTTCATCTTATGATACTTCAGAACGGGGAACTCTTTTGACATTGCATGTTAAGCTTTCTCGGATTATGGGGGATATTATAAAATGCAAGTGTTCACTGCTACGGCAGCCTTCAAGCTTTGCCCCCGGGGCAACAAAATGTCAAACTAACAATCTTGCAGCGGTTTACACAGCAGATAGTAAACAAAGACGATCCTTCATCGCTACAATTCAATCAGTATTGAGGAATATGGCAGATATTCTTCGGGATATCGAGCACGTCTCTACCAGGACTGCTCATCCTACCCTCCGCACAGTTTCAACTACGACGAGTCACCTGTGTCTGTTGTACCACCAGGTAAGGGATATCATTGTTCTCGCAGTATCTTAGGTGATCCTCGATCCATGACTAAGGCCAAATAGTGCATAATTCTGGCAACCCGCCCTTTATTTCTCTACTTCCTGACCCATTGACTGAAGAAACCCCAGAATCAGGACGACGCGGCAGAAATGTTCATTCCCGCACAGCTCAGGCCATTGCTGGAAACTTCTCTACAATCAGCCAAAGCTTCACTGAGGACATTATTATCACTACATGAGCAATCTTCATTGGGTGAGCGAGCGTTGCTCTCAATGCCCTGTTTATCTGCTCGGCAGAAACAATATCTGATAAATTGCTACTAGAATCATTAATCCCATTCAACCAAAATAACGCATCCTTCTCGGCGTTTATCGTTGTTCTCGCCTATTTTATTGAGCCGTCATTAGTACCAGATGTGGAAAACTACATCTCGACCGTCTCATGGCTGTTGAATGCGCAGATATCGAACGGAGACCTGGCCGCCAAGCAACGGAGCAAAGAGCTTGACCTGCTGCAACGAATGATAGAAGAGATTGTGCGCGTAGAGCAGCAACAGCCTGGAGCCCACCATGAGGATACCCTAGCCCGGGATGATCTCGAACAACGTCTCTCGACTCCAGAAAACTTGACTAGTTGGGCCATTGATGTTGAGGACATCGACATCAACCATACACAGATACTAGACCTGGCTGACCAATTGGACGTCCTCCAAGAGAGTGTATGGGGTACAAATTTTGAATTTGAGTATAGCAATATGTGGAATTAGGTCAATACTCTCTTTCTGGAAATCACAATGCGGGGCATTCTTGATTATGGACTCAGGCTCATCAGTAAGCATAGAAATGGATGTGTTCATAATAAATGTAACTTGTCTGGTCATCATTCAGCGTCCATGTATCTCTTTCCCGATATACCGTCAATAGAAGTGTCGAGTGGGTGATACATTTTGAATTATAATCAATGCGACCTATGTATTCAAATTGCTTGTTGAAGCGATGTGAGGTGAGCACTCCCTTTCGGCACACCTTACAATATGCACATCACACCTATGACTACCTAGGAAGTGTATTGAGTCATACGGGCGGTAGCCCTTAAGTTGCGCGAAGGGTGGATCTGACGTTAGGTCTTCGGAAATGCCTTCCGCGGAACACCCTTCCGAGCCCTAGTAGATCGATAAAGGTAGTAGTACGCTATCTTAAAGACAGCATTGACTTCTATTCCAGATATATGCTTGCTTATGCTTCACTGCTTGTGAAACCTCTGCATTCACTGTGAACGACTCACTGTCTGATTAAGATGTTACTTCTCTCTGAGCCAGAGGTCTATCGGGTCCTCAGTGATCTCTCTCGCCATCAATGCCAGCGTCTGGTCGACACCTTGACCACTACCTTGATCCAATACTCTACTGAGAAGAACAACACAACAGCCGACAAACACATTCACCAGCCATTGCGAACTCCGATTGTTACAAAGAACAACGACGCAACCTTGTTCATGCCATGCTCCGATACCACCAACACCGGCATCAAAGTCATCACACTACCATCCAAGCAAGACGCAGTTGGCGTAACGCTGGTGCTTGCCCCCACGGGGGAGGTGATTGGTATGCTTGGTGCCTCGCAGGTAACCGCATTCCGCACGGCATTAACAACAATGTGTATGTTCACCCGCGTTACCCACATCCCCAAGAAACATATTGTAGTTTTCGGTTCGGGGAAACAGGTAGAGTGGCATATCAGACTCGCTTTACTTTTTACTGCAGAGGAAATTGAAAGTGTCACTATTGTTAACCGAGGCCGTCAACGGCTCAACTGGTTCGAGAAGGACGTCATTCGATCACTGCGGGCAAGATACACCGGAGTAACATTTTCATCTGATTGCCAAGGAGGACACGCCCGACTATGATCAAGCGCTTCAAATCCATTTCGCCTCAGCCGACGTTATCTTTTGTTGCACGCCTTCGACTGAACCGTTATTCCCGTTTTCGTTTCTCACAATGTGTCATGAGGGGCGATTTATTTCACTGATCGGATCCTATACACCTCATATGAAAGAGATTGATACCCACACTTTATTATCAGGGAATGGCCAAATCTTCGTGGACTCTAGAGAGGCATGTCTCGAGGAATCGGGAGAACTGCGAGACGCCAAAATCACAGAGGAGCAACTGATAGAGATAGGCGAACACCTAGTGCAAGAAGCTTCACGTATCCCCGAAGGCAATATTGTATTCAAATGCGTCGGGACGGGTATAATGGATCTTACCATTAGTCGCACCTTGCTTCAACTGGCGTCTGACCTGGGCATTGGAACATCTGTTGAAAGTTCTAACGGCAAGACAACGAATGTTAAAGGTCTATTTCTGACCAGGGAGTGTGTGAAAAAGGTGTTCAAGCTCATTAAAAACTATCATTTGGCTCACCGTCGTCGGCATTCGGTCCCGGAAGAAAGGGAACACTGTTATGTGGGTGGCACAGCAATCGACTAAGGGACTTCCGAGCATAACGACTGCACACCAAAAGATCGATTTTAGTGAACGTATGGGTGCTTGTCTCCCACGTGAAACAAGTAAAGACCAAACTAGTTAATGTTGGGTGCCTTCCAAAGAGTTATAGCGTACTTATAGTTAGATGGTTCTCTGCTAAGTTAAGGGGTAGCAATAGATTTGATCGAGCTTAATGTTACTAAGCCCAGAGCCTAGGAAACTATGATACGGCTCGATCGAATCAAACAATGGAACGAATTAACGTGCCAATCCCTGTCTCAGCCCTATGGTACGCATTGCACTTACGCATTAGCAGAATTACGCTTCATGACTTGACTGTAATATGATACTTCTTACTGGGTAGCCACAGTCATGATAAAAGTACTCAACCCCTTCAGTCATTGGTTGATAATTTACAATTTGTATTTTTGATCAAGTTGGGATGTGGTGGTGGAGAGCCAAGAACATCGGGCGTCAAAACTTGCAATCCACATTTCTTTATACGAACTCGAGATTTAAACCCAACCGGACTTCCCGTCTCCAGCCATGGCCCAATTACGCGTAGCCGAATTGTAACGTAAAGGCATATCTGGTGTTTGCCTTCTCTGAATATCTCTAGACCTGGGTCCGAGGCTGTGGTTCATGGATTCTGCTATTGATGTTCCACCAATATACTCGGTGTATGATATTGGTCGTGATCGTAGATGTGGATTCTAGTGCAGAATTTATGCTTTCTTCGCCTCCTCTCTTCCTACCGTCTTTCCTTTTATGCCCAGTCCTATCAATCATTGTCATGAGACCTAAGTTAGACGGGATGGGCAATCCCCACCTCTTGGTCGAGCGTCCTCTTTGTTATCGGGCGATTGGGTAACTGACGCACAGAGACGGGTATACAAATTTGGTACTCCGTAGAATGTTAGTCAACACGAGCGAGACTGCCGTCGTCCGATGGTTTGGAGTTTACTTATTATAGATCTTCGGCTGCTAGTGCCAACATCCATGTCTATTCACCTTATGAATGGTCCAGAATCAGCCAGTACCGGGATACACACACGGCGTTGATCTGATCTATAAACCGCTCTCCCGCCATGCATCAGCATTACCCTATGTATAAGCAGACGAACTATGGAAGCAGAAAAGCTGCTTTGATCTGTGGCACATATAAGCTTCCGTCTCCAAGGTGACACAGCCCATGTTATCTTCATGTACGACGCAAATACCGCTCCTAAAGATACCCTGTGCCTTGCATAAACACGATGAAGATCGCCGTCGCTCTCAGTATCATCTCACTAGCACTAGCAGTCCCTCGTCCTCCGAGCCCAGCCCTCAGTGAAACGGGCCTTAACAACCATAACAACCCTAATAGTTCTAACAAGGCTCAACCTGCTTCCCAACGTCCCCCAAGTCCTGCACTGAGTGACATACAACCTGCTACCCAGCAGCCGCCTACCCTTATCCCAGCCAACATTCAAGGTCTCGATTCCTCATTCAGCGTCAAATGCGGTATGTCATCACATACACCTACCGCAATAGGAATCCATACTCACCCACAGAACACAGGACAATTCACAGTCCCCGGGGCAGACATACACCGCGCAATATCTCTAGGTGTCAGCCTCGACCGCCATGGCCAGCAACTCGCCAGTAAGCTGGATCCACCTCCCTAGATAACCAAGCACAATCATTACAAAATATACTTACACACGAACAGAATTCCCCCATGATTACGCCAATCTCGAAAACTTCAATTTCCTGCACGCACAATGCAGGGGCAATGGAGGGCTTCATCGCAGAGAGATCCCCATCGTTAAGGGTGGTTATTTCAACGGTAACTGGGAAGACTTGAATCAATTCCGCGCCATTTTCGTACATAATATTTGGTCGATGGCTGATGCGCAAGGAAAACCGAGTGCGATATACTGTGGGACGATTTACCACCCGCGGGGGACGAATACGTTTAATGGGTGTGATGTTAGGAAATTGAAGGCCTAGGAAAAGCTGCTGGATAAGAGGTGTCTGACTGGAGTAAGGAACTTGTGTCTTTCTCTGCAGAAGGGTAAAAATATAGTTTTCAGTGCTCTGCATTGAAGATAGCACTGCCCAAGGGGGGTCTAGGGTTGAGCTGCTGTGTTATTTTGTAATAGTACTATAGAAAATGCGGTATATAGAGAGCCATATTTCAGTGTACTACCGGCTTTTACATCTGTATCAACTACATATCAATTCCTTTCGTCCAAGGAGGAGGAGACAAAAGTTTGACAGCGCGATCAGTCATTGTATGAATCCAAACAACGGGAGAGCAAAATAAAGAAGAAAGGTTTCGCTCAAGATTAAAATGAGCCTCTCCAGGTAAAGTCCTAATCTACTACAAGCACGATAGACAAATACTAGTACTGTTGTTGCTATCGTTGCCCCTTGCGGCAAGTATTTTCAAGAGTTAAGCCCTTGAACCATGAATGTTCGACACTGAACGAAGTTTACCGCTACCATCCAATTATACTACGTTTTTCATTGGCCAAGAATTCTGCTGGTGTCCCAAATACCCAATCAGACGCATCCACCTAAAGCGGGAAGTAACAGAGCGAAATCACGGATACAACAGCGTGTATAGAATCCTTCCAACTAACTTTGCCTTTTCCTCGACGCGTTTTCCCCAAAATGTGGGTAACTATAGGAAACCACTTTCTACTATTACTTTTTAATAGTTTGATTTTACGGTGGCGAAAAAGTAAGGTCCAGATCACAGCCGGCCTGATGCCGTGTCTTATTGAGGCTGAGGACCACATTATGACCTGTAGTTTCCTAAATTCCTATAGCTTGAGGAATTACACGATATACGGAGCAGTAAATGTTCCAAGACTTCAATAACATCGTTTACTCTCTAATAATAAAGATATTTGATATATGTTATATTGAAATGCTTGATTGGTTGTCTAGTCTATAACAAACAGTGTCTAGCAACAAAAGGGGTAATATAAGAAGAATAGGGTTAGAGAAGTGGCCACAGTTGATCGATCACAATTTAAGATCCGATCACGGAAATATTCACAAAGCGAAGGCAAAAGACAAAAGTTTAAATATTACCATTCCAAACACGGAGTGAGCCCTTTAGCAACTAGACTTCTGCGTGGTTGGCGTGGAGCATAACGCACTCTCCTTTTGGCGACGAGTAGTCAAGAGTCCATTGAGGGTGTTGGTATTAGGGAGATCCGCGCAGATGCTGTCGAAATTCTTGCTCGTCATCGCTCCAGTCCACGCCTGCTGCAAACCAGCGCATCCGGTGTTAAAGGCAAAGCTGACAAGGGCGCCATGCTGGTTGGCGTTGAGATCCTTGGCATTTGGCAGCGCGCATACACACTGCTCAAAGCCGACGAGGTCCTTCTGCAAGATCTCATCACCTTGAGCATTGCTGATCGGGGCCTTAATGCTGTCGCAGTCCTGTCTCGCGACACAATCGTGACCGTACCCTGACAAGTTAGGTTGGTAATGAAGGGAAGACGGGATGGAAAGAACATACCAATGGTCTTGTGGCCCTCAATAACATAGAAATCGGCGCGGAAGCCCTCAACTTCACCAATGAGGCCGACGGTAGCGGCGCTGGTGCCACGGCGAACAACTGTCGCAGGTAGCGCGAGAGCGCTGAGGGCGAAGAGAGAAATTGCAGCAATGGAGAACTTCATTTTGCTGGTTTGTCAAGCAGAATGCACAGGTGAAGTGGGATGAGGTGCTTATTGTGGAACTTGTGGAAGGTCTAATCAGACTGGGTTTGTCAACTGAGGCCGATGCTTCGCTCCCTTATATAGACTAACGGTGGCTACATGGCTAGATATTGTCAAAATCACTAGCTCCTCTAACTAAAGGCCAGCCTGTGTGGCTTGTTCCTGGCGATCACTCCTATCTTTCGCCGATCCCCTTTTAGCTCGTAGTGTTTCGCATTTTGCCCCTAGGGCTTGCCGATCCTTTGGTTAGATGAATGCCGATCTCAGGGTTTTATACCCTTTAAGGGATGTTTTTGAGAGGGATCATAATCTAGCTCCGTTGTGGAGAGGTTCTCACTGGCCCCCTTTTCCGACGATCAACACCAAAATACTAAACTAGGTACCGACTTGCATACTCCTTCACTGACAGAACATTTACTCCCGACTCATGGTTCCACGTTGTAGACAAATCCCATGCAACGCCCCGACCTTCTCCAAAGACCACCTGATACTTATATAGTGAATTATCCGGTTCCTTTGCAAGATCAGCCCTCGCAGCCTCGACCGTCCGTATGCTCTTTTCGAAATGCCTTCCTGTGACCTCCTCCACTATCCGCAACAATTCCGCATAACTAACGGTGTCGCCAGCAACAATGGTCGGTCGATTGTTGAATGCTACGTCTGAATCGGAGCCGAGAACGATTTCCGCAGTGAGCTTTCCAATGTCCTCGGGCGCTGTCACCGTAACCTTAGTGTCCCAACTACCCAAGGCGCAAATTGAGCTATTTTCCAGATTGACTACACCGAAGGAAGGTTCAAAGAGGAAGCTGATAAACATGCCCGTGGAAATGATAGTCCATCGGGTCCTAGTCTGCGAGCGAAGGAGATCGCGAACATCAAGCTGCTCATCGAAGAGATCCTGTGCGCACCCTCGTCCAATAACGTCGTAATCCACCCCGAACTGCCAAGGGATATACCGAGGGACCGCAGCGGCGAGTACCGCCTGTGCTAATTTGATTTGTGTTCCACGACCGGCAACAAAGCCTGTACAGCCGATAATTGTATCGTATCCGCGGAAGGTTTGGGCCAGGGACTCCTGAGAGTCTGCCACGAGGTCGCCGGGAACAAGCTGAATGTTGTGTTGGCGAAATAGTGAGAGCTCCCGTACCTTCTCCGGTCGCGTTGTAGAGATGGTAGAAGGTCGTAAAAGGACGGATACGACGATGTCATTCAAGTGAGGATGTTGCGCGAGGGACAGCAGTACTTGTGCCCCTAATTCTCCGGCCCCGAGAACGAGGATATTCTTGATGGCTGACATATTTGAAATTTGGACGTATAGCGGAAACTCATTGATCCCTCATTCTCGAGATGTCGTTCGTACATTTTGTATCGAGTAGCCCAGGTGTATTAATAATATTCGGAGACTTTATACGGAGACATTTGTGACGTGGACTCCGAACCCGAGTTGGGGGCGGGTTCAGGTTAGGAATTAGATTCGGGTCAAGAGACCTTGATATTTTCGGCCAGACAGAGGGTATATTCCGATCCGAGATGTAAGAATCTAAGGCTACTATTTGGTATCGTGTCCAACTTCTATGATCATTGATGTAGACATCTCAAATAAATCTGCAGAAGTCTAGGTAGACACGCACCGCGACACTAGCATTCGCCAAAATAATACTAGTACGAGAATATTAGCTGACGGTAATACGAGGTTTGCCCATGGATCCATCCTCTGCTACATCCCAGGATTGCCAGGCAAAATAACTAGGGTTCAGATAGATCGACACTTCGGGTCCTTCTTTACGTGGGGCAAGACCGCTTCCACACAGTTACCTCGACATTCTTCATACTCGGGATAGAATCTGAGTAGAGGAACTTTAATACATTAAAAAATGATAGAATATAGAAAGAACTGGCTTACCAGTTTCAGGAGCTCGTTAGAAGTCATTTTGTATTTGGAAAAGAAATATATCTTATGTTGGGCTCCGGCTATATCTATATTCCATGTCCGACAAGCGCGGGGATCTAGTTATGTTTACTAGTAAGTTTACCATTAATTCTTTCATTTATACCTCTATACTATTTGTATACATTCAAACTGTTCAAGAAGGAAAGTTGTGTATTCACTCTATAAAGAAGGCAACGACTGTTTCAAAGCCCTCTCTGCCAACCCTACTTGCTCATCCAACCCCTGCCTATCGCTGAACCAATCAGTCCGCAGATAGAAATCCTCGGAGCCTGGGGTGGTAAAGTTACGTTTCTCAGGAAATAAAAGACATCTCAGCGACTATTGGGCTGTTTATGCTTTCTCTTAAACATGCTCGTTTCGGTCAATGATTTGAATCTCCAATTCGGCTGCGAAATCTGAATGGGCTAAGGGTGGCTCCTTGATCAAGAATCACTATCCCAGCTAGCGGCCGGAAAAACCCCAATCCGGGTATTCAATACCGATAAGATCGTCGACCACACCAGGGTCTGCTGACTATAAATATAGCGTCAAGCACACCGCTCCTCGGCCCAACCCCGATATGCACTGACCACGTCGTTTGGTAACGGACCCCTTCCTGCTGCTTCGTATTAGACTTGTACCTCACCTGGTATTATTAGAAAAAAAAAAAAAAGAAACAAAAAGAACAAGAGGCTCGCCTGACATCTACAGTACTTGCTTACTACTAGTCAAGTTCTGCTGAATTGAGTTCTCGTACATCATCCACTCCTCAATCTTGACTTCTTAACAACTGTAGGATACAATGGACTGCCTTAAAGCGGATGAGGCAGCTGCCTTGGTCACATTCAGCCAGTTATGCACCGAACAAGGTCTGTTAAAACGGCCGAGCGAATTGAGTGAAAACGATGTTGTCGATGGAATCAACGACGAGACGGCTCTGCTGTAGGTGGATTATCTGACGTTCAATATTGGGTCCTGTTAATGGGGTAGACGTTTCCTCCAAGCACGGCAAATGAAACCGCAGGATGCTCTCAAGCAGTTCCAACAAGCGGCTACCTTCCACGCGGAGAAAAACGTGCACGCGTTCTACAGCGTCATTTCAGTGGACGATTATGAAGATACCAGGCGATTGGTACGTCTCTTTCTCTTTCTATGATCCTTTCTAATTATGCAGGTAATGTAGTACCCCCACTGGACCGGCCGTCGTGACAAACAAGGCCAACCTATCATGATGCTCAACCTAGTTCATCTGCAAAACGAAGCTATAACGCGATGGACCGAAACCCGCAATATGCCATGTGCAGATGCATCAGTGACTTCATCTCCAGATATGGCACAGCGGGTGTCTGTTTTTCACGATGGTCTGACGCGCTTTATTCTGCCCCTGTGTACGGCGATGAATGATCGGCCGGACAGCTCCATTCCAGTGACGAAGTCGACTTATCTGGTGGATGCGTCTACCTTGTCGTTGAAGCAGGTGTGGGGTATGAAGTACTTTATCCAGGAAGTTAGCTGGATATTATTTACTTGCTATCCTGAGACCATTCAGCATATTATTGTAAGTCACACCTGTTTGCTACAGATGTAACACTAATTAGATAGGTCTGCAACGCCCCGTCCTCGTTTTGGATGATGTGGAACATTATAAAGAAATTCGTGGATCCTCGAACGGCAGACAAGCTGGTCATTGTGAAATCTGCTGATGTGTACTCCACGTTGGAAACATACATTGATCACGCCAACATTCCCAAACAGTTTGGAGGCGAACTTGCTTACCAACATGGCATGCTTCCTGATCTCGATGAGGGCATTCGTCAGACACTATTTTGGGTTGATCCAAAAAAATGTCTTCCTCCTGGACCACTAAAGTGGGTCCAAGATGGAAAGAATAGAAAGGTAATAGCGACTGGAAGTGTTGGAAGCATTGAAAGATCTGAAGAGATTGCTGTTCTTAGAAGTCAAGAGTAAATCTGTGCGTTTATGCGTTAAAGAGACACCCCCATGATAAGTCTTCGTTACACCTTTCTCGCCAGGACAGTATATTAAAGATAGCCAGGATAATAGCTCCTCTTATATTAACAAGTCTGTAGCCAATAATCATCACCTTAGCGGTAGGAGCCCTATATATTAGTATAATCTTGAAAACTGAACATAGAAAATACATAAATGCTAGTTCAAAAAAGAAATAACCGGCGTCGCGTCAGTTATAACCTCGGCCAGCGTAAGATGGATTCGAACCACCCTAGCAACAAGCCCTGCAGACCTGCAGCCACCACTCATAAAGTGCGCTGCTTTTATCAGCGTTCAGATCATGTCCGATAGATGTGACTTTAGGGCAGAGTAGCTATGGAACCTCTAGATCACTCCAACGCAAGGATGCACCTGATGGAATCCGCAGTGAATATCCGGAGTATATTACTCAGAAAATACTACCATATTAGATTTATCAAGCATGTGAGCAATACATGGTGGCAATATATTGGATGATGTAACATCTACAGTATACTTTCGCCTCGGTAAGAATTCCTGTTTCGAAAACCAGGATGCAAATATCCAAGCAAGAATATGCAAACTCTAGACCAACTACGAGAGCCATCTTTATGGTCAAGTAGCAGCTTGCTCCCGTGCTACTAGACTGATCTGTTTATGCTTGGACTATGCACATGCAGCGACAAGGTTCAGCATTTCGTCATCAATCTCGTTTGATAGTGGGATACTGGCATTGAACTATATAGCATGAGTGTATCCTACATTCTACAGCACGGCTTCGCCAATCTCTCTTCTCTTCTGAATCACATTTGACTTGGTTTGGAAGTTACCCTGGGGCCCTAAATCTATAATTATACCGCAGTACACTCAATATGCTAGAGTATTACAAGAATAAGTCCATCTTTGTCACAGGAGCACCGGGGTTCCTAGGTACGGTAATCATTTATCGCTTGATCAGCTTGTGCGAAGTCCAGCATGTCTATGTGCTTTGCCGAGGAGGAATTGAGTCAGCTCTGTCCAAGACAACGTTAACCACACAAAAGCTAACTTACATCGTGCGTAGGCGCTTGCGATCCAATTGGAGTCAAGGGTTACCCGAAGAGACAATGAACGCCCTATGCGATCCTTCGCGAACTACAGTATTCGATGGCGACATCCGCTTGCCAGACATGGGCATATCGAAGGACAAGCTTGACATGGTGCGAACACAGGTGGATGTTATCATCCATGCGGCATCTTCAATTAACCTCGCCACACCTCTTTCTGGTCTGTTCGATGTAATTATCCGGTCCAGTGACATGATCGGAAGATTTGCTCTCTCATGTCCAAAGCTTGACCGGTTTGTATATGTTTCCACTGCATACGCAAATGGCCACCTGAGCCCCTCAAGGCACGCATGCGACATTGAAGTTAATGAGAGAGTGTATGATCTAGGAAGCTCAGCGAGCGTCATAGAGGAATTGGCGGAGGTCGAAAGATACGGCACTAGCAAGGTTTATCAGGCGCATGAGTTCCCTTGGCCATACGCGTACGCTAAGAACTTGACTGAGCGACTGCTAGTTCGCCGCTTTCAAGATCATAGGGCGATGAACACGTTACTTATCGTTCGTCCATCCATTGTTGGGCCTTCCCAAAGTGTACCATACCCTGGCTTTTGTCTCCCATTATCCGCTCCAATGCTCATGTTGGCGGCTGTGATGACATTGAGCACATCGCGGAATATGCGTATTGGAACAAACTTGGCCGACCCTGACTCACAGGCAACCTTAGATGGAATCCCTGCTGACGTTGTTGCCGACCGACTTATCACGCACGTTGCTGCTGGTACAGCTGTCTGCATCCATGCTGTGAGCGGTGAGAGGGCAAGATATAAAACACGCGATGTATGGGAGCAAGCAATGCAATTCCGGCTGATCCCCTGGGATCTGAAACTGGTGTGGGATCCAAACGGTTGGCGATCTCCGAACCAGCATTTTCTATGTCGCCGTTATAACTTACTCGGCGTCTCGTATGCCTTCTCAGAAAGGCGAACCGTGGAATTGTCAACCACACCCTCACCTGAAGAACGTAAGGAACTTCAGCTCTTCACCCAAGTTGAAGTAGGCGACTTGTTGCCGAAGCAGGTGCAGCACTTTCGTTATATCTTTGACTGCATAGCTCCCAAAGATGAGAAATCGTGGCTAGCCACGAGCGCCTTCGACTACAGGCTTGGAGACCAGCAAAGAGTCAGTAAGCTGTGAATTCAATGTCAACGATCTGGACGATCGAGTGGCATAGTTCATTGTGCAAGCCACGGCTTGAGCGAAATGTCGGGTGTCACCAGGAGCGTTGACGATGAGAATACTTCGGTTGGTAATTTGTGAAGCAACACCCCTTTAAGCATGGACTCTCAGATACCTCTTGTTCATGTGTTCGATTTTTTTGCGGACCTCCCTTCTCCCAATGTTGAGTTATTCTGTATGTATACGCGCATGCAAACCATTCGTTGGATTCACCTTCATCTTTTGCTGGCCTTTCAAATATGAGGTTGTTCACTGAAGATTCGTATAGGAGACCAATATGCAGTAGATTCAACCGATCTGGTGGTAACTAACAAGATATTGTCCTCTTCGTAATGCGAGCCACGACGTTGCTATAATTCTATGATTATGACCGACAACTATAATGCTTTCCATGACCAATATAAAAAAAAGGCACAGTTCTTCACATTTACAATTTCTTTATCCTTGACAATAAATGCATTTATTAATCCTATCTATTCTTTCAGTGTACTGCGAGACATCCGATCAAGTACTATTAACACCAGAGAGGAGACAACCTAACCTCCTAGCCGCACTAGTATACTTAGACGAACACTCACATCATTACCCAAATATCATATATACCGGCATAAACATACTGAACTCCAAAAACAGGGCTAGTCGACTGTATACATGATCTGACAGACACCGACACAAGCAACTTCATACTCCGAGTATCCATCGTAACTACAATCACAGATTATCAAACGCCGTCGGGACTTCCTCAAATTTCCTCGTCTCCACATTAGTGTCCAACCAAGTCTTCTTATCCTTGCAGTAAAACTCCATCACCGGCTCCCAAGTCTGCTCAGCTGCCAAATCCATCGTACCCGATGTCACGATCACGAGTTCTGGTCCCTTTTCCTTGTTTTCGCAAAAGAGATTCGACCCGCAATTCCCGCAGAATGATCGCTCAACAGTCGACCCATTATTGGTTGCATTATCCTTGTATGTGCGAAGTGTGTCGTGGCCTTGCGTTATAGTTACATTCTGTGTAGCGTCAGTAGTTGAATCATCATTTACCGATATGTCTCACGAGACTTACCTCCCGGCGATATATGCTATTGGCCATCCCCAGCGAACCAGTCGATTTCCGACAGTTCTGACAGTAGCAGAGTATTTTCAAAGCTGGGTCTCCGGTGATATGGTATTTGATTGTTCCACAAAGACAGGACCCATAGATGGTTTGTGTTCGTTCGGTCGTTTCGCCCATGGCTGTTTCTTGTTTCTTGTAAATCCTATAGCAAATGTATACAGATAGAATCTTCTATCACAAACTGTCCCGTTTACTATTTAAGTTATTTAATTATATTGAGCGATGACTAATACATATTCCAGAGGCATCCCGAATATCCTAGAGGCAGAATGACTAACATAGTAGGAAATCTTACGTGGGCTGAGCGTCTTAAATGCTATCACAATCCTGCAGGATTGGATGATCACCCATTCAAACTGCAAAACTTGAGTGGGGTCGGATACGCGTAGCTGGGACTCCGGCGGGAAGGATTGCTTATTCATTAACTAGGCTTGTAGGAATGGTCGGTAGAGGGACGATCTAATATGCTAGGGAACGGCGTCGCATATCACTCATGAGAAACGAAGAAGGGCTGCTGCCCGGGTTTCCGGCACGGAATGGTGACAACCCGTATCTTTTCTATTCGCATGTACTACTGTTGAGCTATCTTTGTTTAGGGCTTCGATCACCAGAATACGGGGCATACGTATGTTCGAGAAGAGGATTAGTGGGAGGTTTTCTTTCCTCAAGGAGCTGCAACACAGTCGTCACAATGACCGGTGGTAATACTACATGAATCCAACGGAGGCAATAAAGACTATCGGGTACACAATTTGGACACAGTGCTCCACATAGATCAACCATTTTGATATTACAAGTAAAAATTCGCTAGTCCAGGGAAATACTTGCCGAGAAGAAGGGGAAGTATTACTATACAAATATTAAAGAAAAGAGGTAATAAGCGAGTGACAAGCATTATTTCCGGCTCTGCAGGAAATAATACTGATTAGGGTGTGCTGCGAAGATGCAGAAGATGTTGGGGTATCGTGAGTGCATAGATAGCGAGTGTATATGCACTTTAAACGGCTGGTGAAGAAGGACAACGATGACTATAAAAGCGAGTGACTGGGGACATGGGTCGCGAGGAGCTGAGCGATGCTGCCGAGATGTTCATCTGCGGCGGATACAAGGTCACATCGCTTGCATTCCGGTAGCTCGGGGACCTGTTAGTGGGCCAGATCGAGAGGCAAGCTCTGGGTGCCAATCCATCTTGGCCAGTGTCACGATTGAGACAATGTACCTTTGGTCGAAATCATCAGCTCACGGAACTAAACAAAAAATGCATTGAAATGGAAAGAATGGATTACATACCCAACCGTGGTCATAGACCTGGTATATCGTTACCGACTGACCAACAGCCAGTTTAACCTGAGTATCATTGACAGGAGTGTGTTCCATGTCGACGTTGTATGTCTTGAAGGTAGAAGGGGCATAGGAGGCAATAATCCTCTTGTCTTCGTCATCAGGAATCGTCGAGAGCTTCGCCCCTGACCGATCCTTCTCTTCAATTGAGGATGAAGCAGATCCTTTGTACATCGAGTTTCTGCTGGCTTTCCTGGGCATTTTTGCAAGACCGGTGACAACCTCCTTAAAGCTTCCCCTGGTTTTAAGTTGGGGGCGCTGAAATGAGGTATTACGGTCGCTATCGTCCCCGGACGTGCTGCGAGAAATATTGGGGCTGTCCGTGACATGGTCCATATCATCGTCTGACGTGCTGCGAGACACATTGTTACTTTGTCTTTGTTTGGACTGGCGAAGTCCAGGAGAGTGGCAGGGTATACTATGGTCAGTAGAATCGTCAGGGGTACTACGACGGCGATGGTTATGGTTCTGATGGGGCTCATTCAGTTCGACACGGTGCGATGTGATCCCATCGACAATGATTTCGTTGGGCGCGCTACGGCAGTGGCGATGGCCTCGTTTGGCGTTTTTTGAGAGGGCTGGTCGAATGTTTGCGACACGCTCTGTCAACCGCCGGTAAATTCCAGGACGGCGATCGCTTGCCTCATCGTCAGTGCTATCGTCAGATGAACTGCACTCATCGTAGTTGAGTTCAGTAGGCGGTCGGAACGTTGGATGACGAGAGGGGGTACCAGCGACAGTGCTGGCGTCGGAAATGCTGGCGCTATCACCGTGGTTCTTTTCCGGTGTCTTGACATCCTTCACTGCGGCGTGATGGGACTTCCTATCCTGAGCATGGAGAGTAGACGCTATCTGTTTCTCCTCTGCGCTGCGATCGCTGCTCACGTCGTCCTTCTCGTTGGATGAACGCAAAGAGACCACACTGAATAGTGCTGTTTTGCTTGCTAGGAATAGTTGGGGCAGGGTATTCAGGCTATTGTTTGTTTCCAAATGCCCAGACTTGGGTCCCTGATGTCTTTTTCTGAGCTCTTTGGCTCTGGCTGCTGCCGTGGCTCGTTTCCGCTTTCGGTATAACGAAAAAAGGACAAACCCGGCTATAAGTCCAACCACAGCGCAAACCGCAATTGCTGCATATCCACTGGTGTCGAGCTTGCTAGGTGCATTATGGCCTGTGCCGGTGCTCGTTGGGCCGAGATCAGCTGCCGTAGGGGTCGCCGTGTGACTGACGCGAGTCTCGAGTGTTGTAGGGTGAGTCTTGGTACTGGTGGATTTACTGTGGGTAGTCGTTGTGTCACTCGTACTGCTTGTCGTCTGGCTGGTAGTTGTCGTCTGGCTGGTAGTGCTCATCGTCTGACTCGTGGTCATCGATTGACTGAGAGTGCCTGTCGCTTGACTTTGGGTGCTCGTCTGCAGCTGAGGTGTCTGGATGCTGGGCTTCCAGGTGTATTGGCCGCTGTCTTCCGTTGCAACTGGCTGAAGCGCAGTACTGGCAGCCTGTGCTTGTACAGCGACGCTCTGTCCAACAGCCTTCGCTTGTCCAGGAGACTGTGCTTGTCCAGGAGACTCTGCTTGTCCAGGAGCCTGCGCTTGTCCCCAGCTCTGGCCCCAGGAACCCTGGCCACTTGTCCCTCCATATTGCCCATTTTGACTGTAGCCGTTGTTTGCAACAGGTGCCGCACTTGGGGCACCCCAGTTCTGAACCACTCGGCTGGCCAGTGGCTGGTACAAACGAGGAGCCTCAAGAGGACCGCTATTGAATGACGCCTGTACCACTTGCATCGCGACCTGGACTTCTGTGGCATACACCAAAGCGGCATTAATTATACTTGATTGGGAGGTGAGAACAGAAACAAAAAGAACTCCGGGCGCTGCCTGGCTTTGTACAAATAAATCAAGTTGGCGGATTCAATATCCATCATTTAGCCGAAGTTAATATGGAATGCTTGTTTCCGTGTTTGGTTGTTTGTACAATGCTCTGCTTTCTCTCGAAACATTGGGATGCAGATCCGAGAATGCAAGACGGCCCAAGAATCCACCTTTGCTACAGGTCCTCATATGGATACACGATCAAATCAGAGAACTTTAACCAAGATGATGAGGGGGCTGGTGCTCCATATTTCCTGGCCCCTTGTAACCAAAAACAAATTTACACTGTATACCTTTAGTTATCCTTTATCCCACATGCGATATTCGAATATCGCCGGTTTTGGCTTCCCTTCACTTTCCCATTAGGGTTACACCCGCCACCACTCCGTGAGCTCAAGCACGCACTGAATTGCATGCTTTATCCTCGTTCAGATACATTCATTATTCTATCACCACTTTCCCCCTGTCATCCGTCTATGGTTTCGTTGTGTCTATCCGTATCTCTTTGTTTATGGTGGAGCGGCTCCTTTATCCGAGGAATCCGGCTATCTGAATTCGGGTTAGGGCTACATTCCAGTTCCGTTGACCCATCACCGCCGTGGATAAAAACAACAAGCTGATTGGGCCCACGCAAGAACTTGCGATGTAATTCCCAAGGGGTAGGACACAATCATTTTTCCTTTCTTGGGTTGTTGCGATGAGGCTTTCAATGTTGTTGGTGCACTGTTCGGACCCTCCGAACCGGCGATGCTTGATCAGCTTTTTATCACCGCCCGCATATAAATCCGCCTCTACCGTTTAATTTTTTACCCTACAGCTTCAGGAGACTAGAACGATCATGACATTTGTCAATAATAACTCTGGGAACTTATTTGCATGCACGTAATTATTCTCATTGTTATTTCCTTTTTCTTTGTTCTTTGCTTTTCCATTGGCTCTCCTCAAATATGGAATGTCCCGCTGGTACCAAGCAGATATGCTTCCTTGCCTCGGGAATGCAGACGGGTATGCCAGTCGTCAGTAATCATTACTACATACAATACGTGTGATAAACCCTGTTAGACCTCAATGGGAGATAATCCAGCTTTAAACATAATACAAAATCAATGCTGTTCCTGGACAAGTGGCGCAATAGCGAGCTATTTGACAAGAGCATTGGAGATATGCTAAGCGACACCTTGACTCTCGAGTGGAGCCTGGACCAAATTGTCGCTCCTTTGGAAAGGCGAAATTAAAGGTGTACACATTGAGAGGATACTCCAGGTCTACTATATTTTTCGAGTAAGTACAACTATGCCATGTCTAGCTAGGTGCGCATTCGCCATATACTGCATTTCCGACGGTATAAGCTGTAGCCCGGAAAGCGCCCGCTTTGGTAATTAGCAACGACGATTTCTTTCTACCCTTGGCCCCTGGTCTTCATGATTGGCTTTTTTAATATCTTCTGATATTATCTTATCCTTCTTTAGAAATTGCTTATGACTTGTTTATCATGGCCCACCCCTCTGTGGTCAGTCAGACCATTGTATCTAGCTTGGAGATAGCATATCCATCAGCTTCCCATTCATGAAATATAGTAGGGGTGAATAATAAGCGTCACCTATTTCATCTTCAACCAGTAGTACTACATCTAGCACGGAAATAACCCAGGTTGTTTCTCTTCTTCCTATTCTAATTTTGTTGCAATTTTGAGGGATTTTGACAGCCAGAGCAAACCATGCCGATCGAACAGACTACTATTATGACAATGTCATTGAAAGGCACTGACGTGTGGACGCAACATAGATTCTGTTGCTTCTGTTCCATGTACCTGGGTCTATGACCATTTGTTTTCCGGCACTTAACTAGCACTTAAACTTTGTCTAGCAACTAGGATGTTCTTTTCTGACCCAAGGATACAGCTTCTTGGCGGGCGATCAGCGCTTGCGAATATCTGAATAACTACCGTTTCTACAGTAATAAGGTGTTCCAAGATGCACAATTGTAAAAATTAAATTTGAATGTTTAAATTCTTTGATCTTCTTTTTATACTTATTGAATTCGCAGTAGTAGTATGTCTTACTTGCACGTCAAACTAAACAATATATATTTGTCTGACATGGTGGGTTCATTACTAGTTCCACGCATGAAAATATATATAACCTGTCAAACAAGGAACTGTCCCCACAACTATAAACTGGACTTTTTAGGACTTAGATCTTCTACAACTATTTAACTAGGAAATTGATGACAATAAGCTATTCCTTACTTTTTTCTTTTATTTCTAGAATCTCATCACTCTGTTATTTTGGTACCTTGTTGCCTTGTTGCCTTGTTGCTGTGTTGTTACATTTGTTTGTTTTGATTCATCCTTACGGGGATATACTAACTATACTTACAATTTCTCTACCACGTCAATTTGACAGTTGCCCTAGCATAAGCTTTAGCAGCTGTTGATCCTCTCTGTACTCGGCATAGCTATTGTAAACGAGAATTCCATTTCCTTTTTAGGCACAACAATGGTTGAAAACAACAGAACATTCCAATCCCCAATGTGCATCCCTTGCCCCGTCCACTGCGACAATTGCCGCGAGATTCCATATGAAACAACCCCAACAAACTAGACACTGTATTTCCTAATGCGTGAGTTTTCACTAAGCACGTGGGGCTTTCTGCTCTCTGACAGCACGCCACAAGGAAATTGGCGCTGGTTGAAAGTTACATCTGGCTCCCGAAGGGATAGAGTATCCCTTGACGGAGAGGGACAACGTAAATCGGATTATTAGAAGGACCACAGAATGCTTCGCTTATCGATAGCGGGAACAGGATATGCTGAGGTTGCTACTTTGCAACCGAAGGACTTTTATTAGCGGTAGTAATTGGCATAGATGAGGCTAAACATTTGTCCGTTTGGAAGGCCTTAATGGACCTATGGAGTATTTGGTAATACGGGGTAAAGGTTGATATGTGAAATGTGGCGCCGCAGATGTCTGAAGAACAGGTTTTCTAAGCAATCCAGGAATGTCTTTGCGGTCGGACCGAGAGCTACTATTGTTTGTTGATCGCTTTGACATGTCGCGTCAAACCTGGCGCGTTCGATAGTCTCCACTCTGAGATGGGATGTCGAAAACATGGTACGAAGAGACATCCCTCAGAAGTAACCCTCCAAAGGAACATTTTGCGCGGCCACCGACCGAAGGACATCCACGACCATAGTCAAGTCCTCCTCGGCCTCGACAGCCCAGTTCGCGATGGCACTCATTCTGTTCGTCTTAGAACACACGATGCGCGTACATGTTCCCTGGTCTCGTTGGAACAAGGCTAACCAATTACCATTCAGCTCCGGGTCGATCGCGCGAAAGAGGATCAAGATGAAGATAATCCCCAAGACCACCTCTCTCCTCAACCACGGTTAGATGTGACAACAATTCGTAGGCGGGCCGTCCTAGATGGATGCAGCAATGCAATGCCGCGGGCCGTTGTAGCTCATGCTCTACACACGCGGTGTCAAGAAGCCATGGAAAAGCCTGTCGGCCTAAGTACGTTACGGTAGTGCTCTCGAGACCAGACTGGCTGGCGGCTTTCATTATAGTCCGATTACCCGTGCTGCACTTGAACGCAGCCTGAAGACCCACAGCAAATAATGTGAGTGCATTTCTGGAACACACCACGTATTCCCTCTCACAGGCTCTGCCGTAAAGATCTGGGGTGAATGGCCCTTTCTACAGAGGACTGTCGTCTAGAGAATCCTGGTGGAGGTTTAGTCGTTCGGATAGCATAGTAAAGCGTATGATTTTGCATATTTGTAGCTATATTATCCACGCGGATACGGAATGAGACACGTTCGCCTAGTGTCGTCACAAGGTAATCGACTGGTCGCGAAGGCAGGATATCACGCATTGCAGCATTGTGCATGAGGCTCAATAATGACTGCCGAAACAGTGTGTAGGAATGAGTGTAATAGTCCTGAACGGTCTGATTCATCGCAAAATTCGGCTCATTTTTTGGTGGTGACATGGTGTGATTTCAGTAAGCGGAGCAAAATGTCAAGGCTGAGGTACGGCAGCATAGTTCTGGTTGGCGACGACCTCCGAAGATTAAGCCAAATACATAAGATGGCTAAGGAATTGGGGGACACATTTGTTGGAGGTGATTGCAAATGATGATCTCCGCAGAGCTGGCCTGGCCACATCATCTCATCATGTAATCGACACCCGTGCATGCACGGGAGTAACCTACATGGTCAACCCGGCTTTCAGCATGGCATTGGCATTACACATGAGGCCATGAGGCTTAGAGATTTAGTTTAGTTTACGTCGGTATTACATTTGGACACAATAAATATCTTAAGAACAGTTATAGTTTGAAGTATACCGTATCTTTCGTTTCACAGTCACACGATATTGAATGCCATGGAGTGGACCACTAGCTATTCTTGCTTGATACCTCTCACCAACGAAACCATCCCTCTGTTACTTCCCCCTCCACAAACCCAACATGGGTCTAGTCTGTGATTTGCGAAAGCGGCACGCCGTGTCGTACGACAGCCTTAAAGGGGCAAGCATCCTGGTCGACCATCTTGGTAGTCGCAATGAGTTCCTGTGCCACACTCGGCGACTGGGCGTGGAATACCGTTGTCACAATACATAATATGGCTTTTGCCAGTGTTACCTATGCGTAAATTTTATGTGTCAGTAAGCCACCGCGAAATTGCCAATAGCGATACTAGGTAGCCGCTCGACCAGGGAATCGAACTCACTGTTAACGCCACATCCGTGCGTGCCAGGTTTGCAGGCGGACGCGAGGCCGAACAGTGTGACAAGGGAGATAATGGTGATTATGGATCGCATAATGTATGATAGGCCTTCTGGTAATATGCGGGTAGTCAGACAACTATAAGTGTATACCAAATTTAAATTGAGATAGAATCGAAGAAGAGAATCTAAGTAGTAGGACACCTGGGGTTTATATAGCCACGTTGGATGCTGAATATACTGTTGATTAGAATAAGAGGTACCCCATATGAATGAATATCTGGATGATACATCCCTGCAATATGTATGAGAAACCCCATCTATCACTATACTAAGCGCTTTCAGGCCAGCTTCACGCCCGATACTGTCGACCCAAGTAGACTCGTCCTCGTTATTTGACGTTTTGAATTGGGTTCGTGCAGCCAGACATAGCTCTTAGCCACCATCCAACTGGCACTAACGTATTAGGTCTTCAGTTTGTCGATCCCGCCGTGCATCAAGGACTAGCCTAGACCGTGAGGGGCGGTATCTTCTTCCACCTAATGAGAAATGACCACAGATTTTAACATCTAAGGGATATTTACGTAAGCTTCAGCTTAGGGTCTCAGGCCCAGGACCTCTTGGGCTGCTTCGCACTCGAAAATAACTCCATTTAACCGCAGAGAAGAACACTGCTCTGAAGGATTGCATGACTAGCGGTCTCTGCATGCACTCGGCAGTCTGAATTAGTGTTGAGCAAGGTTGGAGCCAGAGATCCTCATGGCCTTGGCATTTCCTCCTTTTGTCATTTCTGTCAGCACTAGTGATCTGCATGATTCAAGGAGGATAAAGGCGTCCTATCTGATTCACGGATTTCTCGTATAACCTGCTATGGAGAACTGATCTTCGCTCCACACTGGAATCGTGCGACATGGCAGCAAACACGACTCTATGAACTGGAGCGGTATTCCCCATAAGAAAGATCCTCATACTTCCAACGAGGATTGGTTACTTGGGTCAATTACACTCATATGGAAATGCTTTATGGCAAGACAGGTGTAGCGCATATGCGTTGGCATCTGAGTATCTCGAATCGCGGAGCTCTGCTGGACCATTGGCTCGTAGCGAAGATCAGATATGACGTGAAGTGACTGTTGTCTGTCAGCCCAATAAAGCCATTCCATAGAGGCTGTCGTGTCTATGAATAGGTAGCCATAATAAGCTATAACGGCCTAACGAGACTATGCTTGCCTCTTATTCCAGTGCCCTTCGATGTTTGGCCACATGTTGTTGGTAACGTGTTCTTGGTTCCTCAATACTATGTTTCTATTGAGCTATATTATTCCTCTTGAACTGAAAACATTGTTTTCTCACCCATTTATTGGCAACTTGTCATTTTTATTCGTCCTAACGGAACGCCTTTGCGACGTCTAAAATTGTTCCGCATATCGCCACTTTGATTTATACTGCCGACTTCACGCATACACAGTTTACCATTATTAATTACGCTGTGCCCCTCATTGCGCCGGACTATTTGGTTTGTATGGATGAGACTGACAGGCACACCGATGTGAACGGATATTTTTGTATTACTTTCATTTATGTCAGGAATGATATGCTGTGCATGACTTATTGGCGATGAATCAAGTCCAAGGTTATGTCGCCTCTTACAATGCTGTGCTCAACGCAGTCCTGTTTGGATACATAGCGAGCGCCTATTGAAGTACTCTACCATGCGTCGTATACTCATCGAACCTCTACCTACATTCCTAGCGTACTCAAGGCCTGCGTACTAACAGTACGCAATTGCAGACCTCGTGCAAGGAAGATTTGCACTGCTGATAATTGTCTTGTGATTCTTTCCGACCGAACTGAACCTTACAGATGTTGCAGCTCTCCTCAGGACCAGCCCATGACGTGATCAAGTGGACTTGGTATGTGGCGGCCGACTAACTTACTCATTCTGTGTCCATGCCTCGATGTTAACAACCCGTGCGCACTATGACGAAACAGCAAGAGATTCTCAATGGTGGTCGGGAATCGCCGACATGGCTCACATTCCACGGCCCGTGTTTGGTTCCTCAGCGAAGAGAGCCATGATCCTGAGATCTTGCCCCCTACATTCTCCAATTAAAGGAAGAGGACCAGAATCAGACAGTATACGATTCAATTCAGAGCTTGTTACAGCGATGCCTATTGCCTAAAACGGAGTCTTACTATGGCTCAATGACGTTTCATCGCCACGAAAAAGAATCTCAAGTGTAGGTCCTAGGGACGCACAATAGGGACGTTGTTGGCAGTGTGGCGAGGAACATCTTTATCACCAGGGTCATGCTGTTTTCAGAGCTTGGTCATGAAACGTGGAGCCGATTTTGGCCAAGAGACTATTATGGACCTGAGATTTACCTCGAATTGTCGATCTTGGGATGCATAAAGCATTTACATTGAATGTGGCAGGAATATTGTTACGATTCTTGTGCTTGACAGGTCGGTTCACAAGCTGGTTTAGACACTGCCATCGATCACCGAGCTAAGAAACACGGTTATTATTATGGACAAACCCCCTTGCCTTGCCCTATTTATGTATTCAATCGAAGTGACTTGTAAACGTATAGTGTAGCGATCGGAACTTGTTTCCGGTCACCATTCCTTATCTGAGCCGTGAGTGTCAGGCTTATAGCAAGAAATCGACAGAACAACTGAGATGTGCATGTCCGTAGGCGTTACATTATCTACTCGTAAAATAATTTGAGTATCATGCATACGCTGTGCACATATACAGGACGTGATTATCAGCTCGCTCTTGCTACATGACTTGAAACGCTGATAGCAAACCCCTACAAATGGCTTGAGATCGGGATACAAAAGCACTCAACTTACTCTTGCACCACTTGAATAAATTTATCCGAATGCACAATGGCCTTCGGGACGGCATATTTCTTGTGGAGTGCGGAAGAAACCATCTCTGAAGTCGAGGATATCTCATAGGCCCTATTCAATCTCAAACCCACTGATGCGATAATTGACCGGGTTAGTTTCATCGCGGAAATTAACATTTCTTGGCTTCTTAAGATACCCCGTTTGGAAGAACTTGACTTGACACATTTCCCGTCCCGGGATGCTTAGTGATTCAGGGCTGCATGGCTTCAATAGTCGGAGATTGGCCCCGAATACTATTGTCGGCACTATTGTAGCGATGGAACAGTGCCAGTGACATCCTTTGGCCCTAAGCTTAGATATGCATATGCTCAATTGTGCCGAGCATGGAGACTCTCGGTAATCGAAGGAGGCTGTGCAGCGAGGCCATTGGAATGCCAAGGCTCGATCTTTTGCCCAATGGTTCTGGCCTGGAATTTGTCTCACCAGATACTAGTAGTAGCCTACAGTAGTAGGAGGACCGGAGTCCGGTGGAGAAAAGTATCCCGTTCCTTAGGGTCCAATGGGCTTGATCGGGAGTTTTATCAGATCCTTCCCAGGAGATGTACGGAGATACTAAGGCTCTTGGCGTTCCAACCTGAAGATCGGCCACTGTCTCATCAGGGATTGGACTGATATGATAGCAAACTATACACCATGGATGTGGCTAGATCTTTGGCTCCGTTTATTCAAAATATATTAGGTTGTCCCCGCCAAGTCAAATTGTGATGTTCCTAGTCTAACGTTTTCAGGTGAAAGCGCATGAAGAGCTTTGATCCTTTACCCTAATCATAACGGTCGCGGACATATTCCGGGGCCATACATTAGATTGGTCATCATTAGCAAGCAGCATTGGCATGCTTGACTAGGGCTTCATGACCACAATGTGTCATTTATGTCACGACTCCTGTCACTACCCCGTCCCATGCCAAGACAGGAATCTAGGTGCCATGTGGTCGGGAAGGCATCTGGTGACGTCTGACCGTGTGCCGGTGATATTACGATGCCCAGGCCAGGCATTCACGGTGGTGTAGTGCATATAATGGACACCCTCTCCGGGTAGATCGCACGAAGGCTGGACTTTCACTTTAACATTCTTTACCGGTAGTATTGACAGTCACTCATTTCAAAATGCGCTCCATATTCCTTCTCCTGCCATTTCTTCCCGCAGCTCTTGCAGCTCGTCCTTTTCTCAATGAGGCGGACACAGGGTATGGAAAGCAGCAGTCGCTGATTACAACGTATAGCTGATTGAAGATCGCGCAGCATTGAAGATGTCCTCGGTGACACCCCAGCCGGCACCCTTCCGGACCTAGAACAGATCATCGGCCTGCCTGATTTCGAATGGGCGGCCAGGCGCTACATGAACGCTTCCTCATACACATACTATCGCAATGGTGCAGCGGGTGAATGGTCCTACAGAAACAATTTGGAGGCCTACGGGCGGTTCCGCTTCAAGCCACGCATGATGGTCGATGTCACCAACATCGAATCCACATTGCCGACAACCATCTTGGGTCACAACTTCTCTGCCCCATTCTACATTAGTCCTTGTGCTCGCGGAGGCCTTGCTCACCCTGAAGCCGAGAAGAACTTTGTAAAGGCCGCTTATGAAGAGGGTATTTTGTATATCCCGTCGCTCTATGCATCTCTCTCCGTCGATGAGATCGCCTCTGCGAAGCCCTCTAATGGCTCCCAGGTTATCTTCCAGCAGGTGTATCTCACGGACAATGACACCGAGACGAAGCAGCTATTCAAGCATGTGGAGCAGCTGGGTAGCAAGGCGATCGTGTTTACGGTCGACTCGGCAGCAGACGGAAATCGTCATCGTGCCGCGCGCTATGGTGTCGGGTCAGCCGACAGCTCCTACTCCTACATTACCTGGGACTATTACAAGAAGCTTCAGAATATGACCTCGCTGCCTGTCGTCCTGAAGGGTATTCAGTCCGTCGAGGATGTTAAACTGGCCGTTGCCCACGGCGCCCCAGCCGTTATTCTTTCCAACCACGGTGGACGTCAGCTAGACAGTAGCCCATCCCCTCTTGAAATCGCTCTTGAGATTCACCACGAGGCTCCCGAGCTCTTTGAACAGATCGAAATCTATGCAGATGGGGGTGTTCGTTACGGGGCTGACGTTCTGAAACTACTTGCCCTTGGCGTCAGGGCTGTCGGCCTCGGTCGTCCCTTTATGTTTGCCAACACCTACGGTGTTGAGGGAGTCAAGCACGCGATTCAACTTCTCAAGCATGAGGTCGCCATTGATGCTGGTAACCTTGGTGTGGGTGACTTGAAGAAGATTGATGCTTCCTATGTGAGAATTCCTTTCTACTCTCTACCCTTCCTCGGTGCTGTGTGGACTAATGCGGCTATAGGTCAAATGGACAAACAATGGCTGGTATAGCTAAATGGGTAATTTGAGGACTGCCGGTATTTGACAACGGCTTAAAAGGGGACTAGGTGTTGATCATCTGCGGCACTGAATTCAATTGTATAATATTTATACCAGCCAGCGAGAGCAGCAAGAGGGGGATGTTTGTAACTTAGGCAGCCATGGAGAAGCCACGTCATATTCCTATATCGCCAGTCATCGTAGTTTGAATCCATCTATCTCATGTCACATGTTCGTTTTTTAATCACGGAATCAAGGGTGAGGGGTGTACTTATACCTCGACTGGTACGAGTCGTAGGTGGTATAGCAACAAAAAGGCTGTAGTAAGGATCGCTCCCGCATTGGGAGTGGGCACGCAATCTGCTCTATTTTCGAGCTTCGGATAACCTATAATAGATGGCTACTGACCGCACACCTTCTGCAATAAGCTGGAGCTAGTTCCCCAGAAACGATAGGTATATGATACGGACAGGAATGATGGTGTCGGGTGTTACTCGCAGGGATTAAATTCGCCCCGCATCAACTCTGTCGCCTCTTTGTTTCGCCTCCACTAACAATTCTTCCTTCCCCAAGCCCTCAATACCCATCCGACCCAGCCAGTCAGTTCACAAAGCCTACCTTTCATTCAAATCTCAGATGGCTTCCGCCCCAGAGTTCCTGATCCGAGATGCCGGGATCGTAGAAGACGACGACCAGTTCGTTGTGGCAGCCTTCGACGCAGCCATCCCGTATTTAACCTCGATCGGAAGTCATGAGCAGTGGGGGACAACTCCCTTTTCGCACCGCAAAGGATGGGTTGACGAAACTGTACAGCAGATAAAAGATTCAAAGAGCTCTGCCCGCCAGAGCGACAACAATAAGAACGGCGTTCTACGTATCTTCATCGTCGAGAAAGAGTGCAATGCAGACGGTCCAGAGTGTTTCGATCCTCGCTTGGTGCATTATCGAGTCTCATCCGACCGTCGAAGATATCTCTCTGTTGGCTTTGCGTTCGTTCGGGAGAACTGGATCCCAAGCTATATCGAGTCGCAGAAACATCTCCAGATACCAGAATCTGAGCGGGAGAGCAACATCTATCTCGAAGTCATGGTTACGGATTGTCGGGTCGGTTCATTACGCCGCGGAGCGGGAAGTGCTTTAATCCAGGGGATTCGAGATTATGGTCGCAAGAAGCAGAAGAAGGCTTTCTGGTTGGATGGATGGGCGGGGAATGATAAGAAGCTCATTCGGTGAGTAGACCTACACTCTATGATAGCTTTACTCTACTGGATACCTTCTATTGCTTACTATCGGGAACGCGGCAGTTACTATGAGCATCAAGGCTTCCAGGTGGTCAGAGACTTTGGTCTGCCAAGAGCCAATCAGGCGCCATGGGCAGGGACGCTGATGCGGATGGATATTTAAATCCAGTATTTCCCGACAAGCCAAGAATCATGTATTCAGCCTTGTATCATCTCGGAGAAATTAAAGGCGTTTCGGATTCACTGGAGAGATGCATCAAACCCTCCAATCGGGGCAACCGTGCAAGCAAAGTGTGGAGAGTCGGACGCCAGCAGATTTCCCGAAAAAAGAGGGACAACTCCCTTAACCCTAATTTCAATTCTTCAGAGAATCCACCAATAATCATCTCCGACTGCTTCTCCCAATGGTTCATACTTGGCCTCATAAGGCATGCCGATGAATGCCGTAAATGGATAAATACCGGCAGGAGATCGTCCAGTCTCCTGCTCCATCAGACTATCAGCTCCAACTGCGCTCAACATGAAGTTTGCTTTGCTATCCGGTGTCGCCGCGGCACTTTTACCCGTTGTCAGCGCGGTCAGCGTGTCAGGTGCTGCAGAGGGTTTCGCAAAAGGTGTGACTGGCGGTGGCTCTGCTGCTGCTGTGTATCCCACCACTACCGACGAGCTGGTGTCCTACCTCGGTGATTCGTCTCCTCGTGTTATTGTCCTGGACCGCACGTTAGTATTTTATCCTGGGAATACTAAGCTCCTGAATCTAATCAGAATAGATTTGACTTCACTGGTACCGAAGGCACTACTACGGCCACTGGGTGTGCACCGTGGGGAACTGCTTCGGGCTGTCAGCTTGCCATTAACCAGAATGACTGGTGTACTAACTATCAACCTGATGCGCCCCAGGTGTCCGTCACATAGTACGTATTGGCTTTAGATAGATTACGAGTATCCCTGCTGATGTGATGACAGCGACAATGCCGGTACACTTGGAATAACGGTCGCCTCGGACAAGACTATCTTGGGTTCGGGCTCCAGTGGTGTCATCAAAGGCAAAGGCCTCCGGATTGTCAGCGGTGCAAGCAACATCATCATCCAGTATGTACAGCCCCTTGTCTACTGCTAAATCCACCTCTAACGTGATTCAGAAACATTGCCATCACCGATCTAAACCCCAAATACGTGTGGGGAGGTGATGCAATCACCCTCAACGACGCGGATATGGTCTGGATTGATCACGTTACGGTTCGTCGTCTATCCCCAGCTAAAACCACACAAAGCCATGAATATACTGATCCCTTTCTCAGACGGCGCGTATTGGCCGCCAGCACCTCGTCCTCGGAAACGACGCCAGTAACCGTGTGACCGTATCCAACAGCTATTTCAACGGTGTCTCGGAGTACAGCGCCACGTGTGACGGGTACGCATACTGGGGTATCTACTTCGCTGGCTCCAGCGACCTCATTACCTTCAAGGGCAACTACATCCATCACTTTAGCGGTCGCAGCCCCAAGGTCCAGGAGAACACCCTTCTTCATGCAGTATGTTCACCGGTATCTCCCCTAGTATTGAAAGGCCACTAAACACAGCTTAGGTCAACAACTACTGGTACGACTCGACCGGCCATTCCTTCGAAATCGGAGCGGGCGGTTACGTCCTTGCCGAGGGGAACGTCTTCCAGAACATCAATACCCCGGTTCAGTCGCCGATTGAGGGACAACTTTTCACATCGCCCGACACCAACACCAACGCTGTCTGCGCCACGTACCTCGGTCGCAACTGCGAGGTCAATGGGTTTGGTAGCTCTGGTACTTTCAGTCAAGCTGATACAGGCTTCCTGGTGAATTTCGAGGGCAAGAACATCGCATCGGCTTCGCCGTATGCCGATGCGCAGAGCTCGGTGCCAAGCAGCGCTGGTCAGGGAAACCTTTAAAAGGTTATGTCAAGTATGACTAGACTTTTAGTCGGTATGGTCTTCTTTCCGGTTACTTGTGTACATAACTCGTTCTCTGTCTCGCCCGACGGTATACCGAAATGCAGATGGTTTCTCTCCAATGCCGCGGGACAACTTCGATCGGAGGGGATTAGACATGTACCCCGAGTCGGTAATTCAAACAAAACCCCGAGCCCAAACATGACAGCGGGGAACTCTCCATACTAGCAAGAGAAATCTAACCGTGGTTGAGACCCATCGAGTAGCCCTTATCACGTAGTGTGGGGGTGTTTTTCCCCACACTTCCTCGGTCGGATTTACCCCGAGACGAGGGGTAAATCATCTTTGCGAGTTGCCGAGGGGGAAAAGACTTCCACTGGCAACTCTCTTCTTTGCACCTCTTCCTCAACTTCTTACAATCTCCTCAACCCCCAAAAGATCAAAAGTTTACCATGGCGCTGAACCTAGCACTCCGTAGCTCTCTCGCACGCCAATCGACGGCATACGGCTTCTGGCTTACGTCCGTATTCCCTCCCCCGCATTATTCCCATGCCTGTATTTTCCCCTGATCTCGTGCTCGCTCGGAGCGCCTAAGGGAGCCTACAAAGTTCTCCAAATTTGACTAGAATCATAAAACTCTTATAGTTTCCACCCAACTAACTCCCAACTGCAAAATACAGCGTCCCCAGCGCCCCCGTCGCCCGAACCATCCTCCGCGCTGCAACCGCCTCGCCGGTCGAGGCCTTCAGCTGGGTTCTCGTCGACGCAGAACACGGATTGATCACAGACAGAGACTACTATGACGTACGTTGTGCCATCTTCAAGTTCTCACTCCAGCTAACCAGAATATGTAGCTGACAACAGCCATCGCCTCGGAAGGCGCCAGTCCCATCATCCGCGTGCCCTGGCAGGAAGAATGGATGATCAAGCGTGCTCTGGATTCTGGCGCTCATGGAATTCTGACTCCCATGTGCCACTCAGTGGTGAGTTGTACATTCCTTTCCCCCGTTGACCGACCATCTCTAGCGAGGCTTGGGGTATATGTCAATGTGTACGTGTGAGAGTTGAGGGGCTAATATCGTGCCCTTGATGGGTTGATAGGAGGATGCCCGTAAGATTGTGCGATACTGCAAGTACCCGCCTGTCGGTTGCAGAGGCTATGGGCCGTTGTATGCACCCCACGCTTTCCCCGGTGTCCAGGCCGGCGCTCAGTATGACGACAACGCCGATCAGAATTTGATGGTCATGGTCCAGATTGAGTCCAGGTCTGGTCTGGACAGTGTCGAGGAAATCGCGAAGGTGGAGGGATTGGATGTGCTTCTGATCGGTATGTTTATTTACCATGTACTTACGATTCATTTCACAGCGAGGAGCACGATGAAGCATGAGGTGTTTTGGGCATGTGCTAATATTCCATTAGGTCCATTTGATCTCGCGAAACAGATCGGTGTCGTCCGCGGCGGAGACGAGCACAAGGCAGCAATCGAGCGCATTTTGAAGGCCGCCAAGGCCGCTGGAAAGAAGGCGGCGATCTTCTGCACGAGTGGTGACCAGGCCCGCGAATACGCCGAACAAGGCTTCGACATGGTGTCGGTCATCACCGACCAGGGTGCCATGGGAAATGCTATGGTTCAGTCACTGTCGGCTGCACAGGGTCGCGACGCAGACAATAAGCCCAGAGGTGGGTATTGAATTGTCATTGAACCTGGTAATGCCTGTTGAACTGCTGGTTGGCTATAGCGTACTAGGAAGATATCCCGAACGTGTTACGTATCCACTTATCAATGTATATATTTCGATGAAATGTTGTCGATCCCTCGGATCCTATTTTAGAATACTCCTACACTTGCTACTTATCCCATAGGTCATCACCGAGTATGGTATAACTGGTACAGAGGTTGATTTGCCTCCTTTCCCGATTAAAACCACACAATTCATAAAGATAGAAAAGCTTAGCATTGCATGTACGTGCCATGTCAAGCGAAGTGTACAAATTGCTGTCATTCGTTTTGGGGATATTAAAGCCGTCTACCACCAGACACAACCGATTTGATGTACCCATTCATCCCCCGTATCTGATTTCCAAGTGAGCTGAACCTTCTGAGGATTGTCGGTTGGCCCGCTGAGAAAGTTCGTGTTAAAAGGCCGATGACGATCCCCAGGCACTCGCGGCTCCACGGGAAGATGCGGTTTTCTCGCTCCTCTCGTGTGCCTGGTACTAGCACTAGACATCTGTTTGCACTCATCTGTTGAGGGTATGATTCGGCCACTCTCTCCCGTAGCTGCTTCTGGGTTGCGTCCACCTATCCATCGTATTTTTGGCCGCAACGAGCACACTGTTCGCATGTTGGCTTTGTTTCGTCGCATTTCACGTGCCGTAGTCTGGCTTTTAATAAGCGTCATACTCGAGAAAATAGGTTCTCTTGACCTCTTGGTATGTGTGCATACTTGCAGGTTATGCAACCATTTCTTGAGTTTTTGCCGTTCCTTTAACGTAGCATATCTGTAGCGTAGCTGATGGGCTTCCAAATATTAACCACTTCACGAGACAGCGCGATCGCGTAAGGACTCCGGTATACTTGGGAGGCTTAAATAGCTTGAAAGCCTTTCTGCCTCAAGGCTCTAAAATCTGACAGCGGTCCAGCCGCATGCTAACGCTAATTAATACGACGTTCGAGGCATGCGGTTCAACACACCCCGGTCACTCACATACATGTCGCCGAGAAAGTCCGACCCCTCCGTGCCGATCGGCTGGACTAGCTACTCTGTTTAGTAAGTCGTTCGTGAATCTTGACTGTATAAACTCCGGACTAGAAAAAAAAATAGCGTACGGTTTAATACCGTCATATTCCGCTTGGTATGCTCCGATCATCGTTCAGAGGGAAAGAGATGGCATAAGTGAGACCGACTTGATGTGTGCACTGGCCTCTGCATCTAGTTAGGGTTTATGGCTTTTGGTCATATAGCTGGTACCTCAGGCATCAATTTCATATTGGTATCTGCAGAAAATGGAGGCATGATACCAATACTCTTCCGTCTAATTAGCCTGCAGTTGGATACAGACATGGCTTGTGATCTCGGACTATTATGGAAGGTCTCCTTTTCCAGCACTTGAAAAGAATTACCGCTGATCGCGTCGCGTGCATATTATCATGATTTGTCCCCACATCATACTACCGAAATACTGGAGGGCGATCAAACAATCCCTGTCGGAGTCCTTTTCCATTAATTCGAATACACGGTCCGGACACATCTCAAAAGCCACAGCTCATAGTTTCTAGAGTGTCCACCCAGGAGTAGAAGGGGTTGTGATAAAATGATACGTCTCCTGCACCATTACATCATCCGCGAACTGCCCATCCCGATCTCGTGGTTGACACCTGCAGCGCATCGATCGATCGTAACTATACAGTCACTCAATGTGGTCGATCACCTCATACTTAAAAGCCAGGGTTGCCTTCACATACCTGAAAATGGAGTCAGAAAGCGACAATCCACAAGCGATCTTTGGACATATCATGAGGGCGTATAGGAGACCTCTGGGTATAAAACAGGATGCTCGCCACGGTTCGTTGCAAGCGCTGGACAAACCAACGCCATGGAAAGATACACCTGCTTCGACACAGACTCTTTGCGATCGTACACCTCTACTGTCGCATTGGATGATTATCCCCCATCAAAGTAAGCGCTTTCCCAACGCAATCTTTGGACTAAACTCAGCGACGATAACAGTCCTCCGGGAGAACTCATCACGTCCTTTCCACGTCCTCCAAGTGGCACGCGCAATCTCAATAGCGTAGCAGCCAATAGCCCAAGGGCTTCCATCAAAACTTTTCGCAGAAATTACATGGTCCATGAACTACCACTTTTGCAAGAGCCAAACCCTTGGGATGGGTCTGACCAATTCCATCCTGTCCAAGAGGCTGACTGCTCATATGACCTGCTCGTTCCGTTTGACGACAGCTGCGAGGCGCCTTTGCACAGCTTGGAGCGTCTAGCAGATATCATGTTCTCTCCTGAGCACATGCTATCCATCCTGAACAACCCGCGATATCTGGCGCGCTTTCGCGAATTCCTCCTTGAAGAGCGCCCACGGTCGCTTGAGCTGCTGACATACTACTTGAACACGTGTAAAGCGCTAAAGGCGATTGAGTACGCCAACGCTCTGGTCCGATGCGCCGTCGACCTACCTCCACAGGCGATCACGGTCACGGAACAGGTCGGAGAAACCTGCACTCCCGCCCTGCAGCGTCGTGTCCACGAAGCGCTTCAAGCACTCACGGACGAGGAGCTTCCTGCATTTATTACCTCGCGCTGCATTGGAATCACGAGTAGGGTGGTTGAGGAGCGTGTCCGAGGAACACTCCCGCGCAAATTCCAGGGGACGTCCGATGCACTGGCTGAGGTGTTCTGCTTGACCGATCCGTCAAGACGGGACAATCCGATTGTATTTGCATCGGAAGGTATGTTCTTCACCCAGATTGCTCGCTGATATAGGGTAGATTCTAATGGACCAGCACACAGAGTTCCATCGCACGACGCAGTACGGCATGGATTATGTTCTCGGTCGCAATTGTCGCTTTCTCCAGGGTCCTAAGACGAACCCGAACAGTGTAAGGAGAATCAAAGAGGCCATAGAAGCAGGAAGGCATCACTCAGAACTCTTTCTCAACTAGTAAGCACACAGACTTCGTGTATGAAACTGCACGGGAAGCAAGGTGACTGACGGATATGACAGTCGCCGTGACGGCTCCCCTTTCATGAATCTCCTTCAATGCGCACCCCTCTGTGACAGTCAAGGTACAGTCCGGTACTTTATTGGCGCCCAGATCGATGTGTCTGGCCTAGCCATGGAAGGTGCGCAGATGGATTCGTTGTGCGCTTTGTTGGATAGGCAGCGAAACAGTGAGGCAGGGGCTGGTGTGGAAGATGCAGAGATGAAGGAGGACGTCCGTCCAGACGAGTTTCGTGAACTCAGTGAATTGTTCAGTCCACGAGAGCTGAATGTGGTGCACCAGGTAGGAGGGAATCTTTTCAAACCGATCCCTGCAGTGTTCGATCGGAATTGGAAAGGTCATAGTCGCACCTGGTCAACGGCGGATACAGTGGAGATGGAGGCCATACGCGAGAGAGACATTAAAACCGCGTTGTTTCGGGGTTCGTTAACGGGCGTTTACGAAAATGTACGTCTTTCCTCTCTGGTTTCTTCCCAAGTCCTTTTAAGCTCTCAAGCCGCCTAGTGCTAATTATCTTAGTACCTCCTTGTTCGGCCCTATCCGTCCCTTCGAATCTTGTTTACCTCACCAGCTCTCCAGATCCCTGGCATTCTCCAATCCTCCTTCTTGACACGTATTGGTGGGAACCCGTCGATACGGGAAGAATTGCTTGATGCATTTATGGCCGGGCGTAGTGTCACCGCGCGTATCAAATGGGTAACGAGGTTCAATCCCCAGGGAAGAGATCGATGGGTTCATTGTACCCCGTTACTAGCAAGTAATGGTGATGTTGGTGTTTGGATGGTGGTGGTGGTGGATGATGACTGACCGATGTATATATACTATTCTCATCAAGTGGTAGGTATTCCTAATGATGTTTCTCAGAATTCAGTGGATATGCATTTGCTTAAGCTATGAACAACCACATGGGGGACTGAAACACAATAGACTTGCATCCTTTGCTCCTGCTTTATGTGTTTTTGGCGTCTGGTCGAACTCATGGAAGAGATACGCCTGTCAGGCAGTCCTTTTTCGTTCCTCTCCCTTTCTGTGGGTGCTCTGAGCAAAACTATGAAGAAAAGAAAAGGTGGAGTAAGGTTATGTATGGCTACAACTGACAGTGGCAGTAAAGTGCTGCCAGATCAATCAGGCACCAAATTGCTTTGAACTCCACCCACAGGTACCAAGCAAACAATCCCCACCCAAGACTAGTAGTTCCCCCATGTACCGGAGAAACCAGATTCCCGAGGCTTATCAGCCATCCACATCAAGATAATCTCCCTTAAGGGCTCAGGTCGCGTCAACCTCATCGCGCCCGTCCCCTGAAGGCGGATCCGCAGAATGCGTAAGTCACTCGCTACTTCCCTAGCTATTATAATTTAGAAAATTAATTATGAGACCAAAGCACCCAAGAGCGCGCAATTCTTGCGACGGAGATCCGCCCGTGCTGGTACATCGCGTCCCAAAGCTACCGTGACCCACTCGAGGGTAACCCGGTCAAGACCTTCAACGCAGCATAAGGGGTTATCGGTTGTTATCCCCGTTAAGCCGGACCTTAGTAATAAGAAGAAAAAAGGTGATGAAAAGAGGACGGATAAGGGTGTTAGGGTGGAGATTGCGAATGACTCACCATTGAGCGCCGTTGATATCGCTAGCCAGGCATTGTACCTTGAGGGAGCTGGGGAGTGGAATGATGTGGACAATGAGCTGCAAGACGAGCAAGAGGGTGAGCAGTTGGATGAGAGACAAACCGCGGCAAAGGATGTTCTTCCACCCGACCCTTCCCTGCCGAAAGATATCCGAGTTAGCCAAGCACGTGCGGCATACGAGGCCGGCCAATATCCAACCCTCAAGGCCGCCGCTGCCGCATGGGGAATCTCGCAGACTATTCTCAAACATCGGTCGAAGGGGCCACAGCTACCAAGGCGGGAAGCTGCGCATCCCCTCCAGAAGCTGGATGCAACAGACGAGGACTCGATCAGTAAAGAGGCACTGCGACGGGTGGAAGAAGACGACCGTCGGCCGACCAATGTGTTGCTCTGGGAGGTTGCGAATGATCTATATAGGGAGAAATGTATTCATTTGGGCATGGAATTTCAGCCAATTGGAAGCCAATGGCCTCAGCGCTTTTTGGTCCGCCACCCGGACTTTCGCAAGACCTGGTCGCAGTTGATAGAGGCTAGGAAGCCTCCGCCACGTGCTCCACGTCCCAGTGTCTCTTCTGGGCCACAGCCGTGGCGATTTGCGGAGGATGCCAGCTCAATTGTGGACGATGACTTTTCGAAGTTCGATATCCCCCAGACTGAGGCTGAGTGCGCTACGTACTTTCGACAGATTCGAAGCGGACCACCTGCCACTGCTGTTCGGATCCAGAGATTCCTCACGCATCTACTAGTGGAACAGGCGAAGAGTGTTAATATGCTTAGTCATGTGAGAAAGGCTCTGGAGGAACCAGAGGAGCCTAATGAAACGGCACCCCAGGTGGCTACAAGAGGGCCTCAGAGGGAATCGGAACATACCCAGGGCATCGCTGCGCCGCCGGCTTCGGAGAGTCAGCAACCCCCGACCACTACAGCTTCGACGCCTATAGTCGGTACTGGTGTTGGAAACTCTACAGCTGCATCTTCTCAACCACTTCAACCATCATCCCAGCTACCAACCGATAACATACCATAACGTCAGGAACCGCAGGTGCCTCTGAATACCGAAACTCCACCACCCAAGGCCAGCGTACACTCTGAAGAACGTGAAGATATGGCGCGCCAGACATCCAGCGCATCTTTACCACCTCCCACCAATCGCTTAGCTCAACCGCAGCCATCACAGGACGCCTTGAACACCGCAAATTCCACACCTATCCTTAGTAATGCCTCTTCAAACTATACATCTACGCCTTCTCGTCCGTCCATCACGACTTTTCAGCAGTTCTCTAGAAATCACATGTCGCAACAATCGCAACCATCGCAACCTCCTGACCAGCAAGAAGCTCATGAGCCACAGCAACCCCAGGGTACTTCTGATCCCACGCCTGTAATCGGTAACGCCTCAGTCAATACAGGGACGCCGTTGCAACCATCTATGGAGCCATTCCGGTCGTCTTCGGCGCAAGACCCATCACTTCCCTTGCATGCTTTGCAGTCTTTGCAAACCCAGAAAGCTCGGCGGGATGAAGCCACTGTAGATTCCAATCCTATACTCAATACCGCCTCCCCAGCCCATCCCTCCGAGACCTTCCAGTCAGCCCTGTCATCATTTCAACCTTCAACTACCTCCATACCTCAGTTGCTACATCATCCAGAGCCCCAGCAGGCTCAGGAACCCGAGAACTCCGAAGATGCGGCCAATTCCTTGTCTTTGATCAGCAATGCTCCCTCTAACCATGCACCTGCATCACTTGAAACATTAATGTCGTCCTTCCAAGCATACCCGACAACCCATGTTCGGCAATCCCTTCAATCGCGAGAGGTTTGCGGGCCTCAAAAAACTGAAAAACCTCGGAAACCCGCTCAGCCTCGAAAGCCCCAGCAACCTCGTGCTAGAAATCCTCAACAACCCAAGCCCCAACAGCGCCAGCAATCACAGCAGCCATATTATCAGCAGCCACAACCACAGCAGTCGCAGCTATCGCAACAATCGCAACCGCAGCCGCAGCACCAACAGCAGCAATCACAGCAGCAATCTCAGCAGCAATCACAGCAGCAATCACAACAGCTACCACAGCCTGTTCAACCGCCTGAGTCACCCCAAAGTCCCAGCCAGTCATCGAATCATATGGCCAGCAGCATGGCTCCATTCAGTGGGTGGGGAAGTGGAGCTCTGAGTGTGACTAGTTCCAGCCCGTACCACTCAGGTAACTTTGCAACAAGTTATGGCAGCAGCCAATCTACCCGTCCGCAATATTATCCGAACGAATACTTCCTCCACACCGCCGTGGATCAGTCGTCGAAGCGCCGGCGCATAGATGACCCAATCCATTCGATCAATCACCCGGAGTTCCAGTAAATAGTACATATTACAGGCTTATAATATTACACGATCCTGTATGACTTTGCTTCTAATTTATCGTCAGGATTCGTTTGTGTAGTAGTAGTAGTAGTAGTAGTAGTAGTAGTAGTAGTAGTAGTAGTAGTAGTAGTAGTAATTGTTATCCTGAGCCTTTCTCTTATTTCTCGTGAAATCATTCCGCATTGGTGTGACTAGCACATAGGGTGGCCGAGGTTCGCGCTAGAGAACACAGGAAATACACAAGCAAGCGAGGAAAGAAACAGATCTCTGCAATCTGACGGCCGTGGCAATTCTCGGAGGTATAAGTTCAGTGTTTTAGATCTATGCTTGACAGCATCATTACTCAACGACAGTGGCAACAGCTATCTCAAATTATTTGGCTAGACCGTATAGCGTTCGTCTACTTGACTGAATCTAAAAGCCTCCAGATAATTCATACATCTACTGACAAGTTTCTATATGGAAAGTATTTCTCGGTATCCGGTCTCTCTTCAAAGAAAGTCAGCCATGATTGACAAGTATGAATACCTAGTTCAGAATGATTGTGATCACAGCAAAGAACTTTTCAGTTAGTCTACACTTCACAGTGCATACAATTTCAATATATCACCTTATTTATATTCGGCTCCGTAACCTGTCACCCAAACCACCACCCAGCTGTCCAGACGTCATCCCAGCTGGCGTGGAAATTTCCCTCCCAGCCCAGAATCGGTCAATCGTATCCCAATACCGATCAGCATGATCTCTCACAATAGCACAGTGCGGGCTATCCGGGAACGCTATTGCTTCAGCCTGGCACCCTAACATAGCCTTAGTCTCAGCCAAATGTGATTCCACGTCCTCCCATCCGACCATCTGATCGGTCGTAGAATACAGGTACAACCGTTTAGGTGCCGCTCCGAACACGACCGGATCATTCAACTGCAACCGCAGTTGCGAAACAGAACTCATTAGTCCAGTCCGCTGAAGACCAGTGATGAGCCCAACGGCAGGATAGAGGAGTAACTTTCCCAAGACCTTGGCAGGCGCAGGTTGAGGCGGCAATGAATGAGCGGCTGCCTGGTACGCACGCGAGAAGGAGGTGTCTCCGGGGCAGCAATCGAAGATAATCCCACGAAGATGAATCCCTAGCTCCAAGGGTGGATGAGCGGCATCCTGACGGAGAGAAAGAGCTAGTTGGATCGCCGTGTTGCAGCCACCATGTGAAAATATATGCAGCAGAATTGAGCGTTTCCTTTCTTTGTCTGCGATCTTACCCCGAATGTAATCGCGGACTGGGCTAAGACGCGCATGGAGGACGCTGAACGGAAAGGCGGTGATCTCAAGGATGTGTGTGGTGACCAAAAGAATGGCTGAGGCTGGGTATAGCCTTCGATAACCGGTAACGTATTTCTGGATGCGTTGGGGCGTAGCACCGCCAAGCCACGTACAGAGAATAATGAGTGCTGGGCTTGTGATTGTTGCTATGCTGGTGTGTTCTGGAGGTTCCAAAAGGTATATATTCTCCCCAATTGAGTCGAGGGGATCAAAGTCTGATGTACTTGCCATAGCTTGGTTGTCATATGTTTACATAGTGCGCAACAAAAGGAAAGAAAGAAGCATTGAGTTGTTGAGGATGCTTATGTTAGCCTAAACCCTACGGCGTTGTGGCAATAGTGGCTATATACAAACATATCAGTCACGTGGGCATCAGCGCTGTTACATTGCCACGTGCTGCTTGAATTTACGGAGTTTTGTTTATATCGACCTTAGGGGTATATTTAGGATATAGTAGAAGTGTTGATAGTAGACTGATATGTCTACAATACATGAAATACCCTATGGCATTTAGTAGCTAACATTCCTCTATTTCCGGACATCGCGAGCGTTTTTGTAGGCAAGCAGTATGGGTCGAGGGCGGGCCATACCGTGTACGATATCCATTAAGCCAGTTATACTACGACTGAAATTGGGAAATAAATATATATCAATTTGAAAATACCTCGTGCAATTCATGGTTGAACTGAAGCTTTGCGTAAGACTTTCCTATTTGGGTTTTCCCCACAGCGTATTGATTTCCCTTTTCGGTATCACAGTCATCCAAAGACCTAACAAGAAAATGCCTATAAAAGAAGACGACCTAGCTTCAACAGGTTATCTTTAAAGATTTCGTGGATCTCGTACGACAAGAGGAGCCCATGGCCTTATTGATATACATGTATTGGGGTGTCTTGCTCAGTCGTTTGAAGGACGTATGGTGGGCAACGCTATCAGGGAGGAGGATTGTAGGGGATTTGGCAAAGGAGCTCGCCTATATCAATGAGTGGACTGAAGCTATACAATGGGCAACGAAGGAGGTAGGCATAGGCAAAGAGAACCTAATATAATCATATTGACTATACTTGTATATTACAGATCTGTGACTGGAAATATTATCTTGATACGAGATCATGGCATCGTGTGGATGTCATACCTCCCTGGCGCTGCGATTTCCATCGCTCTGAGAAAGATAAAATTAGACGTGGTCAGGGACTGTCATCATTCAGTCTCTTATTCGTACGGCCTGTGGTGACCATGGGCTGAATCGTCACTTCAATCTTGGGTCTTCTTCCATTGTTCTGCGTTTGGAGTAAATGACTAGGGATCACGGCATAGTGCGCCGTTGGGAAATCCAATTCAATCCCCAGTCATCATGAAGGCCACTATTCCAAGCCATATACCCACAACAGCCACCGTCGCAATGCTGGCACCGACACGATCCCCTGTCGTTATCTCTCGCGGCGTATCCTTCTCTGGTTTCCGACTCCCCGTTCCTGCACTCGGATCGCCTTTGCTAGTTCCTCCCGTATCCGCCGTCAATGGACCTTGATCACGATTTCCATTTTTGAATGGCACCATATTCGCAGTGAAAACACTCAGCGCACACATATGCTCACGGAGGCCCGTGACACCATCGTACTTATCAAGGAACCATCGTTGTCCACAAATCTTGTCCGGGGAGGGTCCGGAACATTGTTTGGCTGCTCCCTCTGCGGAGCCCTGTAACTTAGGTAAGATCTCATTCAGCGTGTTGGGCATGACAGTAGTGGTGAAGGCGAGCCAAGCAGTGACCAAGCTCTTGAATGTGGACTGATTGCCATCGCACTCTACCACTCCCGGCTTTTGCGGCTCGCATGGCTCAACCATGATATTGCCCCCGTACTCCTGTGGGAAGAAATTGCGCCATGTAGTATTCAGTAAGCCTTCCACCGCATTCTTCCATTTAGTATCACCATTGGTCTGTGCAATATGTCAGCACGCATTTGCAGGTCATGCCAGTCTAGTACATAGGGGTTGAGAGTATCGCTGGCCATCCGTACCAAGTTATACAAATATGCAGCACCATTAAAGTAGATTCCGTAGTTGTAGGACCATTGCATCGTGTTAGGTGACTGGCAGTTTGATTCCACAGTAACCAGATCATTTACAGTCCACCCTTTCTCGATGATCAACGGAACAGACGTGGCCCAGTTCCATGCCTTCTCTGCCCATTCCGTGTAAGTTTCATTTTTGGTATATCGTGCAAGGCGGGCAGCGAGCTGGAAGAATCCTCCGTTCGACACGGAATTCTTAAGATCGTACCCTCCGTTCCACGAATTTCTCTGCCACCGCAGACCACCATGGCAAGTGTCCGGGTCCCATTTCTCCGCCTGAGTGTTAAACACGCCCTGGGCCAGTGCTAGCCACGACACTTCTTCATCCTCGGGGAAATTCAGCTCGGCGGCAGTCATCGCGGCGAGACCCCAGAATACCTGATCATCGTTGCCCAAATCTTGTGTATAGTTGTCCGGTAGATAGTCATTGTGGCCTTTTTGCCAAATCAAGGCTTGCTTGGTAACGTCGTTGTACGAGGTGTCTCCTGTCCAATACCAGTACTGCACCAGTGCCATGAATACCTCACCACCCGTCCACCATGTTCCCGGGAGCTTCCCTGGAATTTGGCCGGATTCGTTGCCATGATAATAGGTCATCATCCCGTAGGCGGCTGTCGCGGCGGCATTTTTGATCGAGTCTATTCCAGTGTTAGAATTGCAGGACCAAGCATCCATCAAACGGAAGCGGAAATACCCGGATCATTGATATCAAGCTGAATGCCCGCGGTAAGCCGTCCCAGCGTCAGCAAAGCTGTGAGTGCAATACTCCAGAAGTATGACCACATTTTGAAGGTAACGAGGGCGGGGACATTGGAACCAACAACGAGAAAAGCGCTCTTATTACATTCCAGACTTTGATTAAAAGTTGACCAGCTGTTCCTGCAAAACCTAATGTATGTTTCTGGGAAGGCAGTGCACTTGCTTGGTGAGACCCTGTAGGATTGGACTCTAGTGTTCGACGTTTCCTGATTCAGTAGAGTAGATACATTAGGGCCTAGGCTATGTAACCACGGATATTACAGCCTTGTAATTGACTGATACATATGACCAGTTGTCGGCCCGTTCCATTCTCGTGAGACTGAGAATTGTTGACAGTGTCAAACCCTGTTGATCGGGCCAGTGGAAATGAAAGGCAGGGGTCTCGTGCAGGCAGCCATCATCCTCTGGCCATTCAGAAAGAAGATCCCAACAACCGAGGCTCTTGGCTTCTTGATAGTCACAAACATGGAGGGTCTGACAGTGTGCTTTACTGGCTGGCCCTGAATCATACCGCTCCACATTCATTTTAGCCTAACAACATTGTAATACCAGAATTATGGAATTATGACAGCATTATCCCTCCACAACTATCCCAGACAAGAATAGAGGAGTAGATCCAATCGGGATCTTGAGCGTTCATTATTACCACTTGCTAAGGCCTAAAGCGGCTAGGATAATATGCCCTTAGATAATGGAAACCGCTTCAGGGACCTCTTCCTCGGTCCCCTAATTAGGGCTCGGTTTTGGCCCCCACGGCCAGTCCTCCAGACGGAGTATTTTTAGTGTTGATCGCTTATCCAACGGTTGGTAATTCTCCCCGCCCTCCGACTCATCGAATGCCTTGTCTTGCCTTTTGAACGCTGATGAACCCTTCGACTGTTTCCCCGGATATAGCTAGTCCGGATAAGTACATTGACAGCTTGCCTAAAAAGCTTCTCGTGCTTGGACTTCCGGTCCTACAGCGCTAAGCAATGGATACACTCTTCTCACGTCCTGCTTGGCGGGTCTAGTCGGTGTTGTGCCTGACTATCCCTGTCGAGGTCCCTACGGGTTATGCGGAGCAGTGGCTTCGAAACATGCAATTTCATCACCTACCACAGCCCCAATGGATCACTGCTTAAGAAGAAAGGATACTTCCAGTACTGCTGATCTCTTTGATTTGTGACAGTCAATCCCCTCCTTGATATGTAGAATATACGATTACCACATTTGTTATTCACATTGCTGATCAGAAACCACGACACCAAGTAATCTGCATATGTTGGACTTCCCGTCATTCCATCACTGGAGAGAATCAAAATATCATTGGGCGATTGAGCCTTGATCTGTTAGAGCAGATCTCGTCCCCATGCAGTAACTGAGTTGTAAGGATCTGCACTGGCGGGTCTCGCGCCGAACTGATGTGAGAGCTACACAGCCTCATCTCCTGTGTCAAGCTGAAACAGTGCTAACAGTGGCAGTTCAGTGGAGATGTAAGTGACAATACGTAGTTATGAACATAAGAATGGTTGGCTCTTATATGTATTGTGGACTTCATCGGGGAGGTACCGATGTTTATCGGCTGCTTACCGATGATATCGGCTTTGCCGATGGTGTTTATATCTTCTGTTTGCGTCCTTTCTTGCTCCTCCTCTCCTTTAGCTTTTTTTGTTCTTGTTAATTTAACCTTAGGCTTCTATTTCACAGTAAGAGATTTTGTTAAGATTGCCTTGCGGTAGTAGTAATTCAACTATGGCCTCACGAAATCATTTCTTGCCATGCTAAAACATGCGACAACGTACTATTGAATGAGATGAACTGTTTCAGTGATCTCATTAGATTTCCACAGACGCTTATTCCATTTACTCTTCGGACGACACTGTATCTTCTGTCAATTATGTACTACCACATAGCTATACATCGGCCTCTTGAGCAACGCCCCCCAAAATCGGGAGACACCTAGACACAACGCGATATATGAATCCACGAACAAGTAAAGAGGGCTAGTAAACGGCTATAACCAAGCCAATAGAATAGAATAGTCGCATTCCTCCAATGTAAAATCCCTATATCCAAACATCATCATAAACGTAACTCCCGCTTCGGCCACAACCAAGCATCCGCATACTCAACCACGCCCCTCCCACAAACACCCAATATATCAGTTACCAAAGCCCTCCCCGAGTTCGACGCCCACCAGATCTTCCCATCAAGTAAACCGAGCAAAACCCCCCAGTGCCCCAAAATCAGCAACGAAAGAGGCTCCAGACCCCTGAGCATATCAACAAATCGCCTGTTAACCACAGCTAGCCAAGTAACGACCGAGCCCGGATCTTTCATCGTGCTGTACCGACAAAAGCAGCGTCGTAGCAGATCGACCGCCTCTTCCGTTATCCGATGTGCCTCGGGCAGCGTGCTATTTTTGCGATTGTTTATCGCGGTTAAACGGCAGAAGGCTTCTTCGGTTTCACTATCCAGACGCTTGGCTGCTGGGGCCCAGTAATCCCCGACTGTTGGGAAAGAACTCTGCGCTGACCATGCGCGTGTCATCTTTGAGATCTCGGTGGTTCCTTGTAGTAACTCGAAGACGTGGAGGATGTTTTCGATCATGTTCAGACCTTCGTTATCTCCTATTGCTAGATGGGGCATTGCGATCCGGCTAGCGATGGTGATAATGGAGTAGGCATAAATGGCGTCACAGTTCGCCGGCGAGATGTTGTTAAGAGCATGTCGAAAGGGTGTCAATGCTCGGTTCTGGTATTCTAGTGCCGTGTCGATGTATGAACGAGCTTCTAGAGGCGCCTTTGTGGCAGCTGTGTGCAATGATGCAATTGATAGAATGCCATCTAAGAGAAAGTCATATGCAAGTGCCTTGCGAGGCATGGTGGTTTGCCAAACACGGTGGTCGAATGCGTTGCTGGAGAGACTATAACAGGTCTCTGTTGAAAACTTGTGCATGAGCTCCAATGAGCGTAGGTCATAGTGTGTGCTGGCTGTCGGCGATTGACTGGGTATGTGGTTTGGGCTTATGGGCACCTGTGGAGAGCTAGAGCTCACTGACAGTGTGTCTGGCAAGCAAGCTCCAACGGGCACGCTGGAATAGGCGCATTCTATCCCCCGAGTGGTGCAGTTACTGCAAGGGGGGCCTCGCTCATCACACTACGGGGGTTTGTCAGATAGGGTTCGGATACATAGACATTTTGTATCGGTGTTAGATAGAAGGGATATTGGACGATTCAACCATATAGGAGTAGTTTTGTTCCAATACAACCCAGTATGGTAGTCATAGTCTGTAATCAGATGTGACGCGCATAACCATTTTTTCCATGTTAACAAAGATTGTTACTTCCGAGGCTTAAGAGGCGTGGGATAGGAAAGATAAATGCTAGAAGATGCAGCACAAAATTAAACACATAAAAGGAAGGGAATCGAAAATGGCACTGTTGAACTAAAATTTGGAAAAGTACGGAGATTTGGCTCACCTTTACTCGTCTCTTTTTACACTGAAGACAGCCAGTGCGTGACTTTTTGTGGGATCTTCGCGGCGGCATCTTGAGATGGCCCTTGTGAGAAGCGCAACCCTACTCCGTACAGGCACAGTCAAACTCCTTAATGAGGCGGAGTCGCCGGATGGTGGGCCAGTGGGTCTGCTCAACACATGGCAGGCAATCAGATTGGACTTTTGACACAATGGCTCATTGCCAAGGCCAATCTTTGCATAAGTCTCCCTACGTAGTGACACTGCACTTTTAGTTCTCAGAAGGCGATGACTTGAGTTTCATGATTCAAAATAACACCTGAAAATGGCGCCAAGCCAACGAATGTATTTTGTTTCTGGAATAAATGCTTACCCTCAATCAAAATATTCTATATTTCGCTTCTTGGCGTAGCAACTCCACCAACCGTTTTACGTTCAAATGTCTCGTTAAACGACCGGATACTACCTATCCGGGATTCTTACATCCATACGATAATGTTTTTATTTCGCAGGTTTTTCCAATACTAGCTCATGGTCTTATTTTGTCTTCAGTCGAGAAATTCTATATACATGCGAAGATTAGCACGTAAAGGAAATTCACGTCGATATGTTCACAGATTTGACTTGGCCCTCCATCTGCCATCATCTATTCATTGGTCTTTTCTCCGCTCGTTCCACGATCGGTCAAACACATTCAACGAGCGTTGTGCTATCATGATAACATTAGTTTCCCAGAATTAAGATTAGTTAGCTTTGTCGGTATGATGCCAGGATAGACATACCTGAAGGAACAATATCCAACGCCTTTACGGACAGATTCGGTGGCTGCTGGAGCATATAAACGGCAGCCTGTGCAATGTCTGGCGCCACGAGTGGTCTAGTCACATCTGAGTAAGTACCGGTCAAAAACAACAGGTAGAAGACAATACATACTCATATCCTTCAAAAAAAGAATTATACATCTCCTTGTCATGACCCACACGTAACGAATGGAAATTCGTCGCGACACATCCCGGTCGCAGTGCGAGCACGCGTATATCCGTGCCACTCAGCTCATTCCGCAAAGCGTTGGTAAAAGCCTCTTGGCACGCCTTGTTGGCATGATATACAGCTTCACCTGGGAATGGCGGGACCTCCAGGCTTGTGACCGAGGTAATGTTTAAAATTGTCCCTGCTTTCCGCCGAAGCATGGAGTGATTCAGTACGGCATGAGCCGTGAACATGTACCCGTTGATGTTGGTATTGTTCATTGTTAAGATGTCCGAGACTTTCAACTCTGGGAATGGGCTCGGAGCACCGAGGGCAAGACCCGCCTGTACGATGTTTGTTACATTGTGGTTATATATTAAAAGGGAATTTGGGAACTCACGTTGTTGATGAGAACGTCGATATCTCCCATCTCTTCGATAGCTGAAGACACCGCTGCTTCAACGCTGGCATAATCCCCAACATCCACGGTTCCATATGTGATTTTCACATCTGATGTCGCCGACAGCTTCTCTTTAAGCTGTGCCAGTTTGTTCTACATGCAACGTTAGCTACTGTACCTGAGATAGGGAATATCATGGCGGTTTACCTCGGAGCGTGAAAATAGAATCACGTTCGCCCTAGCTTCAACCAGAGCAAAGGCGATGGCTTCCCCAATGCCCATAGAGGCACCTGTCTATTGTGTTTGCTTAGTATGTAACAATATCCTGTCTCATAAGCAGAAGCCACGTACGAGAAGCACATTTTTTCCGCTCAATGACATGTTGATGATTGGGAAATATATATACTGTTCTCTCTAGAACGAGAAGACTTCTTTCCTAAACGATTTACCAAAACTACAACAATCAAAAGGTATTTGTATTTGAGTCGCTTCTCAATATATACACATATATATACCCCACTGGCTTTCTTATTGAATTAATAATCCAAAGTTGAACCTTGATATTGGATCAACCCTAACGCTAATCCCTTATCAGTGATGTCAACTTGGTCAAAGCGGGGTGCCTTGAACGAATCACGGGATTTCTTCCGATTGTTTCTTCCCGGACAGTTACGCGCTAGTCCGGAAGTGGACTGCGGAGTGCCCAATGAAGTTAGCGCGTGCGGACAAATTGCCGACTCCTGATTTGCTTGAGACTTCGGCAATGGATTTCTTACAGCATCCGATGTGCTTTGGCTTAAGTGATTGTTCGCAAAAGAATTGTTAGTTGATTTGCGTATCTTTTAGCAAAGGCTTGGTGCTCTCCAAATCCATCAAATGGTCGTACGTCTCCCGAGCACGATCTGGAAATCTTTTCGTGCAGTACCTGCAGCCCGTCGCTTATCTTCATCTCCACCCCGCTTTCACATACCAACAATGACGCATACGAATGAGGCTGCTGCGACCCTCAATGAGGGTGGAAGCGAAGAACAGAAGTTACCCCCTCTTTCCTTGAAAGACTTTGGCGTGTATAATCGAATGGCGGCACAGATGGACCAGTTCGTACGTCCTTCCATGCTTGTTGATGGCAACTAAGATCTTATCAAACGATAATTGGTAAATCATTACTAACTGGCGCCAGCACAACCATTTTCGCCTGTATTGGAAGGATCTTCAGAATGCATGTGAAACCAATGGGAAGCGATCTGGCGGACTAAAGCCCAAGCAACTGATCCTTACAGGACTGCGTTTCTGTTCTCAGCTTGACTTCCACCACAGTATTGAAGAAGAGCATATATTTCCTGTGCTAGCTCGAAAGATGCCAGAGTTCCGACAGAAGAAGACTCTATTGGCACAGCATAAGAAGATCCATCGTGGACTGAACCAACTGGAACAGTACTTAGAGAAATGCCGCTCCGGAGAGGAAGACCTGGAATTGGCAGAGGTGAAACGATTAATGGACGCGTTTGGGGAAGTGTTGTGGACCCATCTCGATGAAGAGGTTCGGACCCTTGGTGCGGAGAATATGCGAAAGTACTGGACTTTGGAGGAGATGCGCACACTTCCTATGTGATCGCGTAGTGGTGCGAGAGGACAATCATGGATGTCACAAGATCACTGTGCCGCTTCACCCTGTGGTCTGCTGTTTAGATGCTTAACTCGTGGTTCGTTGCAAATCCTCATTGTGGAGCACGTGCTCCTGCCTCATAAGATGGCAAATCTTGTTTACTGCTTCCAGTCGTCATGCATGTTGCCAGCTTGGTCAAATCCCTCTACGGCGCCTTGGCAGGCTGTCCTGGCTTTTATAAACTTACCATGAAACCTAAACCGTTTACGTGGGAGTATGACGACGAAAGTTATGTTAGCGAACCTTGGCTCGAAGGACTCCTTCAAATCTTTGTCACACAAGTTAGGATAGTAGGCCGACCTCCCGCGGCAGGGTCCGTACCAAAGAGAGAGGGAGCCTGGTGCCGCACGGATTTAACCGTCCTCAGCCAGTGGACTATTGTTTGCGGTAGCCACGCGGACAAGGGGCATTCCAGCGGGCGAGTTTGTTGATAGTGTGATGACTACACCAGAGTTGGCCCGGAATGCGGAGCTGAAGAATGCACCCTATCCCTTATTGTCCGTCCGACCTGATAACCGAGCGAATTACATACTCAAATATGTTGCTGCTAATAATAACAGCTTCGTGCCTCTCCCCTGATTGGACATGTAAACAATAGTGCGTCATTGTCGCTTGATACTCGATTGCATGCTGACGTGCCTGGGTCCCGAAGCCGTATGTGTCAGACTCGGCCTGGCTTTGCTTTGAGTTCTTACTATACCTCCATGACTGAAGTAGAGTTCGATACTGTGAGTATTACTTCCGTTGGCGGCAACTGCGATACCTACCTATTAGCCAGCAATGATCGTCAAGAACCTTATCCCAGGCCACACCCACGGCCGAGGAGGTTTAATCTCACCAATAGATGATGATCTGCACTCCCTGAATCGGACTCAGTCAACAAAGCACGAGCCGCGTCGGTCAAGTGGCTGATCTATGCTTAATTTCTCCAATGTTTGTTTGTTCGCTGTCCTGTTTCATAGTCTTGGTCACTGCAAACTTGCCTAAAGCAGGCACACCACACGGGAAGCTGAAGCGACAGACACGAAACTCCCATGTGCCATGATTCTCCACAACCCGATCCGATGGCTGTGCCTCGTGCAGCCCAAGATAAAGACGAGATCAGGAGATATAGCTGCCCAGATTCCCTAATCCGGCCGACCTCATCTCGTCATACACAGCTATAAGACGATCCCATTGTACCGGCCTTCTCTGTCTAGTAATCCGTTTATCCACAGCCGTTACCACGAAACAACTATCCTTTCCCTTTGATCAAACGACTTCTCATCCACTATGAAGCCTACACACGCCTATCTCACCGCCGCCCTCATCAGCGGAGCCCTAGCCGCCCCAGGCAGCACGCTCGCCCAGCGCATGCGTCATAGGTCACTAGACCACCTAACCCTCCCCCTACAGGGCCAAGGCTCCGCCACAGATTCCGAGGCCAGGGTAGCAGGCGCCGCCGTCCAATACAGCAACAACTGGGCGGGAGTCGTACGCGAGCAAGCGCCTCCCGAAGGCCCCTATACCGCCGTAACAGCAACATTCACAGTCCCCTCCTCCACCGCCGTCGCCAACCAAAATGGAGTCCAAGCCGGTTCCGTCTGGGTCGGCATCGACGGAGGCACCTACTCGGGGGCTATTCTCCAAGCCGGCGTGGACTTCTACTCCGATCCCAATCAACAAAACCATGCCTGGTTCGAATGGTACCCAGCCTATGCGACCAATTTCCCGAATATCGATATCAACGAAGGCGATACGATTGTCTCTACAGTACGATCTACTTCTCCGAGCGAAGGTATCGCTATCATCGAGAATAAATCCACCGGTCAGACGGTGTCGCAGACTGTGAATGCTCCTGCGCCCACGGCTACCTTGGCAGGCCATAATGCGGAGTGGATTGTGGAGGACTTCCAGTCGGGAGATTCGATGGTCGTCATGGCTAACTTTGGAGAGGTTCAGTTCAGCGGTGCGCAGGCTGAAGCTGGGAACGCTAAGTTTGGACTGAATGGCGGAGAGGTTATTGAGCTGAAGCAGAATAATAAGGTGCTTACTCAAACTGAGGTTACGGGGGATCAGGATATGACGGTTAAATTTATTGGAGCATGATTTATTTTACATGCTTTTTTCTTTTCTTTTCTATACTTTTGTTCTCTTTTTACTTCTGAATCACTCGGTTCGTTCATCTCTCTTTCTTCTTTTTGTCTGTTATCTGTTGCTCGTGTACATATATGACGCTTTAGACGGTCAATAGATATTTATTGTTTATTACACCTATAGTATCATGAGCGTAACTGCATTATCTACCCAGGTAGTATAAATTACCCTACTCCGTAGAGCCCACCCAGATATACTGTAGAACACTCACAAAACATACCGAAATCTCGGATTCTACCAACCAACCAGTCAGCAACCCACTCAACGGAGGGGGAAAAAAATAACTAAATAAAGGAAGGGGGACAGAGGACAGGACACCGCGAAAAACAAAAAAAAAAAAAAGAGAACATACCTCAAAGTCCGTCAAATCAGCCATAACATCTCCATCATCACTCTGCACATCCACACCAGGATCAGATCGCATACGCTCCTCCCTCCTCTTATTCCTCCGAACCAAAAGAACCCTCAAACAAGCCGCACAAACCATCTGACACAGCGCACAGGCTAGAACCAACTTACACCCGGTTTGATAGATCGGCGCTTCCTTAGCAAGAAAGGCATGCGGACCGATGATATTTCCGATACAATAGGCTAGGAAGACGAAGGCGGTGGCTGTCACACGTTTGGTGTAGCCGCCCATGTTGCTGGAGGGCATTTGGAGGGAGAGGACTAGGGAGGAGACGTAGGAACCTAGCTATTCCACTTGTAAGCACGTATCTTCATCTGGTATTGGTTGGAGAGGGGGAATTTCGGGAAAACGGACAATATAGTAGCCGAATAAGACGCCGTAGCGGTTTGTCCGGGGAAGTTTCCAGAGAAGACTGATTCCGATGATTGTAGGTATGAGGTAGAGGGTCATGATTATTGTGCGAATGTTCTTGAAGCGGGTGGAGAGGTAGGAGCCGGAGAGGATGAAGACGACTTGGAAGGCGCCTTGGGGGATGCCGAGGGCTGTTGTTAGGAGGGGGCTTGAAACAAGCCCTTTTATGATTAATTTTCCGAACTGTCGTAAGTGTGTGTTAGTGTGGGCTTCGTGTAATTGATTAATGAAGGGGAGGGTTTTGTACATTTGCTGTGCCGCCGTTGATAGTTTCGTTCAGTAGGGTGAAGAGGAATAAGAGCCAGACTTGAGGATCGATGAAGGCTTCACGGATTTGGTACCATTTTACTGAGCGGTTGAGGATTCCCTGGTGCATTTAGCTTTTAGTTCTTGGGGTTTTTGTACGTGATGCTTACTGTCTGGTTCTGCTTTCCTCTGCCCACGAGGAGGATCTTTTCTTCAACGGAAAATCGTTTTGCTGTTAAAACGCTGTTGGGCAGGAAGAGCATCAATATTCCTCCCCAGATGACAGTTACGCCACCGCAGATCAGGAAGACTGCTCGCCAGACTGGAAAGGTCTTGATTTGGCCGATGGCGAATGTGATAAGACCGCCGAGCTATTGTGGTCAGCTATCTGTGGCCGTAGGGTGGGGATGGTCTTACCATGGAACCAACGCCGTTGCAGCAGTAGAAGCATCCCGCACGGAAGGGCTGTTCCTGGCGTGTATACCACATTCCAACAATCATCATAAAGCATGGCGTGATCGGGGCTGTGAGGTCAGACAGGGATCAGGTAGAAGTCGGTTATGGAGTTAAACATACCCTCGAAACAGCCCAACAGGAAGCGGGTAATTCCCAACCCGGTGAAGTTGTTACAGGCGGCAGTGATCATCAACATCGACCCCCAGGAAAGCCTACACAGTTAGCATAGCATAGAACATGTGAGGGGGGTTAACATACACGAATGATGATATCACAGTGCCGGTCGGAAGCCGCTGGGCAAGATGACTGGCCGGGTATTCCCAGAAGAGGTATCCTGGCATCGTTACGTTAGTATGCATTTACCATGACTATCGTTTATTCTCGGGAAATATACCGAAGTAGAAGATACTGACAAGCCAGCTATACTGATTGCTGTTGATATGGGCATCCGTGAACAGATCGAACACAGCACTATACGCAAGAGCCTAGCTAACCTGTTATCATGGAAGTATCTATCAAGTATAAGAAAGCATACCTGCTTGTCGATGTACTGCAACACATACGTGCCACAAAGAAGGGGAAGGACCATCAAGTCGACCTTTCTTCGTAACTTGTCAGTTTTCTTCGAATCGTTCAGCATCTCTTGTAACTGGGTGTTGGTAACACCATGCTCTTGCAGGAATAGCTCGGCCTCATCCAGTGAGGACATTTGACCAAATTCAATGTCATCTTTAGCGGTAGCTTCTATGATAGCCTTCTCTTTTGTTTCGTCGCTTTTGGGTATGGAGGTCATGTTGAAAGACTTGATTCAATTGATATCTCGACACGCAAGGCCAGGACCTGTCGTCCGGCAGAGGTTTTATAGACTAGCATGATAACTACGCCACCACTCGAGTGTAATCTCCTCTACAATGAGATCGAAAGAGGAAATCCCGTCCCGCTCCAGGCGTGGTCGAAGTCAAACCGAGAAATGCGAGGATATCACAACGATGAGATAGATCACCGGACCAGCGATAAGACATCCTTCGCGGGGAACTGACCGGCTGTCATAAAGCTAGAGAGCATCAGAGGTGATATCTCGGGCCAATTGAATGGGGAAAAGCAACGACTAGTATGCTTGGCATTCGGGGGGCGTCCGAGATAAAGGACGAGGATCTCGCAATCGATAAAGCGGAGAAAATGTGGGGAACCGCTGATTCGGTATTCAAAAGTGGTCGCCGCGCCAGTGATAAAGAAAGTGTATTGGATAGCAAAAGTCCTGTTGTCTCTCTGTTCACCCATCATGTCGAGTTTACACGGACTGTTTCGCTTGGCCGTGCTGCCTATCCTTGCTTTGCTCCTTCTCCAGCAGAAAGCATTTCCATTGATCAATTCGCCACAAATTCAGCCATACGTCTCATGGCTTCCCGTCTCACTACAGAATGCCATTCTCGATAATCGACCTCGCATCACACTTCCCCAGGGAACTGTCGTTGGTATCACGGTGCGAGACACTCTCAAGCACCCCGTCGACACGTTCCGGGGCATCCGATATGCACTACCGCCATCTGGTGACAGACGATTTCGTCGCGCTGAACCAATGGGCCCTTCAGAGGATGTTATAGAAGCAACACGGTTTGGACCAAGGTACGAGGCTGAATCTTTCATAAATCTGAGGCATTCAATTAACGGAACAGATGTCCTGGTAAGCAACTGCTACCGATCAAAGGCGACAACGGAAACAGTGAGGATTGCCTGACTGTCAACGTTTTCCGACCGCATGGGGTCCAAGGCAAACTGCCCGTCGCTGTGTACGTACATGGCGGCGCGTACAATCGGGGAAGCTGTAAGCATCCAACAATCTAGTAAATCGGAGAAACTGACCATGATAGCGTCCATGCATAACACGGCCTCAATGGTTGGCTGGTCCGAGCAACCCTTTATCGGAGTTAGTTTTAATTACCGGTGAGCTTCTCCGCATCACTATCAAGATAGCCATGACTAACGAGGATAGGATTGGCGCCCTCGGCTTTCTCCCCTCCACCACAACAGCCGAAGAGGGTATCTTGAATCTCGGTCTGCACGATCAGATCCTCTTATTCAAATGGGTACAGGATAATATCGAAGCTTTCGGAGGGGACCCCTCCCAAGTGACGTTGTTTGGACTCTCTGCTGGTGCCCATTCAGTATGCCTCCTCCCCTTCCGCTTCCCCTTCCTGCAAACCAACTGCTAAGTGTCAGATTGCGCACCATATCATGAACCATGACCTCGGTCATACCCTCTTCCACCGTGCCATAATCGAATCCGGCGCCGCAACCTCACGGGCGGTTCATTCTTACGATGCTCGCCTCCACGAGGAGCAATTCCGTCAATTTGTTGAAGACGCCGGTTGCAAGGATGTATCCCACCAAGAGGTGATGGACTGTCTACGTAGTCAACCCGAGTCTGCCATCACCAACGCCTCCTTCACTGTGTTTGACCGATACAACCCCTCCGTACGATGGGCCTTCCAACCGGTCATCGACGGAGATCTCATCAAACAACGACCCATCGACGCCTGGAAATCTGGTAAATGGAACAAGATGCCAATCCTGACAGGCTTCAACACCAACGAAGGAACATACTACGTACCCCCATCCATGTCCAAGTCGGAAGAGTTCACCGCATTTTTCCAAACCCTCCTCCCCGCGTACTCAGCATCCGACATCAAAACAATCGACAAGCTCTACCCCGACCCAGCGAAGGATGCCTCGTCGCCCTATGTCGACACTAGAGTTCTACCGGTCGGTCCTCAATACAAACGTGTCGAGGCCGCGTACGGGCACTACGCGTACGCCTGTCCGGTGCGCCAGACTGCGAAATTTGCCTCGGCGGGTCAGGAGCCTCCTGTCTTCCTTTATCGCTGGGCACTTAATAAGACGGTGCAAGGTGGCGCGAACCATGGCGATCAAATGGCATACGAGACTTTTAACCCTGAGGTGCGGGCCATCTCCGAGGATCAGGAGAAGATGGCAGGTACCCTGCATGCATACTTTACCTCGTTCATTGTATCTGGGGACCCGAATGCTATCTCTGGTGCATATGCAGACCGCCCTATCTGGGAGACGTATGATGCCTCTGCCTCTGGTAGGATCATGGTGTTGGGCGAAGGAAATGATGAGCGCGCCGGTGGAAGTGGCGTAGGAATTGCGGCGCAGATGGTGGATGACGAATGGAGTCGGAAAGAATGTAATTTTTGGTGGACGAAGTCAGGGGTTTCGGATTAGAAGAAACGAATAGATAGAGAGTGTCTGGGAGTAAATTCAACAATAGATTGGAACTCTATGAAATGACTTGTTCGGTTGTGACGGCCGTATGCGGCAAGTGCTTTACCTATCGATAAGAGAAAATCGATAAAAATGGCATAAATTAACCCCACATTTATTCCAAAATGACGACAAAATGCCACTCACTCACCCACTCACTCACTCAACCAACGTCAAATCACAACCACCACCTCAACAACCAAACTTCCCTTGCCCCAATAATATGACGATGACGACGAGACAATTTCCAATCCTCCTCCTCGACGGTGGTCTCGGCACTACCCTCGGTGACCCTCCCCACAATATCACATTCACGGCCGAAACGCCCCTCTGGTCCGCTCACTTACTGATTTCCTCACCCTCCACTCTCGAAGAAGTCCACAAAGCCTTTGCGACAGTCGGCGCCGATATCGTTCTAACCGCTACGTATCAAACCAGCTTTGAGGGATTCACGCTCACAAACTCCCGTTACACGGCCGACGATGCAGCGCACTATATGCGCTCTGCAATTCCGCTTGCGCGACGCGCGGGATCGTCCTCGGGGAGGACGGTGAAGGTCGCACTATCGCTGGGTCCCTACGGTGCGACAATGTCCCCTGTCGGGGCGGAGTATACGGGTTTATATCCGGAGGAGATGAATTCAGAATCGAAGCTGCGCGAGTGGCATGCTCGGCGGCTATGCGTGTTCGTGGACGAGACGGGGTCGTGGGACAACTTTGAATACATTGCATTTGAGACAGTCAGGAGGGCGGATGAAGTGAGGGCCATTCGTGGGGCTATGTCGGATGTGTTGGCAGACATGTATCAAGGTCAAGGGCCCGATGCGGAGAAGAACCAATGGGCAATGGGGAAGAAGAAGCCATGGTGGATTTGTGGGGTCTTCCCAGAAGAGGAGGTCGACGAGGAGGATGTGCGGGCGTGGGTACGTGCAGCTGTTGGCACACAGGAAGGGGAAACGGGCGTGTATCTCCCCCGGCCGTGGGGGATCGGGGTCAATTGCACCCGAATTGGGAATGTTGGGCGGATCGTCTCGATCATGCAGGATGAGTTGCGTAACCTGGACGAACTCGGAACAAAGGGCTACGTCGACGAGTGGGACAGCGTGACCGGAAGACCCTGGCTGGTGTTGTATCCCGATGGTACTAATGGGGAGAAGTACGACCCTGTCACGAAGACGTGGGTCGCAACGGACACGGGGAAAGAAACACGCCCGTGGGACGAGATCTACTGGGATGTGGTACAGGGCCTGCCTAAAGGTGCGTGGGAGGGTGTAGTAATGGGTGGATGTTGTCGGGCTGGGCCTGAGCAGATCGCTACACTGCGCAGGAGGATTGATGAACAGCCCAATGCTGGAGGCGCTTAGTCGCTACGGAAATGCGGTCAGCCTGGTTAGCCATGTTTGGTACATCAAAACGTTCAAGCAAACAATAATGTGCAGATGATTAACATGCCGCATCCATTGCAATGCTATCCATCTTCTGGTTCGGAGTCCTCCATACTTTGGCATGTTGCTCGTTGGATGGCGGTCATCGGCTATGTAGCAATGGTGGTAACTCCAGGTTTCTGAATACTGAGCTCCAAGGATCCTTCAGTCACTATCACAGTCCCAATGCAATGCAATTGCCCTTTCCATGGATGTCTAACATCTCCTTTTAGACGTGCAGTGGAAGGATCGCGCTGGCCCATGGCTGGCTTGCCCGGTTAAACTAGACAGTTGAGGGCTTCTAGGTAGTACTGGTATACACAACAATGGACATGGGATACCTAGGTGCATCCCTTTCATCGTCTCAATACAAAGACCCTCCGTGCAGGATAGTAGCCTATGTCGAAGACGTATAATGGGAAGAACTTGAAAGTATATGATGCACACCACGTAACATCCCTATGTCACCTACATAGAGAACAAAACTCTTCCCTGAAATTAGAACATCTTCGCATGTCACTAACCCAGACTATGTAGCTTTCTAGCAGTCCAGGTCAGCCACCAACAAAAGCGTAACGGCTGCACCCATATGGTGGAAAGCATCGCTAATCCTAATTCGTTAATGCTAAATCTGATACGGATATGCGAGTATATTCAGAATGTTAATTGTCTCGCTATTACAGGTGATAGCCCGACTCGTCGACATGCAGTCATGCCACTTCAAAGAGAACAATGGCGTAACCCGATAGCAGACGGGGCCTTGCAGTCGAGTATAGCCCATCTGGGCCGTCATCTATCAGCATGACTGGACTTTTGCAGCCGCTGAGAGTCCCCATAAGAGAGGACCCGAAATCCTCCGGCTTGATACTATACTTCCGATATTATGTTGCTAGTAAAATATGGGGTCCAGGGGACGAAGGAATAAGTCAAGAGTAGTCCCGAAATGGAACCCCTTAACGAAGCTCAAAATCACCCGCATGGCATTTTGACTCACAGCCCGCGTATGATGCTTTTGTGGCCGTTTGACCGCGCTTGTTCTTGCTGTCTCTGCCGTCGACGTACAGTCGAGGAAGTTATTTCTATCGGTCCAGCCCGTTAGTCAATGTTGGGTGGCAGTGAAGCTAGTCAAGGACAGGATAGCCTTAGTGGTTATTGGATCAAGTGCACTCATGCAAGGCCAAACTGAGGGTTGAATGGGTGGGGTAGGGCTCCTATCTCATAGGCGGAGCGCCTAGCGGTATGGCTTACTTTTGTCAGCAGAACCACGATGGAAGACAGAAGAAAGGCGGCTGGCGAACGCAACTTGCACCTTGGCGGGCAAAGGGGTGAAATGGGATGTTCGAAGGATTCCCGTTAGCAGGTTACATGACATCAGGTGTCAGATCCTGGATCTCCAAGTCTACCAGACCAGGCGAATGATGGTTGGCTATGAACGGTGCAGGAGTGGCCTCCTGGATCCTGCTAAGGTGGGATGCAGGATGGTGACATCGTCGCCAGACGTCAGTGAGGTGAAGATTGCTCGGTAACTGCCACCTACGCAAAGCTGCCATTGGTAAGGGACTGCCGAAAGCGTTATCTGGCATGAGGAGGGCATTCCGGTTGTCATCTGCCAACGCATCCTTGATCAGGTTCAGGTCCGTCAAACGTACAGAATCGGAGAAAAGTGGCCTGTTGGTGAAGTAGGAGGATGCGCTGGCTCCGCAACTTGGAGACCAACAGAGCAATCGGAGCGCGGTGGACTGTTGGCACCATGGCAAATGTCCTCTTAGATGTCTCGTGGTGAGGATATTTTGTCACTCTGCCGCTGGAGTTTCCGATATAGTAACAAACCTTATGCGCGATGCATGTATGCGGACCGAAATGGCCCCTAATTAATGTATGCAGGCAACCTTAGCGTCGGAGATAAAAATATCATATTAATTGCCGAATATAGTATACAACTCACGTAATATTTTGATTTTGGATTGCCGACTGCCATTAAATTTGCCAACAGCGGCTAGTATTAGTAGTCTTTTCTTGGGCCTATGATCCAATTAGCACTCGAGACGCGTACCAATGTGTTGGGTTTCTAGAGCCAAAGTCTGAAGGCCCATGCGATGCTATAGACACATGCGAACAGAAGGAAAATAAACACAAACGAACATTATCCGGTTTAACTGGTCCGACGGTCTCCCAACCTTGTGTAAACGGGAGTTAACCCGTCAGGGGTTCGAGATGTCAAGCATAGGCATGTAAGCACGTTGGACCGTATTCACCTGGGGTGCTTAGTATATAACCATTCGACCATCACCAGTGACGGCTGATCACCACCACTCGGGGTTTGACCGTAGCCTCGGTCGCTTTCTCTTAGTTTCACCTTCTTGTCCGTTCCAACAACCACACTAAGAGTGAACTGCGGTAGACCATGGCCGACTTCCACAAAGTTCATGAGCTGGGTCTGGACGAGGAAACCACCTTCAAGATACTGGAGAGGCTCGAGCACATCAGTCAATTATACAGGACAGGAAAGCCTCTCTTCCCTCGTCGTCTGCTAGAAGACCTCAGTCGCCAGATTGACGAAGGGAAGGAAGAAGTGTACATTCCAGACTTCGACGACGTGCCCCAGGTTTACAGCCTTAAAGTCCCCAATTGGTGCACAGATTTTGCGTAAGCCCTGTCACTGTGCGCGATTCAGGCCAATAAGGCTAACCTACAGAGATAGCAACACCTATCGCATCAACTACCAAAGTATCCACTATCTGGGCTGTCCCACTCCGTTCTGTCCGGAGTTCGTCCTACGCAGCGACCATGCCCCGGTCACTATCGGGTACATGCGCTCCTCAGGCCCAAGTGGAAGTACATTCGAGGCCATTCGCGGAGCTTTCGTCAAACAGCGCCAGATATGGCTGGAGAGTCCTGGTCATCGAAATCTAGAACACCATCTGACCACTCTCAAGACCACAGCACATATTCGGAAGATAGTCTGTTTTGGTCTAGGCTCCCTCGGAAGGCTGTGCGGCTACCACTGTACGCGGGCCCATACGCAACATGCTGCGGTAGAGACAATGGTGGCGTTGTTAGCCAAGAGAGGCCTGAATGGCAGTCATGAGATCAAATGTTATGCGCAGGACCCAGTTTACGACGAGGTCGATCAGGAGTTTCTCAGAAGCATCGGGATCACCCCATTGGAAGACCCAAAAGGATTCCTTGAAGTTGATGAACACACGCTGGTATTTTCCGTTAGCCCCAACGTTCCGGTCAAACAGATCGTTACCGACCTTCACTGGCCTGCCGCAATGATATGGAACACTGTGACCCCATCAGAGAAGGATAAATGCTGGATCAAGCGCACAGAGAAGAATGGAACAGTCAATTGGACATGGTAAGCCGTACTGCCCGACTTGAGGAGTGTCTATTAATGTGCTGTTAGCCCCTTTACCACCGATCCTGATTCTGGACGCGTGCGTCGGATGATCAAACATTATGCGCATGCACAGCTCAAAAACGCGGACGAATACTTCGGGGATGTGACTATTTACATGAAGTGCGAGGAATGAAATAACAGTAACTGGCTTAGCAGGCAAAGAGCATGCCCATGTGTCGTTTTTTACATTAGATCGGCCAGTCTGGTGGTATGATGCAATTTTTAAGAGTGGGAATGCGACATCTTCTTGATTGCGACACTCTTCGCTCGGATGGTTCTTCCTTTCCATAGTAAAATCACAGGTGCTAGAGTCAGTGCCAGCGCCACAAACGCTAGTAGACTGCTCGCCCACTGATAACCCAACCGAACATACATTGGCTTGGCTGCTAGTGGCAAGAATGCCGCGAAGATGTTCTCTCCAAATGCGACAGCTGCAATAGCACTGGCCGCATATCCGGCATAGGAATCTGTGATATAAATACTAACCGCGGTGACAATGACCATGCTTGCATAGCCGATCAGAGCCAGGGCCACGGCAAGTACAATCCAGTGCGACTGGTAGATACCCCAACCGTACATGAAGAGGCCACCCGCTAGCGCAAGGGCTGTGCTTGGAATGGAAAGATGCAGGATATACTCAGGGATAGGGATTCCGGGACTATCCGGGTTGTGTGAAGCACTTCGGGTGTAGACTCGGTTTTGTAGCGTGCATGCGAGGAGGCCAATGACTTGACCAATGCCTATAGCAGCCTGGACTACGCCGTCGGTGTACGATGGCCAGCCATAAGTGTCACTGAACACAAGGGGGATTGATTGGGTGGAAATGAATACCAGGCCAAATGCAAATGCGGACCATAATGTAAAAGAGGTGATGGTTGGCTCTGTTGTGAGAAGAACAGCTGATCGAGCTATAGTTTCCTTAAACGTTGCCAGGGTCTCGCTGTCGTCCGATGACACCACCGGCGAAGCCTCGTTAGGCATAAACTTCAAACGAAGTAAGGGGCCTCGGGTTTCCTTCATACAAAACAGAACAACCGGAGCGAATGCGCCGTATATAATCAGTTCAATCCAGAATATCCTGTCTGCTCAGCTGTAATTCCCCCATTAGGCGAGGGATGCTACTTACCATCGCCACCCTAATGGCTCCACAATAGCCCCCAAAACAGGGCCCATTGTCACCCCGAACAACAAGGTGAATGTATACAAGGTTAAAGGAAAGACCCGCTCTCGATGATGCAAGAACAGGTTCGACGCTATTCCATCTGCGCAATTCTGCAAAGTTCCTCCGAAAGCCCCAGCAATAGCCCGGCAAACGACAAGCGTGGCGAAATTTTGGGCCAAGGCCTGCGGGATCAGAAAAATCGTAAAGAGACCATATGCCACCTACAATGCCATTAGCTACTGACACCGACGTGCATGAACAGGGGGACAATACCAAAAAGCCAAACTTCATGCCATACGTCTCCATTAATGGGAGAGTCGCTAGCGGAACAAATGCCGCCGCAGCGTTCCACGCCGTAACAGCAAAGAAGTTATACTCAAATATTTCATTGGCTAAATGAAATTCGGATGATATTGCGTCGGCTGCGGTGGTGATAGACGTGGCGTTCAACCCGACAATGAAGGTAACCCAGCATGATGTTAGCATGGACATCCATTTCTTCCAACGCGGCCAGTTGAATGGATTATGGGGATGGTGCTCCCAGTGCATCGGAGGCTGGACTGTCATTTGGCAGCGGCATATCTGGCTGAAACGTGCATAATGATTCAAACCGCGGTGGTAGCAAGAAGGGTGGGAAAGCTTAGCGCATCCAATTCCACAGCTTAGGATACCCAGGGATTTCCTGAAGCAGGATATCCCCAGACCGGTCTGCCATGTTATTGGATTTTCCAGTGGACCTTTGTTCCTAAAGTGGTGGTGATTGGATGCATTCAAGATCCGTGGTGGATTCTATGAGTAATGGAAACTGAGTCGAAAGGTCACGGCGGTTCACACCTCAGGCATCAACAAATTTTCCGCCTAGTCTTTCCTTTTCGGGATTTCCTCTTTGTATTGCGAAGAAGCGAGAGACAATTCTTCGGTTAAAAATATCCGGCATAAGATGTCTCAGATAGACTACTCCGTATGGAAAAAGGACACCGTATACTCGTTGCATCTTTGATGTTACATTAGAAATACACGAAACATTCAATATATACAGGACAAATTGCCCACGTCACTATTTTCTAAATATATAGGCCATCGGGATGTCTCAGGAACATCCCGTCTCAGCCGCGTCGGCAACTCCCCATGGAGCTCATTGCATTTTCTAGAAACTTACCAGGGTCAACAGAATACGACGAAATTGATGGTCTGCATCGACATGATTTCGTATCATATCTCAGGCGATCCTTTATGCCATTCATGTAACCTTGAAGTGTTCCATGCTGTGCTTCGTCATTATTTCCTCTCTCTTCGACGATCACCGCGTCACCCATTTGACATAATGCACCCACCCACTTAAGGAACTACCGCTGGGATTCTAAAATTGGCTTGGTCTAACATGTGTACACTATACATAAAGCTGAGCCTCGAAGCACGCGCGCGCATCGGGAGGATGTCGATCAGTGATGGAATATCAGGTCAAGCGGTTGTCTGCGCGCCAAGTCACGTACCTCAAAGAAAGATGCAAGGCGGCAAGATACCCTGGAAGATAAACTTTGCTACTTCAGTTCGTGAAAGTGAGGTAGAAGGCTGCTCCGATAGTATACTCTTTGACATGAAGGGTCCACTCCACTAATAGTTATCTCACCAGAATCCGCACCATACCGCAACGGTGCGGATATAGACCGTGGAAATAGAATGGTGATAATCAATAATAAACTAACTCTGGGTAAGGGCTGTTCTTTTCTTTGTTTAGTTTGTTTCGACTATTTTCGTTTTCATTTTCATTTTTCTTTTTCTTTTTTGGTGCGAGTTAAGAAGTCAAGTAATATGTATAGATCGCCAAATATGGGATATATTATTAGACTGGGTAAAGCAAATATATATTGTACGTCCTATAGATAGAATACACCATACTCCGTACAAATATACGCTTTAATTAGGTTATGCCACAGTTTGACTACATTTTGGCCATAACACAATAGAATTGCACGAATATTTTAAAAATTTAAACTTGATTATTGATTAATGATACTACTACGTACCGCTGAACATTGCACTGGACGGTCTATCGCCATTAGGCCGTTTTAGGCGGGCGCGTAAATGGCAGAGTGTAAACACCACTTAGTCAGCAGAGTACAGGAGGAAGGCAACGTGTACTGTCTTAATAATTAATATATATTTGATATATTCTTAATTTATATATATCACAACCTTCTTAGGTCTGGATAGATGCTTCTACAAATTCTAGAATCTCAATGAATGACGTCATACTGGAAGACGCGGAAGACTCCGACCGTGAGAAAGAAAAACTTGACCGAATCCTAGGCCAAGAAGCCGAGACTTGCAGCGGTGGGGAAACCTAGAGGGCTTGTCCTCCGCCCGAAACCCTCCGAATGCAAGCTTATGTCTACCTATCCCCCAAAGAAACTTCCGAAGTCAACAATTTTGACTCGCAAATATCATGGTGCTGGTTGGAGGGGAGCCAAATTTCGATCACGTTCTATTTAGGTAATTCTGCGAGCGGGGCTAAGGAATTCAACCCTGACGATCGGTCGGTACTGTCAGAGCTTCAGACTGGGATTGTTTGAAGAGCGAAAGTCTGCCAACCGCGTGCCGGTGGAGAGGTTTCCAATTTTGAGCATTTGACCCGCTCGAGGCTCTTGATCATCGATCAAACTTCTCTACAGAGTACTATGTAGACATCTACCCGAACATTTGCAGATCACGGATTGTCACTGATTGCCAGCTTCCGATACGAGGGACGATGCGATACTCAGCCTCTCTTTTGGCCACATCTCATCCACGATTCGTACACAAGATGTACCTGTCCTGACCCGCAACTTGGAGGGTTACGTCAGATGCAGAGTTTGCAAGACATGAATCGTAATGTTTCAATATCATAGGTTAGGTGTCAGCCGCCACCAAACGGGGACCCAGATACATATCACGCATGGGAAGTGGGGAGTGCAAAGACTCGGATCCACACCGAGCCGTTGCTTGTTTCAGAGAGGGCCTTTCAGAGCAACCCAAGGAACAAAATGCAGAAAATTTCTTTTTGCTCTTCTCACCGTGGTTTGATACGAACTTTAGCACAAGGCAAAGGGTCGGACCAACCGGAGAGGATGGCATTGGTTCATCCAGAAGGATGTCTAGTCTCCACCTGTATCGTTATCACAAATCCTCGCAGCACCAGGCATTGATATCCAGGGTTCTTTCGATCGTTAGAGTGGTCGTGTTTCTGGTCTTAAATCTAGGGCCAGTCCAGATAAGGTATCATATCGTCCAATCATGTCATATTGTTTCTTAATATAGGCACACAGGTCCCGCTATCGATCGGCACCCTGTTCGAGTATGGCCATCCTCACACACTGTCGGGCTCCGCTGGCGCTACCTCAACAATTTTTTTTTTTTTTTTTTTAAATGGAAATTCCTAAGCAAGCAGACTCCATCGGGCGCACTACGCATCTCGCGTCTTCCGGATCCTGTGGATCGGGACCGGGGTGGATGGCAAACCGTCAAAGTTGCCGCCACTTCTTCGCGCTCTTGCGGCGTCACGCCATATGGGAGACTCTCCCAATTATGGAAAGCCTGCGTTCCAGCGATAGTCAACGAACTGGTGGCTTGGACTGTAGCATCAGCCAGATCACAGCAATAGCATAGCGGTGATTCCAGCCGTGTGCCTTTAGGTTAGAAACGATGCTGGGATAGGAAACATGCGGTATCAAGTGAGAAACACTGCTACCCCACCACGGGTGAAAAGTAGATAGTGGATGGTTCCATGTCATCTATCAGCAGGCGAGGAGTGGGTCTATAGTAGAAGTCGTAATGGTCGTGGGAGAAGTCCCTGGCCCATTTTTATCCCCAGCCTTCCCGGCCTGATAGTTCCAAGTCTTTTTTACGAAAAGTTCTGCAATTGTTTTTTCGAGTCGACAGGTCGCTCGTTCCCTCGTTTGCTTTCCCTCGCTTTGAACCACGCCCAGGGCATGTAGGATTTATTCCGTTTGCGATTATCGAGAGCTTGAGTCGCGCGCAGTTGTCGGTAGCAGGCCACTGCCGGGATGTTCCTCACGGTGATGCAGCGCTCAGCGATTCTTATCCTGTCGTTACTGAGCGCTACCGCCTTTAGCTGGCCCTACACCGAGTCGCTCGTTGACTATAACTTGAACGAAAATAAAACCGCGGAATCACCGATTGATTATTGGGGAGAGTGGCCGGATCATGAATATCACCCGTCTCCCGATAACTGGCGCTTCCCGATCTATACAATCTTTTTAGACCGCATCGCTAACGGTGATCCGAAAAATGATGATATTAACGGCACCGCCTTTGAACATGTGGTGGGCTCGAATCAAATGCGCCACGGGGGCGATCTGGTTGGTCTAATTGACACGCTGGATTATATTAGGGGCATGGGTTTCAAGGTGTGTTCAATCAACCTATTGTGATCCGATTTTGGTGCTTACCATGGTAGGGCATTTACTTCGCTGGAACGTACCTGATGAACCTTCCCTGGGCCTACGATGGCTACTCCCCGGTTGATACCACTTTGCTCGACATGCACCATGGCACACTCGACGATTGGAGACGGACCATCACCGAGATCCACAAACGAGATATGTATGTGATCATGGATAATACACTGGCAACGTAAGTATACATTCCAGATGTCTCAGATCACGACGGATTGACAGGCCTATGCAGGATGAGCAACCTTATTGGCTTCAAAGGACATCTCAACGATTCCGCCGATTTTCGAGCAGATGAATATGAAGTCCAGTGGATCTCAGATAGACAGTACGCCGACTTCAAGTTCGGAAATGAGTACAATGAAACTTGCAACTTCCCGAAGTTCTGGAATGAGACTGGTTATCCGTTGACATCAGGTGGAGTTGAGGAGCTGAAAGGGTGCTATAATAGCGATTTCGATCAATTTGGTGAACTGGAGGCGTTCGGTAACTTTCCCGACTGGAAGCGCCAGCTTACCAAGTTCGCCTCGGTGCAAGATCGTCTGCGTGAATGGCACAAGCCTATCCGTGATGTCATCACCAAGCATTCCTGCATTCAGATTGCTAGTCTAGATATTGATGGTTTTCGTTTCGATAAAGCCGTTCAGACAACCCTCGAGCCCCTAAGTGAAATAACCGCTGTCTACCGTGAATGTGCGAAGAAATATGGCAAGCATAATTTCTTCCTTCCTGGCGAGATCACGTCAGGAAATACCTTTGGCAGTCTCTACCTTGGACGCGGTCGTCAACCCGATCAGCAACCTGAGTCGGCAGATGCTGGTGCGAAGCTGAAAAACAGTTCGGACGGATATTTTCTTAGAGATGATGGATACCAGGCGTTGGACTCAGCCGCGTTTCACTACACGATCTACCGTTCGATGACCCGTTTCTTGGGAATGGATGGTAATCTAGTGGCTGGCTTTGACTTGCCCACTGATTTTATCGAGGCCTGGAATGGGATGCTCGTGAGCAACGACTTCCTTAATGCATACACGGGCGAAGTAGACCCGAGGCATATGTTTGGTGTCTCTAACCAGGACAACTTTCGTTGGCCAGCAATCAAGAATGGTACCGAAA